TCAACTCCAATTTGTTTTTGTCAGATCAGAGTTCAGATTGTTTTTAGCTTCCTCCAAATTTTGTTCTTGCTCCTGATTAAAAGGAAACATTTTAAAAGAAACTTCTGGTGTTGTAAAGAGAAGATAGTGCAGTGGATATTTTGGAAGGATGAGACTGAATGGGTCTCGTCCTTCCATGGCTCAGTTTGTTGCTTCTGGGTCAGAAAGTTATGGGTTTGGGTTGCTCATAGTCCAGGCTGACAATGCAATGTTGGGAAAGCACTTAATGTACTTGATGTACTTGATTTACATCCCAAAATTCTGTAACACTCTCCCTCAATCCCTCCACCTTGCCTCCTCTCTCCCCTTTTTCAAGTCCTGCCTGAAAACCTTCCTCTTTGACTGTGCTTACAGCCACCTCCCCCACCCACCAACTCGAAGTCAAGCTCCTCTAAGGCACTACCCTGGGTGGATGGCGTTATATAAGTGCAAGTTGTTGTACTCAATGGATTTACTGCAAACTGGCCAATAGAGGCCAGGCCAGTAAGGATAATCCAAACTAATTCAGACAGCCAGTAAAAGGTCAGATAAGACACTTGACTGTGGAAAAAACACACCGGAAAACAACTTTATACACTGATTTCCTGATGTTGACCTTTGCCATAGTTGTACTCCAAATAAGGAGTTTAAATTGGGTTGAGTTACAACTATAACAAAGGTCGACATTGGAAAATCAACTATATAAAGTTGTTTTCTAGTGTGTTTGTTTCCCTAGTCTCATCCAGTAATTTTTTTTCCTGACCATTGGCTGATTGTGTTTCTTTATCTCATGACTGTGCACTTCTTCTCCTGGTTAGTTTTTCACTTGAATGTTACTTAATGTTACATTAAGCTTTTAGATTTTAGTTTAGTTTTAGTTTTTTTTTGCTTAGATTCTTTTTGAATAATTCTTTATGACTATTTACTCTTAAATAGAACTCTTATTTTGATCTTTTGCCCTCAATCCCAGTCTACATTATTGTCTAAAATTAGGTTATTTTGTTGATATTAAGAATAACCCTTGCATTTGATATAGCACCTTATCATGTCATTAAAACGTCTCAAAGGCGTCACAGAATATACTGTAAAGTGAATTGACTGAATATTTTGAGGGTGAAACGCAGCAGCCAATTGCACATGGCAGTGTCCCACAGACAGTTAAGGATTGAGTGACCAATTTTTTTTAAAAAAGTGATTGTTACCCCAGTAAGATGATCTGCAAATCGACTAACAACCGGGTTCTAACTTTTTGCTAGGTAAACAGAGGGTTGTGGGGTAAGGAAAATTGCCTAACATAGAAACGTAGGAACAGGAGTGGGGCATCCAACCCTCGAGCCTGTTCCGTCATTTTATAAGATCGTGGTTGATCTGTACCTCAACTCCAATTACTTGCCCTTGCCCCATATTCCTTGATACCCTGACCTAATAAATATCTATCCAACTCAGTCTTGAAAATTTGAATGGATCCAGCATCCACAGCCTTTTTGGGGAGAGAGTTCCAGGTTTCCATTACCCTTTGGGTGAAAACTGCCTCCTAATTTCACTCCTAAAAGGCCTAGCTCTAATTTTAATGTTATGCCCCTTCTTCTAGATTCCCCCACTAGAGAAAAACAGAGATCAAGTTTACGAAACCGGTCCTCATAATTTAACCCTTTAAGCCCTGGTATCATTCTGGTGAATGTGTGCTGCACCCCCTCCAGAGCCAATATATCCTTCCTGAGGTGCAGTGCCCAAAACTGGATGCAGTACTCTAGGTTGGGGTCTGACCAAGGCTTTATACAGTTGAAATGTTTCACCTCACCCAGGAATCAAGCCCGGGTCCTCTCACTTGCGAGACGAGTGCTCTCACCAATACACTATGGGTCTCCGGAAACTTGCCTAAGTTCAAAGAGGGACCAGCTCAGTTAGTCACACTCTTATCTCTCGGTTATAGGTCCTTCTCGGGGAATTTAACGTCACAGCCCAGGTTAACACTTCAGTGTAGTAATGGAAAAGAGGGTGGGGAGAGGGGCAGAGACCACTGTCAAAGTGGTGTTGGGGGGCAGAATTAGACTCCACATCCTGGGTCATGCGACAAATTGTGTGTGGACATTCAGAGGGCAGAAAAATTCCCAATGTCTTAACCTGAAGACCATTATCTTGAAGTTTAAGATTGTACACAATTGTATAGAATTATGAATGTTTTTTTTAATTGGTCCTTTTAAGAACTGCTGAAAATCATCTTGAAAATTAAAACTGAATTCAAGAACTCCCCCCCAAAATGTACAATCGTTATTTTTAAGTTTCTGGGTTTAAGGATAAGAATTTCAGGCCTCATGTGAGGAGAGGGTCAAGCTTTCAGATGCAAAGAAGCAATGGAGGGGATAAAATATTTTTTTCCTGAGAAGATGATACCATTGTGCAGTAAAGTTTGCATACATTCTGCTTGTATTCTACATTACTACTATGCAACATGTAAATGTCAAGCTATCCAGAGAAAGTAGAAACTGAATTTAGAAGTTCTAATTTCTTTTAAAATTACACAGGAGAAAGCAGTGGTGAACCTCTTCAATCTTGGTTTGCCAAGAAATACACTGTGGTCAGGTGTCCTTTTATTTAAAAAAAAGTTTAGCAAATGTTTGTTGTGTTTGTGTAATACTCTGGTTAACCACAATAACCATGAAATGACACTTGTCCACACACATTCACCCTTTCCTTTCCCTCTCTTTCTTCCCCTTTTTCCCATCTTTCCCCCCTCCATCCCTCTCTTTTGCCCCTCTCTTCCCCTCCCCATACCTCCCCCATTCCTTTGCGCCCTCCCCCACTTGTTCTCTCCCTCTTTTTACCTCCATCTCTCCGTATGTGTCTCTCTCTGTATGTATGTGTCTTTGTGTGCATGTGTGTCTCTCTCTGTATGTGTATGTGTCTCTCTCTGTAGGTATGTGCATTTCTCTCTGTTAGTGTGTGTCTCTCTGTATGTGTATCTCCCTCTGTATGTATGTATGTATCTGAATGTGTCTGTGCCTCTCAGTATGTGTGTATCTCTCAGTATGTGTGGTGTGTCTCTGTATGTGTGTGTGTGTCTCAGCATGTATGTGTGTGTGTCTTAGTATGTGTGGTGTGTGTGTGCGTCTCAGTATGTATGTGTATGCGTCTCTTTGTGCGTGTCTCAGTGTGTGTGTGTCTGTCTGTGTCTCAGTGTGTCTGTGTGTGTGTGTGTCTCAGTGTGTCTGTGTATGTGTGTGTCTCAGTGTGTCTGTGTATGTGTCTGTGTGCGTCTCAGTGTCTGTGTGTCTGTCTGTGTATGTCAGTGTGTGTGTGTATGTCAGTGTGTGTGTGTCTCAGTGTGTCAGTGTGTGTGTGTCAGTGTGTCTCAGTGTGTCAGTGTGTCTCAGTGTGTCAGGCTGTGTGTGTGTGTGTGTGTGTGTCAGTGTCTGTTTGTGTATGTCAGTGTGTGTGTGTCTCAGTGTGTCAGTGTCTGTGTGTCAGTGTGTGTGTCAGTGTCTGTGTGTGTGTGTCAGTGTCTATGTGTGTGTGTGTGTCAGTGTCAGTGTGTGTGTGTCAGTGTCTGTGTGTGTGTCAGTGTCAGTGTGTGTGTGTCAGTGTGTGTGTCAGTGTCAGTGTGTGTATGTGTGTCAGTGTGTGTGTGTCAGTGTGTGTGTGTCAGTGTGTGTGTGTGTGTCAGTGTGTGTGTCAGTGTCAGTGTGTGTATGTGTGTCAGTGTGTGTGTGTCAGTGTGTGTGTGTGTGTGTCAGTGTGTGTGTGTGTGTCGGTGTGTATGTGTGTCAGTGTGTGTCAGTGTGTGTGTGTGTGTGTGTGTGTGTCAGTGTGTGTGTGTGTGTCAGTGTGTGTGTGTGTCGGTGTGTATGTGTGTCTGTGTGTGGGTGTGTGTGTGTGTGTCAGTGTGTGTGTGTGTGTGTGTGTATGTGTGTCGGTGTGTGTGTGTGTGTGTGTCGGTGTGTGTGTGTGTGTCAGTGTGTGTGTGTCAGTGTGTGTGTGTGTGTCAGTGTGTGTGTGTCAGTGTGTGTGTGTGTGTCGGTGTGTGTGTCAGTGTGTGTGTGTGTGTCGGTGTGTATGTGTGTCAGTGTGTGTGTGTGTGTGTCGGTGTGTGTGTGTGTGTCAGTGTGTGTGTGTCAGTGTGTGTGTATGTGTGTCAGTGTGTGTGTGTGTGTGTCAGTGTGTCAGTGTGTGTGTGTGTGTCAGTGTGTGTGTGTGTGTGGCCATATCGCTGACGTGTCCCACACACAGTGCACTGTGACCCATTAATCGGCATATGATGCCTGTCGCGGGGCGCGAGCAGAGCGCAGGCGCAGAGTATCCGGGCACCCGGATGTGCAGTTGCCCGGGTTACGGGGTGGCTGATGGTGGGCAGCTGCTGAGTTATTAATACAGTAAATAGGGCCACCGCTTCAGCAGTGTTGGTCCGTGTCCTCTTCTACCTTCATAGCAATTCATCCTCATGCGCCGCGCCTTTCACATCGGGCGGATCGTCTCAGAGCGCTTCACTGGTTTGAAACAGAAAGCTGACTGGTAGCTGCCCTCCCCCTGTGCCTGTGCCTCTCCCCCTGTGCCTGTGCCTCTCCGCCTGTGCCTGTGCCTCTCCCCCTGTGCCTGTGCCTCTCCCCCTGTGCCTCTCCCCTGTGCCTGTGCCTCTCCCCCTGTGCCTCTCCCCCTGTGCCTCTCCCCCTGTGCCTGTGCCTCTCCCCCTGTGCCTCTCCCCCTGTGCCTGTGCCTCTCCCCCTGTGCCTGTGCCTCTCCCCCTGTGCCTCTCCACCTGTGCCTCTCCACCTGTGCCTGTGCCTCTCCACCTGTGCCGGCTCTCCCCTGTGCCCTGTGCCTCTCCAGCCTGTGCCGCAGTCTCCAGCCTGTGCCCGGCAGTCTCCAGCCTGTGCCCGGCAGTCTCCAGCCTGTGCCCGGCAGCTCCCCCTGTGCCTCTCCACCTGTGCCCGGCAGTCTCCAGCCTGTGCCCGGCAGTCTCCAGCCTGTGCCCGGCAGTCTCCAGCCTGTGCCCGGCAGTCTCCAGCCTGTGCCTGTCGGATGTCAAATGAACACTTGGTGACTGTTCTCCTGGGAGGGAGGTAAGCAGGTAAGTGTAAATATGTGACGAACTTTGGGTTTGGACACTTGTAAGCATATGGTGATGGGTTTCCCCGCGTGTCAGACACTAGATGAACTAAACAAAAACTACACGATTCACCGTAAAGTAATAATCTTTGCATTTGATATAGCTCTTTATCACGGCTTAGAGACGTCTCAAAGCGCTTCACAGAATATACTGTGAAGTGAATTTACTGTATATTTTGTTGGTCAGATTAACTAATAAGCAGGTGAAACATAGTTTAGGGCCCTGAGATCTGAGGGGCCCCAGATATTGTTGACACCTGTACGAGCCGACTGCACCTCTCTTCCATTCGGTGTATGAGAGTGATGGGAAGAGGGGGAGAGCAGGAGGTATGACTCAAAAGTTTTAGCATATCACAAGTTCCTTTAAATAGTTTGTTTTACGAGGCTGAAGGCAGATGTCTATCAGATGGTTGCGTGGCAAATAATCATGCAAATAAAATTAATCACTTCATGGCTGTTTGTGGGACTTACTATAATTGCATATAAAATACCCATTCACTGCCTTTTAAAATATATGCTGCATGGTGTTTTGAAACATCTTCCTGACGAGAAAGGCGCTATATCAAATACAAGGATTATTATTTTATTAAATGCCATCCTTTAGATGAGATGTTAAATCCAGCTCCTGACATCTGTCTAATCTTGCATAGACTTTAAAGATAGATGATGCAGTACTATTGGAAAAGAGGAGGTATCTTAGCCAACAATCCTCAAGATAATTTGATCATGGTCATTTGTAGGACCATGCTGTGCGCAAATTGGCTGTTGTGTTTGTCTAAGTATAGACTTGACATTCATTTCCTGTGAAGTACTTTTAACATGTTTTGACATTATGGTTGATGTAGCACGTGCAAAAATTATTATTATAGTCAAGCCTCAAATTGCTGTCAGGAATGAGAAATGCTTACAATATCTGTCCTTTTCTCTTGAAAGAGAAGGGTGAGGGGTGACCTAATAGAAGTCTTGAAAATTATGAAAGTTTTGATAAGGTAGACATAGAGAAGATATTTTCGCTTATAGGGGAGACCAAAACCAGGGGCCATAAATATAAAATAGTCAACAATAAAACAACAAAAATGACATTTGTATAGCGCCTTCCACTTCAGGAGGATATCCCAAGGTGCTGGACAGTCAGTGTTTCGGACCCGAGCGGGGGGTCGGGATAGGGGGGGGGTGGAGGGCAGGGGGGGAAGCAGGGTGATCAAACGCATGGTCGAAGAGGAGGGTCTTGTGATGGGTCTTGAAGGAAGCAAGCGACGGGGCGAGGCGGAAGGACTGCGGGATGGAGTTCCTGAGGGTGGGGGCAGAGTGGCAGAAGGCCCACCCGCCAATAGTGGGCAGGTGAGGCAAGGGACGTGAAGCAGGCCGCTGAGCGGAGGGAACGGGCAGGATGGTAGGGGGTTAGGAGGTCACAGAGTTAGTGGGAAACAAGGCCATGGAGGGCTTTGAAGGTGAGAACCAGGATCTTGAACTGTATTCTCTGTGTGATGGAAAGCCAGTGGAGTTGGGCGAGGGTGGGGCTGATAGGGTCACGGAACCTGGTGTGGGAGAGGACAGGTGCCTCAGAGTTCACCAATAAAGCAAACAGGGAAGTCAGAAGAAACTTTTTTATCCAGAGAGCAGTGGGAATGTGGAACTTGCTACCACAAGGAGTATTAGTTGAGGCGAATAGCAAAGATGCATTTAAGGGGAAGCTGGATAAGTACATGAGGGGAGAAAGGAGTAGAAGGTTATGCTTGAAGGCTTAGTTGAGGAAGGGCAGGAGGAGGCTCACGTGGAGCATAAACTCCGGCATACACCAGGTTCGGCCGAATGGACTGTTTCTGTGATGTATATTCTATGTAATTCTGTGTAATTGAGCTTTGGGTCTCAACACATACCAGTAAGGAAAGATCTGCTGACTACATAAGGTGGTGATTTCAGAAACTAAATGCCCTTTAGGTTGAACAGTCACCACCCATTGCACTTATGCAAGTCACAAATATGTTGTTGAAGGTTACAATGGGATGTTCATATATTCTCCTGAATTCACACGTCAGAGTCAGTGGAATTCAATAATAATAATAATAATCCTTGCATTTGATATAGCGCTTTTCACGTCTTCTCGACGTCTCAAAGCGCTTCACAGAATAGACTGTAAAGTGAATTGACCGTATATTTGTGGGCGAAACGCGGCAGCCAATTGCGCACAGCAGTGTCCCACAAACAGTCATGGATTGAAAATGACCAATTTATTATTGTTTGTTTTTTGGAGGGATTATTATTAATTGCTATGGTTGCACAGGAAAATTTTTCTGGTGTTCACGCAACGATTATCTGACATTTGAACAAACTAGTCAACATAATTTATTTCAAAGTGTCATCATCTGCAGGGAGGTTAATCTGAATAATTGCTGCAAAAGGGTAACATCCGTATACTGTTATGCATTGTATGCTTGCCAGTTCACTTCAGGAATGCTTGCAAAAACTGCATAAAGCAAAGTTAAAATAGTGATTGGGTGCCATGTTCTTTCAAACTTGTCAGATTGGAGTCTTGTAGTTTAGTGGTTAGAGCACTCGCCTCACAAGCGAGAGGACCTGGTTCGATTCCCGGCAGCGCGAAAGGCTGAGAAAGCTTCCTTGCTCCGCACGCCTCTGTTCACCTAGTAGTAAATGGCTGCCCCGTTTCACCCACAAAATATACTGTAAATTCACTTTACAGTATATTCTCTGAAGCACTTTGAGACGTTGCAAAGACGCGATAAGGCGTTATATCAATTATAAGGATTATTATTGTTAACAAGGGGTGGTTGCTAAATGAAGGTGGTTGTTTGTGCAGGTTTGACTGTATTGGTTTAAATGTACTTGCCTTTTTTTCCCCCAAAAGATGTCACAATTATGTACGTAGTCAGCATGGTTCAGTGGTAGCACCCTCGCCTCTGAATCAGAAGGTTGTGGGTTCAAACCCCATTTCGGGACTTGAAATCACATAGGACACTCCAATGTAGTTCTGGAGAGGTGTTGTATTGTTGGAGGTGCTGTCCTTCAGATAAGGTACTGTCGGCTTGTTCAGGTGGACGTTAAAGATCCAGCGGCACTATTCAAAAAGTGAAGGGAGTTGATCCTGGTGCCCTGGCCCACAGTTCCCCAAAATAAAATTGTTCATTCCTTTCATAGCTGTTTGTGGGACATTGCTGTGCGCAAATTGGCTGCCACGTTCCCCCACAAATACAGTTGCTCCATTTCACACTGAGTCTTGTGAAATGCTTTGGCATGTCCTCCTGACGTAAAAGGCGCTATACCAAATGCAAAGATTATTATGTATATGTTACTATATAAGCCCTCCACTGTAACATGTGTCTATATTTTTCAGTTTTATGAAGGTCCCACAGTGGTTATCCCAAGGCCTGATAATCCATTGCAGCGATTTCCAGAGTAAAAACAAAAAGTTTTTCTATGCAACAGGAACCACGTTCCACAATACAATGAAGGTATGGAAAAAAGACTATGTGAACATATCTTGAAACATTCAGAGTAAATGGAATTCTTCCCAAATACTTCTGGTGCTTCATTAATTGAGGCATATGCCTTATCCTCAATAAGTAAGGAAAAATTGGAAATGATCTTTTTGAGTGATCTTCCTTCCCCCTTGTTGTATAGATAATCAAATGTAAAACAGGTGACTAATGGAAGATGGAAGCAGGTGGAGGCTGTGAGCCTACTATAAAATTGAAGCCTTTTCAAGCTTGAACGAAAAATGTTTTCATTGAGAAGTGTTACACAACACCTATCCCCATTGTATTTGAGATGAACTGTTACAAATGCTCCTGAGATTTTGCCTTGACACATTGTTGAAGAAACAATCCTACACCCATCTGTTTTCAATTCACAGCAGCATGAAGTTTATTTGTCTACATCAATGCTTCCACTTTTTCATTATTTTGTGATTGTGACAGTAAGAAAACATGAGCAGACGAATGGGCTGTAATATGATATTTGCATTATTCCAACCAAAATTTTAGTATAAATATGCAAATTTACAAATTGGTTTCCTATACTGCAACAAAAGAAGCACAAACCGGTAACCTGACACCAATAAACACCTGGACCTCATACGAAGGCCCAAAGACTGATAAAGGCTGTCATCTGCTGTCTGGGCAAGTTCAACCTGTTTATAATATGTTGGTTGAATTGAGTGACTCACTCTAGTGTACTCCAAAGCATTCTGTTTCTAACCCAATGAGGAAGGAAGCAGTGCTGGATCTAGTTCTGCGGAATGAAGTGGGGCAAGTGGAGCAGATTTCAGTAATAATAATAATAATAATCCTTGCATTTGATATAGCGCTTTTCATGTCGGGAGGACGTCCCAAAGCGCTTCACAGAATATACTGTAAAGTGAATTGACTGTATATTTGTGGGCGAACGCGGCAGCCAATTGCGCACAGCAATGTCCCACAAACAGTCGTAGATTGAAAATGACCAATTTATTATTGTTTTTTTTTGGAGGGATTATTATTAGGCTCTGTGTGGAGTAAGGAAACTTGCCCAAGGTTTCGCCCTCGGCCTGGAATTGAACTCAGGTCTCTCACTTGCACAGCGAGTGCTCTAACCACTGAGCTACAGGACTCCAGTAGGAGAGCATCTGGACAACAGTGATCACAACATCATTAGGTTTAGAGTACTTATGGAAAGGGACAAGGAGCAATCAAAGGTGAAGATACTCAACTGGAAGAGGACTAATTTCAGTGAGTTAAAAAGGGATCTAGCCAAGGTGAACTGAAAAGAAAAATTGGCAGGTAAAACAACTAACAAGCAATGGGAAGCCTTCAAGGAGGAGATAGAAAATACATTCCCACAAAGGGGAAAGGTAGGGCATCCAAACCTTCCTGGATGAATAAGGAAATTGGGACTAAAATAAAACAGGAGGCTTATGATACATGTCTGGTCCAAAATACAGAAGATAATCAAATAGAATATAGAAAGTACAGAGGCAAACTGAAAAAGGAAATAAAACGGGTAAAGAGATTATATGAGAAAAGATTAGTAGGTAACGTAAAAAGGAACCCTAAGGTATTTTATAAGCATATAAAGAATAAAAGGTTAGTCAAAGGTAGGGTAGGTCCAATTAGGGACCAAAGAGGAAATCTTCTTGTGGAGGCAGAGGGCATGACATATGTACTGAATGAGTACTTTGCATCTGTCGTCACAAAAGAGGATGTAGCCCATGGCCACAGTATCATAGGAGAGGGTAGAGAAATTGGATAAGATAAGAATAAACCAAGAGAAGGTACTAAAAAGGTTGTTGGTGCTCAAGGTAGATAAGTCACTGGGTCTGGACGGGACGCATCCTGGGTTACTGAGGGAAGTAAGGGTGCAAATGACGGAGGCTCTGGCCACAATCTTTCAATCCTCCTTGGACACTGGGATGGTGCCAGAGGACTGGGGGGTTGCAAATGTTACTCCCCTGTACAAAAAGGGGCTGATGGATAAACTCTGGAACTACAGGCCGGTCAGCCTAACGTCAGTAGTGGGGAAACTTCTGAAGACTATAATCCGGGACAAAATAAATTTTCACTTAGAAAAATATGGGTTAATAAAGGACAGCCAACAAGGATGTGTTAAAGGCAAATCATGTCTAGCAAACCTGATAAGAGTTTTTTGATAAAGTAACAGAGAAGGTGGATGAAGGTAGCGCAGTTGATGTAGTTTATATGGATTTTCAAAAGGCGTTTGATAATGTGCCACTAGAGACTTATAAGCAAAATAGAAGCCCACAGTCTTAAAGGGACAGTGGCAGCATGGATACAGAACTGGCTGGGAGACAGAAAACAGAGAGTGGTGGTGAACGGTTGTTTTTCTGACTGGAGGGAAGTGTGCAGTGGTGTTCCCCAGGGGTCAGTGTTAGGATCAATGTTGATTTTGATCTATATAAATGGCCTGGACTTGGGTATAGAAAGCACAGTTTCCAAGGTTGCAGATGATACTAAGCTAGTAAAAGTAGTAAACAGTGAGGAGGATAGTAGCAGACTGCAGATGGACATAGACAAACTGGTAAAATGGGAAGACATGTGGCAGATGAAGTTTAATGTGGAGAAATGCAAAATAATGAATTTTGGGAGGAAGAATGAGGAGAGGCAATAAAAGCTGATGGTACAATTTTAAAGGTGTTGAAGGAATAGAGAGACCTGGGGGTTTATGTAAGTAAATCTTTGAAGGTGGTAGGACAGGTAGATAAAGCTATTTTTAAAAAAAGCATACAGGGTACTAGGCTTTATAAATAGGGGCATAGAATGCAAGTCAGGAAGTTATAAAACACTAGTTAGGCCTCAGCTAGTGTGTTCAGTTCTGGGCACCACACTTTAGGAAGGATGTCAAGGCATTGGAGAGGGTGCAAACGAGATTTACCAGGAACGAAGCACTTCAGTTATCAGGAGAGGTGAGAGAAGCTAGGATCATTCTCCTTGGAGCAGAGAAAGTTAACAGGAGACCTAATAGAAGTTTTCAAAATTATGACAGGATTCGCTAGGGTGAACAAGGAGAAACTATTTCCACTGGCAACTGGGTCGGCAACCCGAGGATGCCGATTTAAAATAGTTCTTAAAAGAAACAGAGAAGGTGAGGAGAAATTTTTTCAAACAACAAATTGTTCGTATCTGGAATGCATTGCCTGAAAGGGTGGTGTAAGCCGACTCGATAACAACTTTTAAGAGAGAAGTAGATAATTATTTGAGGAGGACAAGTTTGTGGGGCTATGGGGAGAGAGCCGGGGAGTGGGATTGAATTGGTTAGCTCTTTTCAAAGAACCAGCACAGGCACGATGGGCCAAATGGCCTCCTTGTGTGCTGTATAATTCTATGATTCTATAGGGCTTCTGCATTAATTGTTGATTGAATTATGAAAGCTTTGCAGAGTCTAAGAACCATTTGTGATCATGACCAGCATATTGTTTGCAAAAATGACAAAAGAACAAATTGCCTCCTTAATTACTTAGCATTTTCTAATTATTAAAACTGATTTTTATTACAGATACCATTTTGAGTTGCACGAACCTACAGGAGAGAAAATATGTATATAACTGTCAAGAACCATGAAGGTACCAAGAATAGCATTCGTATTTGTCATTTTCCTGTGCATTTTCATATACTACATGTATCCGAAGAAACTTTCTCAAGCAACACAAACTGGACACGTGAATCCCATCCCATCAGTGTTCTATCAATCAGCAAGACTAGTCTTCTATGGAATTATGTTTGATGCTGGCAGCACCGGAACACGCATCCATGTCTTCAAATTTACTCAAAAACCAAATGGTATGTTCTGATAGCTAATTTGGGAAATGCTGAAGAATAGTTTTTTTTCACGTAATACTATCTTACGGAGAGACTGTGGCAACTTGTTTCATGCTGTCTTTAAGGCAAATTTAAATGAATTTAAAATTTTTGATATTTCCTTTGACAATTCTGGAATGACTTCTAGTATATTGAAAATACTTGTATGTTGTCCTCCTGGAACTCCTTTGGAAACCCATGGCATGGACCTGTCTATTCAGTAACTTTACAGAAGGATGTTTGGCACGTTTGATAAAATCGTGAGAGGTACAGATGGAGAGGAATTTAATACAAAATGGCCTTGTTTGTTGGGTAATTAGAACCATCAGCTAACGACTCACGTCAGGAAACCCGTTCAGGTTTAGGGTTGCAAAGAATAATTTCAAAACCGACAACAGGAAATATTTCTTTACCCAGAGGGTAATTAGAGACTGGCACATATTACTGAAAAGGATGGTTATTGGTAGGTTGGGTATTCTGGAACTATGAGATTCAATGGGCTGAAGGGTCAACTATGAAAAAAATCTGCAAGTTTAGATTTGAAAAACAAAATTCAGGAAAAAAATCATCAAATGGTTATCGGTGAAATTTGGTTAAAAAAATTATTTTAATGAACTGTAGATAAATGAGATTTATTGAATTTTTCTATTTGATTCTGTTTATTTGAACATAGAAATATTGTCATTTCAGCATTACAGTGATTTTTTAAAATGTTTTGATATGTTTTGAATGCACAATTTCTACTGAACATGATATTAACATCAGCAACAACAACTTGCGATTATATAGCACCCTCCACGCAGCGTAGCATCTTAGAGAGCTTAATGTTCTGTTTAATATAAAATTAGAAAATGCAGCTATATCTGGGATTGGATGTCTTCTGCATCTATATGTTGTAACTTTTTTTAAAAGCTGAGTTACTGAAGCGACAAGTAACGGTAATGCATGTGACTTGGCTTCAAAAGTAAAAGCACAAATTTATCCATTGTTTGTCAGCGCTACTCATAAAAAGCCATAATGGGTCACGACGTTGATTCCAGTAAGGTGGAAATATCATTGTTGTGCAGTACAGCATGTGCTTTTCTGAATTTGCAAATAGGACATTTTATTGAGTCAAGAGATTTACAGTGTATCTAGCAAAACTGAATTATACGCAACACCAGCTGGGAAAACTAGGGCAATACCCAATCATGATCTTGGGCACAGATTTCACCAACGTAAATCAACAAAGCAGTCCATTTTAGAAGTTGTTATATGCTCACATGTTTTAAATAAGAGCCACAGATTTGATGCACCATTTTTAATTTTTTTAAACTTGCATTTTCTTTCAATAGAATCTCTTAAACTCACAGAAGAAATTTTCAAAGCCCTGAAGCCAGGATTGTCAGCCTATTCCGATGAACCACACTTGGTATTTACTTTTTTATTATTACAATGAAGTAAAATTAATGTACTGTTTAAAATGCTTTATTTAGTGGAAACAAAAACTGGGAGGTCCTCAATTCTTAGTTGAAAAGTTCTTGATAGAGCCTGAAAGAAATATGCAGCCTTATTCAGATGGTTATAATAATAATCTTTGCGTTTGATATAACGCTTTTCACGTCTTCTCGACGTCTCAAAGCACTTCACAGAATATACTATAAAGTGAATTGACTGTATATTTGTGGTTGCAATGTTTTCTTGTACATCTTAATATTTTATTTATGTGAAGAAAATGATCTGTACTTGTTTCAGAAATAATAAGTGAAAAGTATGCATTTGATTTTTAAACCCAATGCTTCATCGAGTCAGTTAATTGACACTACCTTCTTTTAGTAAAACAAAGGAACGGTAGATCGTTCAACCTGTCAAGTCTCCTGGATTGGATTTAAATTATTTAAATTTATATTAGTGGAGGCTTTGTAATTTCATACTAAAATCCGTAACAAAAAATAGTCAAAGCAGTTCTCTAAATTGTTCAGGTTTCTCATTGCAACTAACAGGATTTGTACATTGGAAAGTTATTTTATGGATTTCTAGATTATGATGGCCAAACCAGCATGGCTCATAGGCAAGCCAAAGCCCTAATGAGTAGGGTTGTCCAAGCCGGATAAGCAGCCCTCCATGGTGAGACTGCATTCCATTCCAGACTCAGAAAGTTTCATGTGCAAGTGACATGCAAATGTGGAACTCTGGTTTGACAGTCTTAATCATGATGATGAGTTTTCATGTGTATCAGACACCCTGTTAATCAAAAAAANTTTCAGTTGAAAAACTACTATACTCATTTCTTAGTTACATTTTAAGCATAATAGAGTTCTGTTTATAAGTTATGTTCATTTGGTTAATGTTTTGTAGTGTATGAAGAACATTCAGGATTTGCTAGATGTTGCCAAAAACTCAATTCCCAGTGACTTTTGGGCAAACACACCTGTAGCCTTGAAGGCTACAGCTGGTTTACGGCTGTTACCTGCAGAAAAGGCAGAGGGTTTGCTGGATAAGGTAATGTTTTGCTTCAGCTATAACTTATACAATACTAAATAACATTTGTATAGCGCCTTTCACATTGGGAGGCGCTCGACAATCAGGGATTTGGACCCGAGCTGGGGGTCGGGATGGGGCAGGGTGGAGTGCAGGGAGGGTAGTAGGGTGGCCAAAGGCTTGGTCGAAGAGGAGGGTTTTGAGATGCACCTTAAAGGGGGCAAGAGAGGGAGCCAGGCGAAGGGAATGTGGGATGGAGTTCCATAGAGGGGTGCAGAAAAGCTGAAAGCCCAGCCGCCAATGGTGGGGCGGGTCAGAAAGTGGAGTGGAGCAGGACAGAGTCTGCTGAGCGGATGGAGCGGACAGGTTGATATTCAGTCAGTAAGTGGCAGAGGTAGGAGGTGCTACGGCATGGAGGGCCTTGAAGACGAGGACGAGGATTTTGAACTTGATGATAAATGAAAGATTAAGAAATGTTGCTTTTTGCGGATTTTTGGAAAGCAAAATGATTGTTTTAGAATTACGCAAAGTAATCAAGCCAAATGCAATATGCCTTAATACAGGGTAACCAAAAAGTTATACCATTACAATGTCTAATAAGTCTTAAAGAAATTATGATTTTTTTGTACATAATAAGGTAGATATCAAGACTTTTTGGTCACCCTGTACTTGCAGACAAGATACAACTGGAATTAGAGTGACAGGGGTTGCCAACCCAGGAGTATTGCTAGCACAAGTTAATTTTTTTGTTCACTGATTCATATTTTGTATGCAGTATTCTTTGTGGCTTTATGAAGCTACTTTCCTGTACCATTCTCCAGTTATTGTGTGCTCCATTTAGCAACTACCAGTTCAGCCACTTTTCTTTCTCTTCCCCCCCACCATTTGTGGAGTCCTGTAGCTCAGTGGTTAGAGCACTCGCTTTGCAAGTGAGAGACCTGAGTTCAATTCCAGGCAGAGGGCGAAACCTTGGGCAAGTTTCCTTACTCCACACAGAGCCTAATAATAATCCCTCCAAAACCCAAAACAATAATAAATTGGTCATTTTCAATCTACGACTGTTTGTGGGACATTGCTGTGCGCAATTGGCTGCCGCGTTCGCCCACAAATATACAGTCAATTCACTTTACAGTATATTCTGTGAAGCGCTTTGGGACGTCCTCCCGACGTGAAAAGCGCTATATCAAATGCAAGGATTATTATTATTATTATTGAAAAGACAGTCTAGTTATCTGAAACCAAGTTTCTGCCAATAAAGAATCTGAACTGGACATAGTATTGTATTTGAGAGCAGCACAAGAAATACATCCCGCTGTTTTCTCCTTGAAGTGAGAAAGATTGTCACTTATTCTCATGACTTCCCTGAAAGCTTGGGCAATATTTGATATCAAATGCAAAGATTATTATTCATATTTGGAACTCAACATGTGCAGAAATGTTAATGAATCTATATCTCTTGGAGTAATGCAACATGATTAATGTCATTCCTTATTTTTTTTTAAATCTCTGGATATTTTTAAAAGCTATCCTCTCCAAAATTCTCCATTACGTTTTTTTTGCTAACCCATTTGATACCCTTTTTTCCCTTCCACCGGAGGTGTGGTACTGTCCGTAACCTTCAGTACATTGCCCAGGCAACCATGGGCTGTGTCTAACCCAGGCTTTGTGCACTTTGGCTCCTGTATTTGCCAACAAATATTCAGGATAGGATTTCTAAAGATTGGGTTCACAATCATCATAATCACCTGATCTTTGGCATTATGTGTCGCCAGGCAATTTTGCATGTGAGTGCCATTGCACCTGCCTTTTGCATGAAATTCACACATGTATGCCAATGTTTTCATAGTGATTCGAGCCAAAGACATAGATGCCTTATTTTTCACACTCCATAACTTGTACTTTTGTGGCCGATGGTGGCCTGGGTCAGATCAGACTGGGGATCAAACCTGAGAACATTCGTGGTTTTCTTGGCTCAGTTAACACGCTGGACAAGAGAGAAGTAGATAATTATTTGGGGCAACAAAAACAGAAGTCGCTGGGAACACTGTTTTGTTTCAGATTTCCAGCATCTGCAGTATTTTGAGTTTTGTAATTATTTGGGGAGGACAAGTTTGCAGGGCTATGGGGAGAGCACGGGGGGAGTGGGATCGATTTGGATAGCTCTTTTCAAAGAGCTGGCACAGACAACAATGGGCCAAATGGCCTCCTTCTGTGCTGTATAATTCGATGATTCTATGATAAGCAAATGTTGGATATGTAAATTTGCTAAACCCGTAGAGAGGCTGCATTTTCTGATGTTGTTGCACAAACTAAAGCTTCACACCCAACATTACAGTAGTAATGAAGAGAGTCAAACTGTCGAGTGGAGGAGCGCCTCTGTGTCAGGAATAGGTGTCAGGCTGGCTCACTCTGTAGTGCTCTCACATCTGCATCACAAATCTGGGTTTAAGCCCCACATCAGGATTTTGAACTCACAGTCAAAACTATCATACCAATTCAGTGAGGTGAGGGTGGGGAGAGTGCTGCATTGTCGGACATACCATCCTTTGGATGAGACATTAAATCAAGGTTCTGTCTCCTGTTCAAGTTAATATTACAGTCCGTACATCACTTTTTAAAAGAGAAGGGAGTTTCTCCTAGTATTTCTAAAGGCTGGGATCACAATCAAACATAAAAATAAAATAGGAATTGTGCATTCACAACATACTTTCTCTTAGGTAAAAGAAGCCTTCAAAACATCGCCTTTCCTAGTAAGAGATGATAGTGTTCGTATCATGGATGGAACTGACGAAGGTAGGATGCTGGTAAAATTCTGTTTGGTTTTAATTATTTATTTCCCTTCTATATAAGCAAATGGTAATATGTAATGCTCACAGTACAGTAGAACTTTTTTGTTTTACACACCCAAATTCCCTTCCCTCCCAAAAATGCGCAGTTCAGATGTCAGATGGATGACTTCTCTTTGCACATCTCATCCATTTCAATGTTTCCTCATCTTAAAACTGATTATAAAAATAGGAAACTTATAAATCTGTATATGGCAATTCAGTACTTTACCAACCAGCCTGACCAACAGTCCCCGGATAAAATCAGTCATTCTCTTAATTTTGTGGCAGTTTGTGGGACATTGCAAGATGCAAATTGGCTGTTGAGTTCACTTACAAATACATAGTCAATGCACTTTGCAGTATATCTTATGAAGTACTTTGAGATGTTTTGACGGCATGATAAGGTACTTTGTCAATTGCATTGATTATTATAATATTGGTATGGTCCCCCAATTGAATGTGAGGGTCATGTAACTTTGAGATTCAGGCTATTTTGACCCTTTTTTAATTTTGAGACGTCTTGAAGGTGTGATAAGGCTATATCAATATCAAATGCAAAGATTATTATTTTTAACAGTACAGGTGGTTACACACTCTGCTGGCACATCTTCCCCTCCAGAAAAGGTTGTATCCTCTTAAGAGACGTATATCTTCGCCACGTGTCTGATTCCTCTTGCTTACATAATATGAGTTATGAGCATTCCCAGAGTAACTGGAGATTGGAAATTTGAAAATCTTATATAATATGTGTCTTATATTTACAGGTATTTCTGCATGGATCACTGTCAACTTTATAAAAGGTACAAAACTGCATATATGAATGTAGTAATCAAGTCTACTCGATCATAGTACTTGTTAGATAAATTATGTGTTTTCAAAGATGCTTTTAATTTTTGCATGTTTTTATATTGTTCAGTTCTTTGACAGTGGGGAGTGAAATGTATTTAAGAACTTTTGTTCAATTTAAATATAAATGTATAAATACTATAAAGTTTCTCTGTAATGGCAATCAAACATGGAAAGCTCAAACACTTCCCTGAAAGCTAACTTTAATGTCTGATTCAGTGAGAACATAAGGATTCTTAGTCTGCTGTAGGATGTCACATTCAATGCTTACATCAATGTGATGTCTAAACTCGTTGAACAGATAACTTTAGATGCCTGCAGTCCATACGTTTTTTTTTGGTGAAGTCGGAAAATATATCGACTTGGCTCTGGATTCTATGCCTCCGTTTCTGAAAGCTAATGCATCCTAAGTTGGAAGTCAAACAATTCAAATTTGATTGAAAACCAGTTTCTTTTTTCGTAGCTATTGTGTCTGGTTTTGGGAAAGGGAGGGTTAACCGAGATGGAACCTCTCTGACACCTCATTTCATCCCTAATGTAAAGTAATTCTGGGTATTAAAGCATAGTTTTGATTAGAAAACATTAGAATACATTACAATATATAACACAGAAACGGATCATTCAGCCCAACTGGTCTATGCCGGTGTTTGTGCTCCACATGAGCCTCCTGCCCTTCCTCAACTAAGCTTTCAAGCATAACCTTCTATCCTTTAGCTTCCCCTTAAATATATCTATGCCATTTGCCTCAACAAATCCTTATGGTAGCATATTCCACATTCCCACTACTCTCTGTATGAAGAAATTTCTTCTAACTTCCTTATTTCATCTATTTGTAACTATTTTATATTGATGGCCCCTGGTTTTGGTCTCCCCCACAAGTGAAAACACCTTCCCTATGTCTACCCTATCAAAACCTTTCATCATTTTAAAAAGAGTCCAAGCATGTTCAGCCTTTCCTGATAGGTATAACCTCTCAGTTCTGGGATCTTCCTTGTGAATCACCTTTGCACCCTCTCCATTTCCTCTGCATCCCTTCCATAATGTGGGGACCAGAACTGCACACAGTATTCTAAGTGTGGTCTAACCACGGTTCTATAGAAGTTTACCATAACTTCCCTGCTTTTCATTTCTATCCCTCTAGAAATGAATCCCAATGCCTGGTTTACTTTTTTATGGCCTTATTAACCTGCATTTCTACTTTTAGTGAATTGTGTATGTGTACCCCCAGATCCTTTTGCTCCTCTACCCCGTTCAGGTTTTTATTTTCCAGGATGTTTGTGACTTCCTTATTCCTTCTACCAAAATGTACCACCTCACACTTTTCTACATTGAAATGCATTTGCCATTTAAATGCCCATTCAGCAAATTTATTAATGTTTTGCTGTAATTTGTTGCAGTCCTCCTCTGTATTAACTACTCCCCCCAATTTGGTGTTGTCTACAAATTTTCAAATTGTACCGAATCCAAATCATTAATGTATATTGTGAACAACAGCGGTCCCTGTACCGATCCTTGTGGAACACCACTGCCTACCCTCTGCCAGTCTGAGTAGCTACCCTTTACCTCTACTCTCTGTTTTCTGTCTTGCAGCCAGCTTGCTATCCATTCTGCTGTTTTTCCCCTGACTCCACATGCTCTGACCTTATTCATTAGTCTATTATGTGGTACCTTATTGAACGCCTTTTGGAAATCTAAATATATTACATCTACCACATTACCCTTGTCTACTCTTTCTGGTACCCCTTCGAACAATTCAATGAGGTTGGTCAAGCATGACCTTCCTTTTTGAAATCCGTGCTGACTATTCTTTATTATATTTTGCATTTCTAGATGTTTCTCTATTACCTCCTTCAGTAATGATCCCATTACCTTGGAATGTCAGAGAGGTTCCTACCACCGATGTTAAGATGACAGGTCTATAGGTCCCTGGGCTTGTTCTATCTCCCTTTTTAAATATAGGTATAACAGCTATCCTCCAGTCCTCTGGCACTACTCTCTTTTCTAATGAGTTATATATGTGTAATAGTGCCTCTGCTATTTCTTCCCTCGATTCTTTTAATATACATGGATGCAATCCATCTGGACCAGGGGTTTTATCCTCTCTGACTACTTTGCTGTTTTAATTATAATTTGTTGTTTTGTTTTTAGACTACTTACACATGTCAAAGCCAAGTTCGATAGGAATTCTTGATCTCGGAGGCGGTTCCACCCAAATCACATTTTCACCACACAGCGATGTAAGTAGCTTCCTAGAAGTGTAGAGTTAGAGAGCCTAGAACTAATCTTGAAGTTTAGTTTTTAAATAGTTTAAGTTTTATACTCAGACAAGATTTTTTTAAATTACACAGTAGGACATTTTTTTATTAATGTACTATTATTCATTCTCATGGTAGATCACATGTAGTACACAACAAGGGCACTTATATGATACCTTTCATGTACCAAAATATTTCAGAGTGCATTCCAGGAAAGTTTTAGATCACTGAGCAAGATGGAAAGAGGGGTTAATAAGGAAGAAGGTAACCAAAAGCATGGTCAAAGAAGTCGTTTTTCAGAAGGGTTTTAAAAATTAGGAGAGGGAACTGAACAGAGACATTTGGGGAGTTCCAAGGAACGAGAGCACTGCTCGACCGCCAGTGGTGGGATGGAAGTTGCAAGGGATATGCAGCAAGCCTGAGTTGATGAACGAGTCTGAAAGAGATTGCAGATCGGGTAGGACAAGGGAGTGGAGGAATTTGAAGATCAGAATGATGATCTTGAATTTGAGCCTGTTGAGGATGAGTGATGGGAAAACAGAACCTTGTGCAGGAGAAACTTCTGGCTGCAGAATTCTGCATGAGCAGAAACTTATGGAGCTAGGGAGTCTAGAGGTGACAAAGGTGGTTTGAGGGTTTGGGCTGTTTGATGGTGAGGTAGGGCTGGATTCAGGTGATATTCCAAACATGGAAAAAGATGGACTTCGTCATGCATCGGATATAGGGTTTTAAGTCATGTTGTGCATAAAGTGACTTTCTGATAAAGAATGTAAAAAGAATTTACCTACAATTATGTGTAACATTTCTTCCAAATTTTATTAAGGTACTAAACTTGCACTTGTATAGTGCATCTAAGATAAAATAATCCTTGGATTTGATATAGCTCCTTTCACATTGGGAGGATGCCTCAAAGTGGTACACATGGACGAAGCACTTTAGAAATGATTTGGAGCATCAATCAGGAAGGAAAATTGGCCAAAGACAGTCAGAGAGAAGGTTTTGAAGGCAAAGAGAGAAAGTACTGAAGGATTTTAGTAGAATTCCATAGTGGGGGAAGATAATGACAAGATGTATCACAAGGTGAGTCAGGAACAAGCAGTGGACCAGAGTCAGAGCATAGAACATTGGTGGGAGAATAGAGCTGGAGGAGATGACATAGGTAAAGAGCGGCAAGGCAGAGAAGAGATTTGAAGGTCCAAATGAGTATCTTAAAGTCAATTTGCTGGGGAATCAGGAGCCAGTGGAGCCTAGTGAGGATGGAGCTTATGGGTGTGTAGCTCCTAGTGCAGTAGAGTGTACAGGCTGGAAGGTTTTACATGAGTTGGAACTTGTGTTTGGGAGAGTTATGGAAGTGAAGAACCAAAAAAAAGTCCTTCAATAAAAAGCTTAAGAAATTGCAAAAAATATTCTGACTATGAGAATCCTACGTAAGATTTTCTCAAGGCAGTCATAATCCAGGACATTGTAGATGTGAGTCTGTGGCCAGATTTTCCGATAAATATGCATTCAACTTGGCCAGCTTACCCAGTCTTTACTAGGAGTGGAATGGAGGGTAGTGATAAAATATGCTTGATGTAAGAAAAAGAAAACTCGAGTTGATGTGAGGTAATTAAGGCATGTGGATTACAAAGTATTTCACTCCATATTTGACCTGTGCTATACATGACCTTCGAGTATTTAATACCAACACTCTTTATAATGGAGATGTTCCATTTTGAGAAAACTGTACTTCAAAAATAAATTGTCAAAAGGGTCCCAAACCACTAATTGTTAGTAATTGAATTTTTTTTTAACAATTTGTCAGTTCAGTTTTAGTGGGGGCATTAATTGCATTTAGCTCTGGCTTTGTGTTGCCAGGAGCTGTAAATGGCAATGCCAAATAGCTGTTCCCTTTATGTATTTAATGAGTGAGGACATTTATGTTGCATAATTAATAAATTGATTTTGCTCCAAGTTTGTTTCAATAATTTGCATCTAATTATAGTGGATGTAGAAGTTTCCATTGTACAATTTTATGCTAATGCTGTACAAGTGTTCTGTGCCTCAATCAAGTGTAAAAAATCAATAGCAAGACTTATTTCATCAAATGTCCTGCTGCCATCCAGTGGCAGTTACTGAAACAGCAGGTAAAGGACTAAATGCTGTAATAATAATAATCCTTGCCATTTGACACAGCACCTTATCATGTTGTCAAGAAATCCTAAAGCGCTTTACAGGAATTATTGTAAAGTGTAGTGATTTTGTAGGTGAACATGGCAGCCAATTTGCACACAGCTGTGCCCCACAAATAGCCAGTAACTAACAGAAGTGAATGAGAAATTTTATCCAGGGGATTGTTGGCCAGGATACTGTGAGAAACTCCCTTGTCTTTTCGAATAATGCCATGAACACCCACCTTTTTGAATACTTTATATCAACCTGAACAAATTTGGACTTTGGCTTTACATTTCATCTAAAAGATGGCATTGCTGATATTGCAGCATTCCCCCTAATCACTGGTGAAATTAGGATTCTGTGGGATTGTTTTGTTTTAGCTGCTGTAAGACATGCAAGAATGGAGGAGACAGGGGTGGAGATGGCAGACAGAGTCAAGTTCATGCTGTTGATTTTACACAAGCAGAGAATATCAACTAAATAGCTTGAAATAATATTTTACTACATCTATATCTGCTATAACACCCTGATATTGGTGCCAGAATTGCTATTTTATTTTTTAATTCAATTTCAGCTCATGCATTAACTGGCACGCTAACTACTCAGGAAGAAGAATTATTGTTCAATTAATGAGTGTGGCGACTGATTTCTGCATTGGATAATCCTTTAACATTTGAAAGCTGATTGTCACTGGTTATTTTTGGAAGGATGGGTAGTGTGACAGTTTAACTAGGGAGAAGATGCTGTCTGCAGCCAAACTAAGATTGTTGAGCACTAAAGAAAGAATTTGCATTTTACAGCACGTTCTTTACACATGAAATGGGCCCTAAACACTTTAAGGATAATTCTTATCAATTGCAGTAACTTTTTTGCAGTCCCATAAACGACAATCTCAATTCATTTGGAACTGTCTTGGCCATGACACAAGGAGAAACTCCCTTCCCTTTTTGAATCACGTTTTGAGATATTAATGTCTTCATGAACATGCAGATGGGACGTCAGTTTAATATTTCATCTGAAAGCCACCCCATTACTGCACTGGAATGTCATCTTAGGCTATGAGTACAAGTCCCAATATAGACTTAAACCCACATCCTTCTAACCAAGAGACACCGTCTGAGTCAGACCAAGATGTTGGAAATTAGGATATTTTATTAGGCTTGTTTCATGCATGGAAACAGATGAGTAATGGAATATGTTCATGATCTGATATTCTTGTCTCTTCTTTACAGATGACACTCCAAACCTCTCCTATTGACTACATTACCTCAATTCAATTGTTCAATAGGACAAAAACACTCTATTCACACAGGTTAGTAAAATTTGTTTTTCTAATCTTCTGGACAAATGTGGCAAACCTGTTAGTTTTAAATAAAATCGTAAAAAAAACTTTAAAAATGCAAACCTTTGTTGACACACATAATACATAGTCGCTGCACTTTACAGTAAATCTTGCAAAAGTGCTTTGGAATGTCCTAAAGTGAAAGTCACCGCATCAAATGTAAGGATTATTATTTAAATGACCTAATTCATCAGAACTTTCTCTGTGCGTCTGTCACGTAACTTTCAGCTTGACATAAACAGATGGACTGTAGTAGTGTTATGCACCTGGATAGTCCTGTAGGCACAGAGAATTCCGCACCCCTATCATGCCAGTCCTGCCAGGCTCCACTGACTCCCTATCGCAGAACGGATCGATTTTAAAATCCTTACATTTGCCTAAAATTCACTTAATGCCCTAGTACCTCCCTCTCTCTCATCTGCTTACATCCGTGCATTCACTCAGCTGGCTCCAGCCTCCTGCATGTCCCCTGTCCCCTACATTCAACCATCAGTAGCCGTGCTTTCAACCTCCAGAGACTTTGGAACTCTCTACCTCAATCTCTCCATCTTGCTCTCTCCTTGTCTTGTCTTCAGATCGAACCTGAAGACCTTCCTCTTCACCCTGGCCTACGTTACCTACCCCCTCTCTCCCTGCCTCGGCATGATGCTCCGCCAATGTTAAGCACTCCAAGATGCTACCCGGCAAGAAGTGGGCTCTATAAATTCAAGTTGTTGTTTATAATTAATTTGCAGTCCTCCTTTGTTATGTACATAATTGAAATCCAGTTGATAAAGAGTTCAGTGTTCTATATTTTACTGATATAATTTTCTGTTTTTAGTTACCTAGGATTGGGACTGCTGTCAGCAAGACTGGCAATTTTAGGAGGAGTTGAAAGTAAACCACGTAAGTAATCAATGATTATGTAGGAGTTGTAAATAACTTCTATTTCCTGTAAGTTTAAGGTTACATATGTACTATAGAGGGGCACACACCAAAAAATGGCGGTTCCTGTTCATTTTGGTTTACCTGTGAGGTGGCATAGCAAAGGGATCCTTCAACGGGTACCAGTCAGAAGGAAACATATCTCATTAAAATTGACTTGAGGGATTCCTGGGAGCCGAAAAAATAAATCAAGAATTTGTATTATTGTTGTAGGTCACAAATATCTAAAGTATGCTTGGAATAGAATGGAGCTCCTATTTTGGGGTCAGCCAAGTGGCTAATGCAGCCAGGTGCCTGACACGTGCAGAAATCCATCTCAGTGCTTTACGGGTATCCAAACCAGACTGTGATTTGAGTTCCAAATAGACATGCCATTTTCACATGGAAATTTGTATGGAATGGAATGAGCATTCTATCCCTGAAGGGATTCACCTGCTTACTAATTCAAAAAAGCTTTAGGTTGACGAGAACTGAGATGTGGAGGTCCCAGACTGTGAGTTGGGGTAGGTGGAGTTTAACCAGGTAAAAAAACAGGTATTGTGAGCACTGTCTGGCAAACTTCCCACTGTTTCTCCATCTAGGACTTTGGCTTGCAGGTTTAACAGGAGTCGAGTAGAAGAATCCCTGGTGCCAGTATGTCCTCCAAGTCTTGCCAACAAGCCAGCCTGGCTGGTCTGTCATCAGCAGTGCCTTGGAGTACTGCAGACCTCTGAATACCACCACAGACGTTGATTCAATTCTACCATTCCTTTTCCAAGCACATCATCCTGGAGCTAGCTCAGCCCTAAGGAAGTGTTGCTAAAGGAGGATAGAATGAGATCCATATTCAGCCATTCGATCAGGGTTTTCTTCCCATGTTTTGACAACAACTATGTTTAGCTTATGAAAATGGAAACTATTAGTTTTGTTTAAAAAAAATCATACAATCTGTTCCCTCAGCAGAATAGCTGTAGGTCTGTGCAGTTTATTTATTTAAAAATAATCACTGTTGTAGAGGAATGTAGGTAATAGTTATTCAAGACAAATATATGGTTTTGTGTCATTGCCCTAACCATTCTGACAATATTTCAGTTTAATGGAGTGATATACAGTCAAACCTATTTTCAGAAATCACTCAGGGACTGGACCGAAGTAGCCTTTATAAAGGGTAGCCTCTGAGTAAGGTTTTGTTAGTGTGTGTAGAATTTCTAACTGTATAGAAAAATACAGTGCACATACAGACCCCATAAATCAAACTAGTTTTAATAAACATAATAAATAAATTACAAAATACAAATTGTTACTGCTTACACAGGCCCACATGCAGACTTGCACTAGACTCCTTCTGCATACAAACGCTGATCAGCCTACTGGATTGGATCTAGCTGCTGAAAAGGGTGTCAGTTTACTGCCAGGGCTAAAAAGGAGTGACCACTGGTTACGTTAGATACGTGGTTGTTGAATTGAGGTGATTTATTATAGAAAATCAGTCTGGATTGTTCCAGGGTAGATGTTGACAGCAGGCAGTTGCTGAATAGAGCTTTAACGTGTATGACTGTAATAAAGTGGTTAGATGAAGCACTGAATTGATATTCTAACACATTGATATTTGATGGTCTGTATAGAAAATGGTCATGAAGGTGTAACTGATTTATATTTTTGCCATCACATAATTTTTGCTTTGTTCACTGACCTGCAGTTAAAAATGGACAGGAGCTTGTAAGCGCCTGCTTAGCACCAGAATACAAAGGAGAATGGGAGCACGCTGAAATTGTTTACAAAATTAAAGGGCAGAAACCAGGTATGGATCTCTCTCTTTAAATATTCAATTTAATTATAAAGCCTGCCACCTCACTGATTTTAAGATAAGTTACCAATATAAATTTGTTTGGTTGCAAAGTGCTTTGGATATAAAATTGCTGAAACGTGTAGAGTTCTTTTTACTAGCGTTTTTATTTTCAAATTATAAATATATTAAAACATGTTAGGGTTTTAGTGGGCTTACAAAAACAATGAGCACTTCTGTCCTGACTATCCTGGGAGTGGAGAAGCAGACCACATTCCAATATGTGAATGTTGAATAATGTGTACATGTCATGTGCTATACAGATGCAATATAACTGCTAGATCTGACACCATACTTTACCGAGGTATATATCACCAGCATTTACTGGTAATAGACCAGTTTTCCCTCATCTCCTGAGCTGTGGACTTGCACTGACCAACATCGTATTAAACGTTTTCATGCGAAGGAAGTGGTGAGAATGTTTAATTCACTGCCAGAAGCTGTGGTCTAACTGCCAGAAGCTGTGGTCTAACAGCACCAATGTATTTGAGAAAAATCTTGATGCATACATGAAAGAGAAGAAAATAGAAGAGTGGGGCCTCATGTGGAGTATAAACACCAGCAAACTAGTTGGCCAAATGGCTTATTTCCATACCTTATCACTCACTTATTGTAGCTCAGGTGCAATGCGCTTTGAGACATCTTCCCAATGTGAAAGGCACTTTATAAATGTGTATTGTGTAGACCAGATTATTTTAATAGAGTGAGTTGCAGATGTATTTATAGCAGTCTTACAAAAAATGTTTTACTTTTGAAGTAAAAAAATTAAAATTGTATCTGAAGACTTTGTGCTGACTCTTATTCTGTATTTTGCAGAAGAACCTCTCTATAATTCATGTCGTGCCAGGATAGAAAAAATACTTTACAAAAAACTGCACAAGCCAGAAGAAGTGAACAATTTATTGTTTTATGCATTCTCCTACTACTATAACAGGGCTGTTGATGCTGGACTTATTGGTAAGTGCTGAAGTGGACTTGGAAGAGTCAGACCAGTCACTGGGCAGGGATTCTTCCTACTTAACTCCTATTAAACCTGCAAGACAACAACAACAACAACAACAAGATTCCATTTATAAAGCGCCTTTCACGTCAGGAGGACGTCCCAAGGCGCTGCACAGTTGGGTCATGACCCGAGCAGGGGGGAAATGGTCAGGGTGAGGGGAGGGAGCGAGGAGGGGGAAATGGTCAGGGTGAGGGGAGGGATGGGAGGGAGCGAGAAGGGGGAAGAGAGTCGAGAGGGGAGCTGAAGGCACGGTCAAAGAGAAAGGTCTTGAGACCGGCCTTGATGGAGGAAAGGGAGGAGGCGGCGAAGGCACTGGGGGATGGAGTTCCAGAGCCTCGGGGCTGAGAGGCTGAAGGCCCGGCCACCGATGGTAGGCCGGTTGGGGCGGGGGATGTGGAGCAGACCAGAGCCGGAGGAACGGAGGGTACGGGCAGGTAGGTAGGGGGATAGTAGGTCGGAGAGGTAGGAGGGAGCAAGGCCCTGAATGGCCTTGTAGGTGAGGGTGAGGATCTTGAATTCGATCCTCTAGGGGATGGGGAGCCAGTGGAGGCGAGCGAGGGTGGGAGTGATGTGGTCGCGAAGCCTGGTGCGGGACAGTACACGAGCTGCAGAGTTCTGAATGACCTGCAGCTTGTGGAGGGAGGTGCCGGGAAGGCCGGCGAGGAGAGAGTTCCCATAGTCCAGCCTTGAGGTGATAAAGGCGTGGACCAGGGTTTCAGCAGCGTGAGGGGTGAGGTAGTGCCGTAATCTGGCGATGTTCCAGAGGTGATGGAAGGCGGTGCCAGTTGTGGTGCGGATGTGAGGGAGAAAGGACAGCTCAGGGTCGAACAAAACGCCGAGGTTCCTGACTGGCTTTGAGAGGTAGAGAGTGCAGCCTTGGATGCTGATGGTGTCGGCGCCTGAGGTGCGGAGGCGCTGACGCGAACCAATCAGGAGGGCCTCGGTTCAGACAAAGCCCTGACAGACTAGGGTAGTCCCAGCTGGACAAGCAGTGGAGAGTAGTACAACCTCAAAGAGTTGAAACATATTGAAATCCTTTGGTCAGACACCAGGAAATCTGCATTCTTTCCTTGAGGCGATTTGGCAAGGAAATGAAAATGACTTGTCTACAGCTGTTTTTTCAACTGAATAAGGAAATATTTGAGTATTGAAAAAATAGAGGGAACATATTTTAAATATAACTACCTTTTATAGTAAATAATATGAGAAATAATCGACAATGTTTCTCTAGATCCTGATTTATGAAAAAATCTTTTTCCAGATGAAGAGAAAGGCGGTACTATAAAATTGCAGGATTATGAAACAGCAGCCAAACAGGGTAAGAAAGCTGTTTAGAACCAGAGCTTTTCTGTGACTGATTTATTCCAGGAAATCCAGCTGGTTATTATTGATCCTCATTTCTGAGTGTATTTCGATACTTGAAATTTGTTTCTGTTATTAAGCCATGAATTCTAATATCATTTTTTTTAGATATTTCAGCAAAGGTGAACTTTCCCACAGTGATAATAATGATATAATAATTCTAGCATTTGATATAGCGCTTTTCACGTCTTGTCGACGTCTCAAAGCCCTTCACAGAATAAACTGTAAATTGAATTGACCGTATATTTGTGTGCACTTTGCAATGTAGAAAGAAAAAAGAAATTGGGGATAGAGAGAGAAATTATTTGAATTATATTGAATTATTTGAGAAATAAAAACAATAATAAATTAGTCACTTCAATCCACGACTGTTTGTGGGACACTGCTGTGCGCAATTGGCTGCCGCGATTCGCCCACAAATATACAGTCAATTCATTTTACAGTATATTCTGTGAAGCACTTTGAGACGTCTAGAAGACATGAAAAGCACTATATCAAATGTGAGGATTATTATTATCATTGGGGCTTTCCAGAATTGTCTTTAATGCCACATCTCCTATTTTTCTGTCACTGAATTTAATCTCTATGATGTAGTCTAATGTGTTTGCGCCTACCGTATTGAAAAGGAGGCACTTGGGGTCTTTTAGCGTGACAATTTCTAACAGCAAATTGGAAGTTCATCAAGCCAACAGGGAGTTCATCACTCCCAACAGAACCTACTCTTGGAGTAAAGTTCCTCTAATTAATAATTCCAATTATCAGAAGGAGTCCCTGCTAGAATTTACCAGTGAATCTTGTTAACATTTATACCTTCCAAGTTAGAGGAAACTTGCAAGATTGAGAATACAAATATAGTATTGTTATGGAATTCAACTCAACAGATGAAATCATGTTAACTTTAGTTATAAGACATGTTATCCAACATTATCTCTGTTTTGGTTTAGTATGCCAGAGAATGGAATCTAGTTCAACAGAAAAACCATTTCTCTGCATGGATCTTATATACATAAATGTATTGCTAGAAGAACTTGGTTTCCAGAAAGATGCTGTTATTAAGGTAACGTCATCTGGTAAAATTCAGATTTTATTTAAAAACATTGTAAATTACATTTGTCTAAATATGTGCTTGTGTGGCTTCTTTTACAGCTTGCAAGAAAAATAGACAACGTAGAAGCCAGTTGGGCCCTGGGAGCTAGTTTGCACTACGTTGACTCCTTTTAGCAAACATTGGGAACAATGCAGCAGGTCAGGCAGCATCTATGGAGAAAGTGAGTCAACGTTTCGGGTGTTCCCAGCGACTTCTGTTTTTGTTTCAGATTTCCAACATCTGCAGTATTTTGCGTCAATGTCTGAATATATTGTTTTACTCTTTGTAAAAAAAAAAGTTGCTTCGTTGGCTAAAGAACCATCAGACTTTAAACATGAGGATTGTAACAATTTCACATTCGTGCCAAAATATTTTGACAATTTTTTAAACACAAAAGGTTAATGCTAATGTTAAATGTGATGTAACATGTATTCAATATATCGTTATTTCATATAACACTGCCAAAAATTAAGGTCTGAGCCATGTATGTTATGGGTGCAATGCTTGAAGTCTTATTTGACAAATGTTTGTAGAAGACAACAATGTAAGTGAATTTTAAGAGACTGTTTAAATACTTTTATACCAAATGTATGGAGAGCAAAACCTAAATAACAATAGGACTATAACTTTTTCACAAACCATTCACAAAAGATCAATATTGCTTTTTAATAGGAGGCTTGTGATTGCTAGTATTATGAAATTATGGAACTTTGAAATCCTTTTAGATAATTGTTTGGGTTGTTGTCTGCCTATCCCTTATTTCTGGATTTTGATTTTATATAACAGTAAATGGTTAACTGGTCTGTGAGACCCATTTGCCTCGCAGTTTACACAAAACCTACCATATCATGAATTTCACCTCACTCACAAGCTATTACGGGAAAAGCAGACTCTCCAAATGTAATCAAGAGAATACTCCAATATTCCTCAAACCCTGCAAAGTCACAACTGAAAGCTGATCTTTCCCCCTCTGGCCCCAGAGGCACAGAAATCCTTGTGACATGGGGATAACGTGTTCTGTTTACTACATCAATGGATACTATTCATTTTTATATAGATAATAATAATTTCACCAAGGTAGCTTTTGTTATGAATCTATTCCACATATCCACTACATTATGGGAAAATAATTCTAACTTTTAGTTCTGTTCTTAAGGACTATGTCAAGTAGAGTGCTTGACATCTAGCTCATATATGCATTTCATAATTTTAAAGACCTGGTTTGTTTTCCTCTATTTTAATTTTTTTNCTGTTAACCTCAATATTTTCTAATTAGTTTAGTTCCGAGTCCCTCTTTGTAAATCGAAAATTTAAATCCTGGAATAATCCTTTTAGCTTTTCTCCAATTTCTTACCAACACTTCAAGAATGGTGTCTAAACTTACATACAATTCAAATGTAGCTTGACCAGTCGTCGAAATACAAATCTATTCCAATAGGTTAACAAATTTTGATTTATACTTAAATGACCTCAAAATGCATTTGATTCACATTGACCGGAAACCTTCAGTGAATGATCAATAATTGCGTCCAAATCCCTTTCTTGCTTCACTGCTCTTGGACAAGTTTATTTTCTACACATGCTTAAGGTTTCATATTTGAATATGCTTACCTTGGACTTGCCTATATTTAAATCTATCTGTCACTCCTTGGTCCACATAGTGATATTGACTTTTATCCTCATTATTCACCCAGTTTGGAACAACAAATTTTATATTACATGTTCTCCAAGTGATTTTTTTAGAGCAATAGACTTTGTCCCCTAGATGGAGCTATATAAATTTGTAATGCCTAATGCATTAATTATAAATGCATCCATTTTCAGCTAACTTGCTAATTTACCCCCAAATTCATGAGCTTTAACTTTTAGAAATGTGTTCTTCTTATAAAAGCAACAATTTAAGTGTATAGTTCAATCTTCCTTCTGATAACTGCAGTGTATTTTGTAACTGGAATATTCAATAATCCAGAGACCCAGAGTGGACTTTGTTCATCAATAGCACCAACTGTGGCAAAAGATGATGACATCACAGACCTCTGTTCATGAGAAATCGTATTATTTTTCCTATTACATTTTTAACTACTTGTATATGGAGTCTGAAGAATGTGAATTCCACAGTACAGTGGAAGATTGTAGATAGTCAGTATTTCATATCTGGTAAGAGGACCCTTTCAACCTATGATTCTTCCGTTAGGGTGAAGCATTGAGAACCTGATGAGGCACCAGTAAAGAGTAACCGGGTTCACTGATTTGTAGGTTTGAGGTTTTTTATTTGGGCTGCAGAATTTCTGGTTCGACAGGCAACAGCACAAATTATTTCTGTTTGTGCTGGATGATTTTGGCTTTTCTGTTGGTTTGTAAACTTAACTGGTTAACACTTTGTGTTCTAAATGATTGCCTAGACATCTGTCAAAGGGCGTTTTCGATATAATGTGTAATTAGTTTGTTTATTTAAAATTGTAATTGGAAATAAAATGTATGGAGTTGTGTATTTCACATTTCATTAAGTTTTGAAAATTTTATGCTGAGAATCGTAAGTGTAACACTGTTACACTTACGATAACCCTGTTATCCTTTCCCCGTCCTATTAAATAGCCTGTTGACTTTACAAACTTGTACGTGACATTTAAAATATTTTAAAACATAGAAATGGAACAAATAAATCAACTCCTCAGCTTGACTAAGGGTTTATTAATTTTAGTATTTTCCAGATCAAGAAACTCATTTTATTTCCATAAGAGAGGAACAAATTCAAAATTTAAAAGCCCATATTCCGGGTACAAATACGCAAAAAGATGTGTTATTAGTGCATTCTTCCTTTCCCCTTTTTCTCTCTTTCCTGCCTTCCTTCCCCGCACCCCCACCTGCCCACATACATACCAACAAATACCATGACTTGTCTTAAAAAGCACCAACATTACTCCTACTAAAACCATTGGGAGGAGTAGCTTTAGCATATGATTCTGGCCTATGTTTTGTTCACTGAGGTCACTTTTGTAAACTGGTGGTTTACTACATTTCCGCTCCAGCCAGTTCCTCCTAGCCAGTATAATGAAGAACAACCACACAAATTTTATATCAACAGTTTAAAGCAGATTGAATAGGAAAGCCACAATTAATTTAAATGTGAAGCCCAATGTATTGACATTTTTTGTAACATTTTGTCAGTTATAACATATTGAATTAGTTCAGTAGTGGTACAGCACACAGACAGAATATATATATCAGATTACATGTGTCAACATTACAGGAAGGAATTACACCAGTCTTTTAAACACGTAAAGCACTGTCCAGCTTGCTTGGAGTTAGCCCCACATGCATCTTTCAGCCAGTCTTTAAATAACTCCTCATCCTTTCTCAGAACAAGGAATTGACCTAATACTACATATGCCTGGAACACAAAAAACAGTTTCAGCATAAGCCTGTACATTATGCCTAAACAGTTTAGTTTACAAAACATAATACTGTACTTGGAATATGTTTTAAGAGAACTAAAAAACAATGTTGTAGCATCTAATTATGTAGTAACAATATTTAATTGTGTGGAAACATGTATCCCACTATTCAGTGATAAAGCCATATTACAGCACTTCTGTCCCTACAAAACACAACCAAAAGGATATAAATTATTTGTTACCTTATCAAATCCCTGCTCTTCCAGTTTCCTCCCCAGTGTTGAACCAATACCAGCCAGGGCAGAAACAGGCTTGTTCCCCATAGGCTCAGAAACAAAATTCCTGTGCTTGTATGATGTTGAAGACATTGTGGTAGCTTCTAATCTGTTGATTGAACAGCAAAAAAAACATTTAACTTTGCCACATTATCTGGGAAAAGTTGTACCCAAGTTTTTAAAAACACAAATTGGCTGCATATCTTCCTTGTCAAATATTTCCTCACGCTGCAAAGTGTACTTGGCTTCTGGAGGAATACAACATAAATTTACATTTATATTGCACCTTTCATGTAGGGAGAATGTCCAAAGGAATGTTACTTTATATCATAAGTGTCTATTTGTCTATTTTGGTCCCCAAGAATCGTATTCCATTGAATAAGAATTCAAGACAACTTTCACAGCTCACATTTTTACTATCAAATAAAAGCAACAAAATTGGTTACACAACGATAACTGCCAGTGAATGTAAACTAATTGTTTTTATTTGTGGAATATCCTCAAATGCTTTACTTGTAAAAGTAGACCGCACAGAATGTAAATACTTTTAACACTAAAATTAATACAGTAGCAGATTGCCTGTAATATATAATAAATTAGCAATGTTTCCTTTTATATCAAACTATCAAAAAATCCAGACTTAATTTTTACTTGTATAAATTATTTTATGAATCCCTCCCTCCTCTCTTTTAAGGTGCACATTATGCAAACTAATGGCCTATCTCAAACTTGCCCTTCATCTCCGAAGTGCTAGAATGCATTGCTGCCAACCAACTTCCCTTATACCTTTTCCTCGACTCCCTACACAAGGCCCTCCAGTCTGGTTTCCACCCTGCCCATAAAACTGAGTCAGCTTTCATCAAAGTCACAACTCTTGTCACCTCTCTCCATGACTAGGGCTATCTCTGCCTCCTCTTGGAACTCCCGTGGCCTTTCTGAGTCAACCATCCCATCTTCCTCAAATGCCTCTTCTCCCTCATCCACCTCAGTGAGACCACACACTCTGTTCCAGTCCTACTTGGCCTACTTGTCCCACTGCCATCATTTCATCTTTGCCAATGGTTTCTCCTCCTGCCCCCGCATGGTCGCCTGCAGTATATCACAAGGCTCTATGCTTGGCCCCATCTTTTTTCTCATTTACACGCTCCCTCTTGGTGATATCCAGACACGGATCAACTTCTTCATGCGTACGGATGGCACCCAAATCGACTTTTTCTCCTATACAGAAAAAAAAAGTCTAGGGCACCGGGAGAACTCCCTTCTCTTTTGGACTAGTGCCACGGGTTCATGTCCCACCCGAACAGATAGGACGTCACCTTAACATCTCACGCAAACAAGTGCTCCTTGGCCGCGACCCCCACGCTCTTAGTTTATAATCCTCCCCAATGTAGCGGTTTTCAGTGCAGCGTTAGGTCATGGCTCGTCGATTGAGGTCCCGTTTCTACCAACTGTTTTCCCCGTGCGGGGCAAGCGGAGGAGGCGGAGCGGCGGGTACGGCAGAGGAGGTGGACAGTGGCTGAAAAAGTATCTCAATAATGTGGTGGTGGTGGGGGGTCAGGAATATTTGTGGGGTACAGGACTCCCCTGGAGCAGACCATCACTGGGAGGGGGGGGAAGGGGTCACTCACTGCTGAATCAAAAAAAACTTTCCCCTCTGGTCGGGGCTGTGGGGTTTCTAATAAGAGTTGAATTGCACCGACTGTCAAGAGATGGCGATCAGATCAGATCAGCCCCACCCCACCCACCGCCTGTGAGGCCGTGTGAGGCGCCCGACCCCGGGGCAGCGCCGGGCCGCCTCTCAACGCCATCGTCTTTCCCGGTTCAGGACACTCGATGCGAACCGGAAGCTTCGAGAAACCGAAGCCCGCGGCGGAGAGGCGACGACAGCGCCGCCGCCGCCACCGCCGCCATCTTACCAGCACGTGACCCGCGCTCTCCCGCCGCCAGCCGCCGCCACGTGACTCCGCTCCCCCGCCGTCACCATCTGTTGGTGGGGGTGGGGGAGGCAGGGGGTGGGGGTGTGGGGGGGGGGCAGGGGGTGGGGGGGTGGGGTGGGGGTTGGTGACTGTGGTGCAGAATGGCTTTCAGGAGATGCCCACTTTTTTTTTTTGAAAAAAATTACGTCAAACCTCCGAGACTTGTTTCCCCGCCTTTGAAGACCTTTTCGTACGGGGTTTGAAAGGCGCTAACCCAACCCGACCGTCCGTCGCCCCCCCCCCCCAGCAGCCAACACCCAATATTATATAATATTATAATATATAATATAATAATAATCCTTGCATTTGATATAGCGCTTTTCATGTCGGGAAGACGTCCCAAAGCGCTTCACAGAACACACTGTAAAATGAATAGACTGTATATTTGTGGGCGAACGCGGCAGCCAATTGCGCACAGCAATGTCCCACAAACAGTCGTAGATTGAAAATGACCAATTTATTATTGTTTTTGTTTTTTGGAGGGATTATTATTAGGTGTGTGGAGTAAGGAAACTTGCCCAAGGTTTCGCCCTCTGCCTGGAATTGAACTCAGGTCTCTCACTTGCAAAGCGAGTGCTCTAACCACTGAGCTACAGGACTCCACGATATTGGGCTCAGTTTGGGCTTGGTATCTAGTGGACTTCCAGCTACAAAAGCGTTTTAATTTATCGCAAACTCTGCTCCTGACCCAACTCTCTCTTGCCCACAGCCTAACACCAATTCCTAGGTCAATGGCAAGCTATGTGGTTTTAGCTGGTTAGGCTCCAGCAGTTACCCCAAACATACGCTCTGGTGTCCCCAAGACTTGGCTCTTGCCAACCTGTGCCTGAGACTCACCAGAATTAGGGCATCAGGATGTGCCCCTCCAGGGAAGAGAGTGCGCGTTCCAACACATATCTGGGGAATGTTCATGTATAAATGGGATGCATGGAAATCGTCAGTCTGGATTGCATACCACAGTGACAGGTTTCCACGTGTGTTAAAACACTCGGTTAACCAAAAGAAAAATTCCTTTCTAATAAAATACCTTTCCTAATAAAATCATGTTGCCACACAACACTTGGTACGGAAGTGAACTAACAGCATTCCACCATTGCAAACAACTCAAACCAATTGCAAGTAGCATGTGAAGTGTCATTTGTACAGCAGAATAAATGGTCTGAAAAATTCCTTTGGCACAATGATGTCACAGATCAAGTTCACTAGGTCCAATTGTTAAAAGTATTTCTGCTGGTTCTTAATTATATCGTTAAACAACACACCAAATCCAAAAGTTTTTTGTGCAGTAAACTACCTATGGGGTTAAAATAATCATGTTGGCCAAAATTGAAACTGATGAATCATGAAAACATTAGGAATAAATTGCAGTTATGGTCCACACAAAGAGCCTTGAAGGAACAGTTACATCTATACAGCTAAAGAAACACTATGAGAGAAATGTAAACACTGCAGATAAACTGAATGTATTTTATTTTTCAAATTGGTATACTTCTAATGTAAAAGCTTATTACATAGCTGTGCCTATTCAGATCAAATCCACAACTGAAAATAACCCTTGCATTTGATATAGCGCCTTGTCACGTCTTCAAAACGTCTCAAAGCGCTTCACAGAATATACTGTAAAGTGAATTGACTACATATTTTGCAGGCGAAATGTGGCAGTCAATTGCGCACAGCAGTGTCCCACACACAGAAGTAGATTCAGTGACCAAATTATTATTTTTTATTATTTATTTATTATTTGGAAGGGATTAAATGCAAAATCAAGACACACAAATCCAAGATACTGCATATAGGAAGTAACAATAGACATGTGCATGGCATGGATTGGATAATAATAATCCTTGCATTGTATACAGTGCCTTATCACGTCAATAAAATCATATCCAATTGAATGAAATAGACAACTGAAACGAATTTAGAATACTTAGAATATGAAGGAAAAAAGTCAAATTCTCTGTAAAATGAAGGTTTCAAATGTCCATGGCACAATTGATATATTAAGTAATCCACTCTATGTCAATGTACTGTTCCCTTCCCTAATCTAATTTTTTGTGTTGCTTTTTTAGTAATTTGTGAGTTAGTCTAATAATAATAATGATGCTTGCATTTGATAGAGTACTGTATCATGCCTCAAGGGCTTCATAGATTGTAAAATGAATTTAGATGTCTGCTATGGGGCTCTTATTTAAGATCACTTATTCAATGTGTTGTTCCAGTTTCCATTCTCTTTTGTTACCTGTATTGGAAACTGTATATAGGACACAGATATGCAGTATATATACGATGGCTATACAAGTTAGGAGATGATTTCCCTAGGATTTAGGATTATTTGAGACCAAGAAACCGTTACAATTTAGCCAATTATCAGATTTATAAAATACGGCTAGTGCAAAGAAATTAAGTGGGTTTTACAGGTCAGAAACTGAATGGGACTTGAGTTCATGTCGAATTAAGTGATTATACAATGAATAGATGTGAATTTTTCCCATACCTTTTGAAGTGATACACATTTTAAATGAAACATAGTTTTTTTGGGAAAAAAAAAGGAAAGCACGGTGCCATTTGTTTAAGTGACTGCACGGGAACAAAGTTGAGGTTTGCCGGAGCACCCAAATCCCTCAACTACAGCAACAAATTGCATTCGTAATAGACGACGGGAGGACGTCCCAAGCCTCTGAAGGAGAATTCCTTCAGCGGGGGGGAAGATGGCACAAAATACAGTCAATCCACTTTGCCGGTGTATTCTAAGAAGCGCTTCGTTCGGGACAGCGCAGCGGTGTGATCAAAGTGCTGTGCCAAATGCAAAGATTATTATTATTATTATTATTATTATTATCATTTAAAAAATACTTCGCGTGTCCTAATTCATCCTCTCCGACTGGACATTCAGACTCAACCCACACTCACTGACCAGACCCTGAACCCCTGCCCTCACACACACTACACAGGACCTGACCCCCTCATCCCCCATCACTCTCTCTCTCTCTCACACACACCACCTACCTTTCCTAATAGCAAACACAAATGTCACTGCGCATGTGCGACGTTGCCCGCCGGTGGTTAAACTCTCGCGATATCAAGTCCCAGGTAACTTCACGCATGCGCACAACAGTTTTTTTTTGTGTGTGGTGGGGGCGGGGTCGGGGTCGTTGCGGATAAGCGGCGTTTTTTTCCCCCTCCCCCCCAACTCGGTAAGAGCTGAGAGCGGGCAGCGAGGGGCCACGAACCCGAGTCAGAGAGCCCCCGTGAGGCCCACAGTCAGATCCCGGTCAAGGTCCTGACTCGAGGTGTGAACGGGCGACACAACGGGGCAGCGGCATCTTATTATAATTTATTTTAATGTAGAACTCTTACTAAAATCCTCATCCCCCCATTCCCACACCACATGGGGAATATATCCCCCATCACCCCCCACACCACATGGGGAATATATCCCCCATTCCCCCCCCCCCACACCACATGGGGAATATATCCCCCATTCCCCCCCCCCCCCCCCCCCCACACCACATGGGGAATATATCCCCCATTCCCCCCCCCCCCCCCACACCACATGGGGAATATATCCCCCATTCCCCCCCCCCCACACACCACATGGGGAATATATCCCCCATTCCCCCCCCCCACACCACATGGGGAATATATCCCCCATTCCCCCCCCCCACACCACATGGGGAATATATCCCCCATTCCCCCCCCCCACACCACATGGGGAATATATCCCCATTCCCCCCCACACCACATGGGGAATATATCCCCCATTCCCCCCCCCCCACACCACATGGGGAATATATCCCCCATTCCCCCCCCCACAACATGGGGAATATATACCCCATTCCCCCCCACACCACATGGGGAATATATCCCCCATTCCCCCCCCCACAACATGGGGAATATATACCCCATTCCCCCCACACCCACATGGGGAATATATCCCCCATTCCCCCCCACACCACCACATGGGGAATATATCCCCCATCCCCCCCCCACACCACATGAGGAATATATCCCCCATCCCCCCCACACCACATGAGGAATATATCCCCCATCCCCCCCCCCCCCCACACCACATGAGGAATATATCCCCATCCCCCCCCCACACCACATGGGGAATATATCCCCCATCCCCCCCCCACACCACATGAGGAATATATCCCCCACCCGTTAACTCACTGCTTCTGTCTTTCTTTCTCCCCACCACCCCCCCCATTTTATGTTGATGGGTTGAGAGGACACGCGAGTAGCAATTCATCGTCTTTTTTAAAAAACAAACAGCGACAACAACAAAATTACATTCGTGAAGCGCCTTTCACGTCGGGAGGACTTCCCGAGGCGCTGGACAGACAGTGGTTCGGACCCGAGGGAGGGTGGAGGGCGGGGCGGGGAGGAGGGAGATCGAAAGCACAGTCGATAAGGAGAGTCTTGAGATGGGTCTTGAAGAAGACAAGGAAGGGGTGAGATGGGAAGCCAGCGGAGTTGGGTTAGGATGGGGGTGATAGGGTCACGGAGCCTGGTGCAGGAGAGGACACGGGCTGCAGAGTTCTGGATGATCTACAGCCTATGGAGGGAGGAGTTGAGGAGGCCGACAAGCAAGGAATTTGCATAGTCATGCCTCGATGTAATGGGCTGTGGTCATCCATGGCTATGCCACTACTGCTAACCCACATGGCAAGGAACTGGACTATTGAGACCACCACAGGCAACCGACTCGATTATGACTTCTGTCTTCATTGCCCATTCTTGCTTGCCAACAGAATGTCAAAATCAAGTCAGTTGTCTGTGGTGGCCTCGATAGTCCAGTTCCTTGCCATGTGGGTCAGCAGCAGTGGCATAGTCATGGGTGGACACAGCCCACCCCAATTAGCATCCAGGCCCACACATTGCTTTCCACCCAACAAAGAAGCAGTATCAAAGGCTTGAGCTCCAACCATCCTTACTCCCAAGTTCCCTTACTCCACACGCGTAATAATAATACCTCCAAAACAAAACAATAATAAATTGGTCATTTTCAATCCACGACTTTGTGGGACACCGCTGTGTGCAATTGGCTGCCGCGTTTTGCCCACAAATATACAGTCAATTCACTTTACAGTCTATTCTGTGAAGCGCTTTGAGATGTCTAGAAGACGTGAAAAGCGCTGTATCAAATGCAAGGATTATTATTATCCTGCCCTTCAGCTCATGAGCATAGCTCACCACACCGCCTCACCTTCAGAGACACTTGCGCAGCACCTGCTGTGTGTGTGTGTGTGTGTGCGTGCGCGCGCGCACCTTTTTTGCACGGGTACAGTCGATGTGCACACTGAGCGCACAGCAGTGGGTTTTGCACTACCTGGCGGCACACGTATACCCCCAACACTACCACATCGCACACTCTGCGGGCCCCGAGCCTTGGCCGTTGCGAACCTGAGCCGAATACTCTTCGGAATAAGCTAAGCGAGCCGCGTTCCCCGAAGGCAGAGAAAGCGCATTCCGTTCCAGACCCGGGTGGGGGGGGGTGGCAGAGGGGTGGGGGGGGGGGGGGGGGTCATTGCCACCATATTCCTGTCTGCTTTGGACGGCTCATGCACAATGATGGTTTGCCGGACTGACCACCACCGCCACCACAACAACAACAACAACAAGAAGAAAAGAAAAAAAGAACCAACCAATTGATGCAAAAATAAAAAAAAATAAAAAAAATAAAAAAACCCTCATGTGTTAAAAGGGGTCTTGCGATTCTCTCTGATCGACCCCCCTCCCCACCCCCTCCCTCCCTTTCCACCCCCTTAAATTTCCGGGATCTTTGCACCTCTGCCGAATGCAATTGCAGTTCAGCTTCTAACGAGTGGTCATTGGGTTGACGTCAGGGCGGCCTTCCCCCATATCAAGCGAGAGAGGGAGGAGAGAGGGAGTGTGAGAGAGAGAGAGAGAGAGACATTGCACCTCCTGTACTCGGTGAGTCTCTCGTCCCGGGGGGTGTCTGTAGGAAAGGAAGGGAGAAAGCAAAAAAAAATAATAATAATAAGATCAGATCGCAGCGGGTGTCAGTCTGAGCAGAAGTCTGCAAAACACTTCGTGCTCCTGTCTCCCACTGCACCTCCTCCACCCCCACTCTCCCCCTCCACCCCCACTCTCCCCCTCCACCCCCCTCTCCCCCTCCACCCCCATCTCCCCCTCCACCCCCACTCTCCCCTCCACCCCACTCTCCCCCTCCACCCCCACTCTCCCCCTCCACCCCACTCTCCCCCTCCACCCCACTCTCCCCCTCCACCCCCACTCTCCCCCCTCCAACCCCACTCTCCCCCCTCCACCCCACTCTCCCCCTCCACCCCACTCCCCCCCTCCACCCCCACTCTCCCCCCTCCACCCCCACTCTCCCCCTCCACCCCACTCTCCCCCTCCACCCCACTCTCCCCTCCACCCCCACTCTCCCCCCCCCCCCACTCTCCCCCTCCACCCCCACTCTCCCCCTCCACCCCACTCCCCCCTCCACCCCCACTCTCCCCCTCCACCCCACTCTCCCCTCCACCCCCAGTCTCCCCGTCTCCCCCTCCACCCCCACTCTCCCCGTCCTCCCCCACTCTCCCCGTCTCCCCCTGCACCCCTACTCTCCCCTGCACCCCCACTCCCCCCCCCCCACTCCCCGGCACTATGGTCACTCCGCTGACAGACTACGAGAAAAGGAAGCAGATCAGCGTCCGGGGGATCGCGGAACTCGCCGACGTGGTGCAACTCAAGAAGAGCTTCAACCGACACCTGCACTTCACTCTGGTGAAGGACAGGAACGTGGCGACCCCCCGGGATTACTACTTTGCTCTCGCACACACCGTGAGGGACCACCTGGTGGGGCGCTGGATCCGCACTCAGCAATACTACTATGAGAAAGACCCGAAGGTGGGTGTCGGCTCTCACTCGACCCATCGCTCCCTCCCCCGCCCGAGGGTCAGGCCATGGACTCTCTCTGCTCTCTGCCTGCATCACCCCCCCCCCCCCACCCCCTCCACACCCCCCCCTCTGCCTGCATCACCCCCCCACCCTCCTCCACACCCCCCCCCTCTGCCTGCATCACCCCCCCCCCCCCCTCCACACTCCCCCCCTCTGCCTGCATCACCCCCCCCCCCCTCCTCCACACCCCCCCCTCTGCCTGCATCACCCCCCCCCTCCACACCCCCCCCCTCTGCCTGCATCACCCCCCCCCCCCTCCTCCACACACCCCCCCTCTGCCTGCATCACCCCCCCCCCCTCCACACCCCCCCCCCTCTGCCTGCATCACCCCCCCCCTCCACACCCCCCCCCTGCCTGCATCACCCCCCCCCTCCACACCCCCCCCCTCTGCCTGCATCACCCCCCCCCCCCCCCCCCCCTCTGCCACACCCCCCCCCCCCCCACCCCCTCTGCCTGCATCACCCCCCCCCTCCACACCCCCCCCTCTGCCTACATCACCCCCCCCCCTCCACACCCCCCCCTCTGCCTGCATCACCCCCCACCCCCCCTCCACACCCCCCCCGCCTGCATCACCCCCCCCACCCCCCACCCTCCTCCACCCCCCCTCTGCCTGCATCACCCCCACCCCCCCCTCCTCTGCCTGCATCACCCCCACCCCCACCTCCCCCATCCCCCCTCCTCTGCCTGCATTAACCCCCCCCCCCGCCTGCATTAACCCCCCCCGCCTGCATTAACCCCCCCCCGCCTGCATTAACCCCCCCCGCCTGCATTAACCCCCCCCGCCTGCATTAACCCACTCCCCCTCTCTCTACCTGTATATTAACTCTCTCTCTGCCTGCATTAACCCTCTCGCTCTCTGTCTACATTAATCTCTGGCGATGCGGTTGATTTGAACGGTGCAGTAACCTTCAGACAAACGTTTTAACCACTATCCTTTAACGCATCAACTTCCTGGTTTACGATTTAAGCCCTAAGCAGATATTCGAAGGGGAAGCCAAACTGCGTTTCCCACACATCTATGGGTTCATGTCAGCGTTATTTATTTTTTTGCTTCACAACAAATCTCCGCAGCGATCAGCTTCAAAGTGGCAAAACGCAATCTGCGACGATTTTCTCCCCTGAATGTGATCAGAGTTTCAACTTTCCACTCTTCCGTATTCTGCACTATTTATTTAGTAGGCAATTGTGTTCTACGGGTTATTCTTTTGGTTACCAGCCCACAGCAAAAAAAAAGATGTGCAGATGAATTTATTTCCTTGTTCGCAGTTGCAAATTCTACTGCAAACTTTGTTATTAATTGACCCCACAAACGTCTTAGTGTAGGGAGTGACTCTTGCAGTGTTTGCAATCCCCCAAAAATATTTTTTGACCTCAACTTTCCAAGGAAACCGGTGCTTTTAAGGAAACCGGTGCTTTTAAAGAAACCGGTGCAGTGCAGTAAATGGAGAAATCAGGGCGCTACTTAAATACCTGTGGTTAAGGTTATTGGGGGAGATGGGGTGTGTGCCCGCACCGACTATCTCATTCAAGCTGTTGCAGTGTTCATCAGACAACTTTGGTTATAATCTTAAAAGGGAGTATCGCTTTTTTAAAAAAAGATAGTAACTCCATACCCTTGATATGTCAGCAGACATTTTAAATTACGGTTAAGACAAACGTGTCCCTTTTTGCATTTTTTTTTAAAAAGGGCAATTTCTCTTTGGGTGATGAGCTATGAGATATTCTGTCGAATGAATTGTGAGGCTGGAGCGGTTCTGAGAGCGTGGGAGCTGCTTACCTGTGTGGGCCAAGGTTTTCAAATGGCTTGGGGAATAGCAGGAAAGTTAACAAGAAAATAAAAGATCCTTTGTTTGCTCTCAAATATGACCTGAATTTAGACTGAGCAGCAATGGAACTATGGCTCCTGTCTGGGATGGTCAGTATTTGCTTCTGCTTCCTACCCATCCTCCCTTTTTCCCCCCTAGGGTGTATATTTTATGGATGTGAAGAAAAGATCAGAGTTGACTGAACCCTCCCCTCTTTGCTTTTCATTTTCACCCACAAAATATACAGTTAATCCATTTTACAATCAATCATGTGAAGCGCTTTGAGACCTTTCAAATGATGAGGTGGTATATCAAATGCACAAATTATTATATCTTCCTCCCCTCAAAATGGTTAGAATAGCAGATTGATGTTTTCTATTTAGGTATGCACATGTAAATCTTGTGTGAGGTATTGGAAAGTTACCAACTCCAAGATGAGTCAGCATTTTGTGCTGAACTGGTATTTGTTTAAATTGAGTGCTGGTAACTGTGTGTGTGTGTGGCAGGGTGGACTGCCATCAGTGTGAAGGAACTTAATTAGAATAGAAGATTGTAGCAGTTAACTTCAGGCACTTAACTGTGAATTCTTCCAAACCGGTCAATACTTAACAAAACCGCAGTGCACTGGAAGTAAATAACAATGTTGGTTGTGGTTCTGTGTTGCCATGCAATGTGTCTTTCAAAAAAAAAAGTTCTACATTCGGTAACATTTTATTGGTAGCTCTCGAATAAATAAAATAAAAAATATATATGATTGACATTATACCTGTGTTTGGGGTGAGATTCCTTCTTTCAGTAATTCTCTTTCTTTTAGTTTGTCCTGACTTGTGCACAATCTCTTGTGTATGGGATTATGTGGGAAACCTGCTTATCAGCCCCTGAAAGAAGCTGCAAAAAGAGGTCTGAGGTGGCCAAACCAGTGCTTTCTTGTGTCTTTCTTCTCCCCCACTCCCCATCCCTGGTTCCCCTTCTGCTCATGTACCTGTCTATACCCCACACTCCTTAAAATCATGAACCTTCCTTATCTGTGTAGCTCATTTACTTGCTGGACAAAACCCAGACATCTCGGGGAGCTATATTATCTTGCGTCAGTGAATACAACATTTTCTCTGAACTGTATCACATCTACTGCACCATCTTTTATAAACACTTGTTTTTAAATCTGCAGTCAAGCAGAGAGTTTAAAATGTAATTTTTAACGCCATCAGGCAGTCTCCGTGCAATGGATGAAAGGTTTATGCTCAACTAAACTTGAGCAGTGTATGTTGACCTGGCTCAGTTGGTAGTATTGCACTCTCTTGTTTTTATTTTGGTCTGACATGTCCAGAAACCCATCACCATTCTTAAGAGTATTCAAACCAACCTGAGAATTCCATGCATCCCACCTATATATGAAATCCCAGAGATAGATTGTTGGAATGTTTTGGGTTCAAGCTCTGCTTTAGGACTTGGAATCACATAGTCTTAAATGACACTCCAGTGCAGCACCGAGGGTGTGCTGCATTGTTGGAGATGCCGCCTTTCAGGTGAGACATTAAATTAAGGGCTAGTGTGCCTGTTCAGGTGGATGCTGAAAGATCCACAGCACTATTCAAAAAGAGAAGGGAGTTTTTCCCAACAACAATAACTTGCATTTATGTAGTGCCCCTTATGCAGGGTAGCATCCCAGAGCACTTTACAACAACAACAACAACAAGATTCCATTTATAAAGCGCCTTTCACGTCAGGAGGACGTCCCAAGGCGCTGCACAGTTGGGTCATGACCCGAGCAGGGGGGAAATGGTTAGGGTGAGGGGAGGGAAGGGAGGGAGCGAGGAGGGGGGAGAGGGAGGTGACCATAGGTATGGTCGAATAAGAAGGTCTTCAGGCATAACCTAAGGAAGGGGCAAGAGAGATAGAGGAAGAGTATTCCAGAATTTTGGGGCATAGTGGCTGAAACCTCAGCCACCAATGGTGGAGCGCAGGGCACAAGGGACATGCAGAAGGCCGGAGGCAGTGAGTAGTGGGATGAAGTAAACAGGTTGGAGAGATAGGGGGGTGCCAGGGCACGAAGGGATTTGAAAACGAGTGTGAGGATCTTGAAATCGATCCGTTTGGCGATGGGGAGTCGGGCAAGAACTGATGTGATGGGGGTATGGAGTTTAGTACAGGTGAGTATGTGGAAGATGGCGGGGAAGGAAATACAGCTGTGGGTCAAACCTGACATCTCAGGTGTGCACTGGTTCAGTGAGTCTGAGGGACAGGCTGGGGAGGTTAAGGAGGTTAGAGCCAAAGGACAGAAGATGTTGATGGGAGCCAAGGAGTAGGGCTTCCGTCTTCTCAACATTTAGTTGTAAGAAGTTAATACTGATGTTCGGCAGAGTCCTTGCCAATAAATTCTCCTTCCTTACTCCCTTCCCCCTCCATTAAAACTTGTCATTTTATTGCTGTGTTTGTCCACAAGAAAAAGTCACTGCATTTTACAGTATATCCTGTGAAGTGCTTTGGGACATATCCTGAATTAAAATGCACTATATCAAATGTACGTATTATCATTATAACCTTGAAATGCAGATTATGTCAGAGTAGAAATGGTTTTCTGCATAACAATAATTTGTGTTGTGATGCATTTGGTCGTGTGTAAATTGTATATCACTTGTAGCATTATGCCAGTCATCAATTTCTCTCCAGTGGATGCTAGTTGTATCTGGGATACTGACAATTGCCCAAACTAATTGCACGAAGGCGATGTTTCACAATTCTGTTCCCATGGGTTAAAGAAGAAATTGGAGAGTTCTGTAAACCATATAAATGAAATATCTTCAAGTGCTTGCTGCTATCTTATAATTCTCAATACTGCAGTTTTTTTAAGATGCCCATTAAATGCACTGAGCCACTACAGTCAAAATTGATTCCAGTAGAATGTTTTTTTCTAAATGAGAGCTCTTCCAACTGAATTCTTAAAGTAATATGTCACTTGGGACTTGGCTTGAAAGGGATCAGAGCTGGATTTTCTTTTTCATTACCGAATTAAAATGAGTTGACCAAAGTCTCTTCATTTCATTAGCCATCTCTTTCACATGATGAATGGCACGCTATTTGCCCTGAACCAGAAAGATTTGCATAGAAATGGAGCTGGATCTGAATTGGTGTAAATGGTAATTTGTGAGGTCTGTATACTTTAAAGCTTGTGATTTGCATACAAGTAGTTCAGCCTACAGGTTAGTGGGAAATGCTCTTAATGGCCAGCACCAAGAACTATTTTGTAGATGTATATTTTGCAAAAGGATGGTGTGGGGAGATGAGTTACTGGGTCTCTCTTTCCTGTATGTATCTAGTAACTGTTATGTTGTCCTACATTAAACCATGTGCAGACAGCTATCTAGATGCACCCTTTATCTTTAGAATGAAAATGTTTCTATTTGTATGGTACAATACTCTACATGGTTTTAAAACCAACTTTATTGTGTAGTTAGTCCCCACCCTCTAGAACTCCATCCTGCAGTCCTTCCGCTTGGCCCCCTCCCTTGCCTTCTTCAAGATCCATCTCAAGACCCTCCTCTTTGACTGTGTCTTCGATCTACCCTCCTTTTTCCCCGCCACCCTCCCCAATCCCACCGTCCACCCACCCCGATCCCCAGCTCAGGTCCAAAACACTGACTGTCCAATGCTTGGGACGTCCTCCCAACACGAAAGGCTCCATGTAAATGTAATTTTGTTATTATTAGTGTTAAACTGCTGTTGTATGATAAATGGCCCTTCGTCTTTAGAAAAAGGAACTGAATGGAAAGTGGTGAAATCAGCCCTTCGCAACATTGCTTTCCTTCTTTGCTTAGAACAGAGGTTTGTTGCTACAGTATTTCACATTCACTGTGGTTGGAGCTCTTTGTTACCTTAATTGGTCTCCTTAGACCTACCACTTGGTAATACATTCCTGCTACAAATGATAGGCATAATGTTACACAGTCATTTTGGAAAAATGTTGGCAAAGATACTTAGTAACTAGATTTTTTGTGTGTGCTGAAATGATCTTATGATTAAGTTTGTTAGAAATATAACCAACCATTCTAAAATGCCTCGAAAGACTGCGGAAGGAGGATAATTTCATGGCATTATATGCAAAGCAGTTTGGTATTCCTTTTCAAGATGGAAAGATTAGCAGCACTGAGCTTTTTCCAGCCCTGCAATGCGTATGCTTTTATGTTGTGGATCAATGAGAGGACAGACTTGACACAGGAAGTCAAACCTTTGCAGAAGAAAATAAAAATGTCACTTTAGCTCTATAGGTATATCTAGCAAGAACAACAAATTACATTTGAATAGTGCCTTTCACGTCAGGAGGACTTCTCAAGGCCCTGGACACTTGGGGATTTGGACCTGAGCAGGGGTTTGGGATCAGGGGGTTGGAGTATAGGGGTAATAGGGTGGCCGAATGCGTGGTTGAAGAAGAGGGTCTTGAGACGTGCTTTGCAGGAGGCAAGGGGGGAGCAAGACGAAGGGACTGTGGGTTGGATTTCCAAAGGGTGGGGGCAGAGAAGCTGAAGCAATACGATGTGTCAGTGTATTTTGGTGGCTAGTTAATAGCCACTAAAGTCAATCCAGTGCAGCTGTAATCCAGAATTGACCTGTTGATGTTGTCAGCTTGACCAGCAGAAAAATAGCCATTTTTAGGATTAGGTAATTCTTGGCAGAGGTTTACAAAATTCAGTTCAATGTTGCTGCCCAACCCCACTGTGTTGATATGAATTCTTATCTTGAGCGAAGAATTCCTGTTCCCAATTCCTTTATCAGGATGTTGAAACTGGAACTATCATCTATTGTAATCTACAGAAGTTAAAACTTGATGCCTAGAGACTGTTCAGTCTCGTGTCCTCTCTTCAACATTTGATGGTGTCCTGTGCTACAGACCTTAGTCTTTCACTTATTTTTCCTCAATAAATTTCCTTCCTCCAACCGCCCCTTCCCCCCCCACCTACCATGACTTGACTGCTGAGAGCTAGATATGTATAATTTAATGTATAGTTTACAGGTTATTCTAACCAACTTATAACTAACAAAATAGTTAAAGTGAAGGGAAGAAATTAAATTTTAATTGTTTCCTGTTGCATTTCTCTGCCACTTATGACTCAACAAAGTAAAGGGTTAAATGTAAATGACAACATTACAAGTGGTTGAGAGGTTAACAAAGGACATGTACATTTTATAGATCTCAGGAGGTTACTTGAAACCTATTAACTGTGCAGGTCTGCTGAGAGAAGCTCCCTTGGGACAAGCTGATTTATTATTGAGAAGAGCTCTCTGTAAAGAGTTCTGGGTCTCATTCAATTGCTGAGTTCATAAATTGTGTTTAAATAATTAGATATTCTCTGGAGAAGAGAACATTTAAAAATGGTTGGGGGCAAGTAGGAGAGTAGGATTAGATTAGGTGTTTCACCAGTGCAGACGTCATGGGCAAAATTACATGTTTCTGTGCTGCAATAGTTTTTGATTCTATTGCTGTTAGATGAATTTAGTGTAAGGGAGAGCATTCTAAACCTAATGGTCAGTCACTGAATCCTGGACTCAGGGATGCCTTAGTTTGCGTACAATGGTCCAATAATGTCTTAACATAAATGTTAATTGGAGCTGAATGAGATTAGACCATAGTTGTTCTAAAATGGTGGCCTCTCTGCAATAAAAATACTAGCTCCGTCCATGTAGGGTTATATCTCAGAGAGCTGCACAGTACTGAGCAAGTGGGGGGAGAGAGATGACCATAGTCAGATCATTTTTCAGGTGTGATTGAGACAGGGTGTTTGAGAGGTTAGGGGTGTCATGGCTGAAAGGACCCTAAGGTTGAAGGGATCAAGGATCCACAGCAGACCTGTGTTAGCTGAGCGAAAGGCCAGACAGAACAGTAGGTTATGAGCAGGTGAGAGAGATGGGGAGAATCTTGAAATTAATCCTTTCAGAGTTTTTTTTTGTTCAACTAGGCATCTGACATGTGGGATATCATCACCATGCTTAAGCGAAACCAAACCGAGTTCCATGCATCTTTGTGAGAGTTCCATCTATACATGGAAATTACCGAGATATTAATTGCATTGGAATACACATTCTTTCCCCCTGGAAGGATGAATCCTGCTTACCTAATTCTGGAGAGCATTAGGTTCAGGTTGGCAAGAGCTCACAATGTGTTGTTAGTAAAGTTATAGCTTATTCACCATAAAGTCAATGGGTTCACCAATTTCAACATTGTATTGTAAATAGAACTATTTATGTATTATACGGGTATTTCTGTTTTTACCAAGCCTCCATCACAGAGGCTCTCGCCTTAACTCTTTCAGTGAGGATGATCCTCCCTGCTTTCACAATTAACATCCTTCTCTTGAATACTGTACTTTGCTTTTTGATTCAACTTGAGCTACTTGAATCCACAGTCAATACATTGTCCACAAAATATATAGTCCATTCACTCTATAGTATATTCTGTGAAGCACTTTGAGACGCCTCGAAGACATGATAAGGCGCTATATCAAATGCAAGGGTTATTATTATTTAAAATTTTTACTGTATCTTCCCTCCTTTTAAAACCATTTTGAGATTGGAACCCTGATTTCAGATCCAAAAGACCATCCTGCACCTGAAAGGACAGACAGATATCCTATTTCAAAGCCTTTTTATAATGGTGGTCTTATACAAGCACGACTAGGTACAATGGTCTGAATTTATACTCTAACTGACATTTTCTTTGTGTTGCAGCGTGTTTATTACCTATCTCTGGAGTTCTACATGGGCCGGACTCTACAGAACACTATGGTAAACCTTGGGCTCCAGAATGCCACAGATGAGGCCATTTATCAAGTAAGAGACTGCTTTTGGGGCTGGCTACACAATCTTATTGCTTGGGCCAATGTGCTGTGAAAGGACAAATAAGCATCCATCAAAAATTAGCTATTATTAGTCTGTGTGATGCCATTGAACCCATCGGGCTTAAAAAATAGCATAAAAGAATAAAACGAGAAAGGAAAAATATTTTTTATTGCAACTTATGGTAAATATCTTAAACTGAATGGCTTACTATTCCCAAAGAAATGAATATCAATTGCAGTGACATTCACACCAGCAATGACTCACTAATCTGATAGACACTCTTTTTGGATTGTACAATGTACTGTAAAAATAACCCTCTTTCAGTATTTTAGCTTTGCAGAGTTCTGAATATTAGGAGCTGCATCACATTACCAGTTCTGTGGACACTTGCCTATTAAATGTATTTTTAAATAGGATTTTTATAGACCTGGAACATTTGGACACTAGAATTTATCAGGATTTACAGAGTGTAAAACTGCCTCTCAGGATTTCCTGAAGCACAATGTAATCAACAACATAATAAAAGTAAAGCAGCATCATGTTTATCATGGAACTACAGCCTTTTCTTCTCTCCCACTCTCCTAAGCAATATCGGAGTACAGTATTCAGTTACACAGTGTGATCAACCTTTGCAGTGGGTTCACAGGAAGGTGATAGAGCCTCGGGCAGGAACTCATTAAGAAGTAGCTTGGTGCTGGAATGGGCAGGATGGGCATTTTGGTAGTTGAGATCTCATGGGTTCAAATGCCTTTCTCCATCCAAACCTTTTGTGATCTATACCCAGAACACAATCCGTGATCCTCACTGAGGTGGAAGCAACACTGCGTGCTTCCTCTGGCAAAATAGATACAAGCTTGTTCTTGATATTTGCAGTTCAGAAATCTTAAAATGCCAAATGGTGTGTGAAATCGATATTAAAATCTAAAGATTAATGCCTGTCCAAACCATCAGAAATTTGTAAATTGTGAAATAATAAAATGTCAAACCAAGCTGACTGAAAAATGTGTTGCAATGCAAAGACTTTGCTACTCTGGACCCAATGTACACAGTCGTAAGTGCCTGCAACCTACTGTAACTCAAAGGTAAAGTAAAAAGAAAAGAGAGCAGTGAGTTTCAGTAGAAAACGTTTAATCTTTTTAAAAAAGACAAGACTGAGCTTAACTCGCAACTCTTTCTAGCTCGGTTTAGATATTGAAGAGCTGGAAGAGATTGAAGAAGATGCTGGGCTTGGCAATGGAGGCCTTGGTCGCCTGGCAGGTAAATAGAAATTCTTTTGATCACTTAGTGAATAAAGTGATTCTCTGTCGGTGTGTGGTAAAAGCCATAGTGTGTGATGTGAAGTGTTCTTATCTGTGCAACAATTGATCTTGGCGTCCTTTGTTAGAAAGGGATAGATCGCACTACTATACAGTGTCTAAGCCACCAACCCCCCGCCCACACACCATTGACAAACTCATTGTTACAACATGTACTATATTTTCAGGAAGGTGTGGACTAAGGTGAGCATATTAACACTCTTTTGTGCCTAACTGGAGAACTGTGTTTTTCATGATGGGCAATCAATTGAATTTAGATGCCCAGACATCACCCTGGGGCTGTAAAGTGTTCTGATCACACTGCACCTAGAGTACTGCATCTTGTTCTGTCACTGTGATATAAGTGGGCTCTCCAAGCCCTAGCGGCAATGCAGAGGAGAGCAGTGAGGACAATACCTAGTGTTGGAATGAACTATGAGCAATAATTAGACAGCGTAAGGCTCTTCGGTCCAGAGGACTCCTCTAGCTATTCAAACCTATGACCTTTCAAACCGTCTCAAGACTTGCCTTAATTTGCCTACATAAGTAACAATAGAATGTTCCCCCTTAAGGCGTTGTTTGACATTTGCTTACTCCTGTTGACCTCTTTTGGAAACTGATGCAATAAGAATTGGAGACTAACAAAATGCTGCAAACCCACAACTTAGGTCCTACCTCTCCCACCGTCTTCATTTTGTTTCCACTAACGGCTTTTCCTCCAGCCCCCGCACTGTCTCGTGCGGCGTCCCTCAGGGCTCTGTCCTCGGTCCCCTCCTCTTCACCCTCTACATGCTCCCCCTTGGTGACATCATCCGCAGACATGGGGTTAACTTCCACATATATGCGGATGACACCAACTCTACCTTTCCTCCTCTACCCTCAACTCCACAACCACCGATGTCCTGACCGTCTGCCTGTCCGACATCGAGTCCTGGACGAGAGACAACGTTCTACAGCTCAACGTGCGCAAAACGGAGGCCCTCCTGATTGGTTCGCGTCAGCGCCTCCGCACCTCAGGCACTGACAGCATCAGCATCCAAGGCTGCATTCTCCACCTCTCAAAGCCAGTCAGGAACCTCGGTGTTCTGTTCGACCCTGAGCTGTCCTTTCTTCCCCATATCCGCGCCACAACTGGCACCGCCTTCCACCACCTCCGGAAAATCCCCAGACTACGGCACTACCTCACCCTTCACGCTGCTGAAACACTGGTCCACGCCTTTATCACCTCAAGGCTGGACTATGGGAACTCTCTCCTCGCCGGCCTTCCCGGCACCTCCCTCCACAAGCTGCAGTCATTCAGAACTCTGCAGCTCGTGTACTGTCCCGCACCAGGCTTCGGGACCACATCACTCCCACCCTCGCTCACCTCCACTGGCTCCCCATCCCCCAGAGGATCGAATTCAAGATCCTCATCCTCACCTACAAGGCCATTCAGGGCCTTGCTCCCTCCCACCTCTCCGACCTACTATCCCCCTATTTACCTACCCTATTTACCTACCCTCCGTTCCTCTGGTTCCGGTCTGCTCCACACCCCCCGCCCTAACCGCCCTACCATCGGTGGCCGGGCCTTCAGCCTCTCAGCCCCTAGGCTCTGGAACTCCATCCCCCAGTGCCTTCGCCGCTTCCTCCCTTTCCTCCTTCAAGGCCGGTCTCAAGACCTTTCTCTTCAACCGTGCCTTCACCTCCGCTCTCGACTCTCTACCCCCTCCTCGTTCCCTCCCTTCCCTCCCCTCACCTTGACCATTTCCCCCCTGCTCGGGTCCCGACCCAACTGTCCAGCGCCTTGGGACTTCCTCCCGACGCTCTATAAATGCAATCTTGTTGTTGTTGAACAATCTACAATGGTCACTGGGAGCTGGGATTCTTCCCACTCAGCTCCTGTTAACCCTGCAAGCCAAAGCCCTACTAAATACGATAGTGCTAGGCATACAAGGATTGGGAAGCTTGACAGATGGTGATTTCAGTGGCAAGTTGTGTGGTTTTAGCTGGTGTGAGACACTGACCAAAAGAAAAATCTGCAGCAAACTGAAGGGCTGCCAAAGAAGCCATTCTGCTCAGTGATTTAGACATGAGTTGAGACTATTTGCCAATTGACTATTAGTTGAGAATATTTTGGTGGTGTGCCAGATCTAATGAAGGCTGCTCTGTGACATTAAATGTGCTCTTATCATCCCTTGCCTAACTCAACAGTTAGTATTACATTTGCAGATCTGAGGTTGGTACAGTACTAATTGCAATTCCCTTGCTTCATAGCCTGTTTCCTGGATTCGATGGCAACATTGGGCATGGCAGCCTATGGCTATGGAATCCGCTATGAGTTTGGCATCTTTAATCAAAAGATTGTCAATGGCTGGCAGGTGAGTTAGTTAAATTGTAGAGCTGTTCCTAGGATTTGCATCGTCACAGGATTGGAGTTGTAATTGATTTAGGTGGTTTATTTGTTTTCCCATCCCTTCTCCTTTTCCTGGCTGATGGTACAGATAAACGCTGCCTTCCTCAATTACCTCACCCAGTTGTTGTTCTTTTCACTTGATCCAAAACAGTCAGGCCAGCTATTTGTCTGCGGAGAGCGACCAGTGGAGCCTGACAGCCATGAAAGACTTGCCAACTGAGGTCACCAAATCAGAAGTGTACGAACCCTTGATAACTTCTCTTTTCCTCCATTGTCATTGTATGGCATATGATTTTTTTACATCTACTTGAATAGCTAGACGGACCTTGGTTTAACCTTCAACAATGCATCATTCCCCCAGCACAGTAGACCCCAAAACCAACTTCTCCCTTCTCCCTCCCCCAGAGTATTTGCAACATGCAGGATGGTATGTTGTCATCATTGTATGGACATCCTCTTAGCCCACTAGCCTGTTGGCACATCATTGATACTGCCTCTGCAACCCCATTGCATACCTTTCCATGTTCCAGTGCAACAGATAACCGCCTGAGTGCAGGAGCTTGATGTCACTGTTGGGCAGTAAGTGATGAGGATTCATACAATTTAGATTCAAATCTCTACAGGAGAATAATAGTTTCTATTCTCTAACCCTGTTTCATTCAGGCTTGTTGATTTTAAACCTATGTCCTCTAGATCTGCCCTTGCAATCCATATTGTATAACATTTGCAATTGCATCATGCAAGTCTTTTCTGGGGTTTAGCAATCTCACATTTCACAGTCATCCTCTTGATTTTGAGATATTATACCAAAGGTGCAAGGAAGTTAAAGATCCCATGGCACTATTCGAATTGAGGAGGGAATTTTTCCTGCTTTTCCAGCTAACAATCTCCAAATAATTTACTTCATGGCTATTTGTGGGGCAGTTGCCTACAAATGCAGTCGCTATATTTACATTAATTCCTGTGAAGCACTTTGAGATTTCTGACATGAAAGGCGCTATATCAAATATAACGATAACACAGTTGCTGTTTCCATGGGCTCTTTGTAACATTCTACTTTATTGCAACAGACTGGAATGTTTTTGCTTTAAAAATTAAATGCGTGTATGTGTGTTGTACTTGTGGCTTTTGTTTGTAGAGGAGCTCTGGCAATCACTATTTTTATTTAACCTCTGAAATGTTTATGAGCTTGGAATAAGAACCGAGGTGGTGGGTGGGGTGAAATCGAATGGAAACTACTTTGATATGAATTCAACCTTAATCTTAGTTGGCATATTTGTGCTTCCTATTTTGGCACAGCTCTTTCGCTCTTCTGTTGTGAAATTGTGTGGGTTTTTTAAAAAAGGGTGTGCCTTTCACCTATTGTCCTACAGGGAGTCTGGCATCTAATGCTGCAAACATGGGACTTTTGTTGAGAAACACTGATCGAACCCAAGTCCTACTGACTGATGTTTAAACTGCAGTGCTCAAAGGTATCTTTGGCAGCTCTGGGATCCTGTGTAGAGTGCATGTGTAGAAAGTCAGTCCTGATTTTTAAATTCTTGGTTCTCGAATATGGATGGAAATTTCCACTCAATGTGGCAGTGGGTGGGGGAAGAGAGAAGGGAGATGTTGCTTTTTGGGTCGACTGTGCTGGGGCAATGATGCATTGTTGGAGGTTAAACCAACGTCCATCTAGCTATTCAGGTAGATGTAAAAAATCATATGGCACTACTTGAAAAGAGAAGGGAGTTTATAGATGTTGTTGAGATGTCCTAGACTGCTTCACAGGATTTTATTGTTATTTGTAAAACAAGCGCAGCAATCAATTTGGCACAGCAAAGTCCTACAAACAGCCATGAAGTGATCAATTTCATTGGGGTGGGGGGTGGAGGATTGTTTCCCAGGATACCGAGAGAAACTCCCTTCTGTTTTCAAATTGCGCAATGAGATCTTTAACGTCTGTGGAATGAGCTCTGTTTAACATCACATTTTAGGGACAGCACCTCTGATGTTTGGTTGATTGGCGTGGTCAGGCCCTGACATGGGGCTCCTGGCTAGAGGCAAGAGTGCTATCAACTGAGCCAGTTTCTCCCAATAATCCTTGCATTTGTCTTTGATACCACTCAAAGCGCTTCACAGAATAGACTGTATTTTGTGGGCAAAATGCGGCAGCCAATTGCACACAGCAGTGTCCCACAAATATTCGTGGATTGAGTGACCAATTTATTATTTATGTATTGCTTTTAAAGGAATTATTATCCCCAGAAAAGCGATCTGCCAATCAAATAACAACCAGGTTCCTACTTACTGCTAGGTAAACAGAGACGTGTAGAATGAGGAAACTTCCCCAATGTTTCGCCCTGCCCAGGAATGTCCTGAGTGCTTGATTTCTGTGAGAAAAAAGTAATCGGCAATGGTAACACAGATTCTTCTGTAACTTCATAACCTAGAAATTTGAGACCGCCATTCTTTTCTGACCTTGGCAATGTTGCAAACTCCTGCATTCAGCAATTGGCTTCTCTACGTCATATTCTGCTTCCTCATTCGTGCTGCTTTGCAATAAGTGAGGGGGAAAGAAGCTCTGGGTAACTTAATGTTGGATTATAACTTTTATAAGTTTTTTTTTTGATGTATTGCTTTTCCACATATGACTTGTCTCATCTTGTGGTCTCTTTCTCTATTCTAGATGTGGTGCACATGTGTGAGCCAGTCAGTGTTGGCAGGTTAGGTGACCTTGAAAAAGGGGTTGGAGGAAGGGTCTGTCACTGCTGGATCCTGTCCTACTTTCGCTTTACGGCTACATGCATGCACTTTCTGGCTGCAGTCAGTGAAATAAGCAGTGTGAGCCCTGGTGGAGATTTCTCTCCCTAGCCCAGGGCGCTGAGACCAATTGTTGTTTGTACACTGCACGACCCTAAAAATATTCCGCATGCTATCAGCTGATTTTGTGCATTTTATTGCTCCTTTTTTTTACATACATTTGAGTTAAGAAATTCCTTCTAACCTCTCCCCTATTTGTTCTAACAGTCCTCAGACTATCCTACCCGCTCATCAATTTAGCCAGCATCTCTCCATACATATTGTCTCATCATACTTGGTCTGTGTTGCACCTGCCCTGATACTCTTCCTGTAATGGGGAGCCAAAATCTGATCCCAGTACTCCCAACTGGGACTTAAACAATACTGTACACAATTGCAATTATGGCCTATTGTTCTAAGAGTCTTTATTCTTCTTGTATTTCTATATTTTTAAATGTTTTAATCTTAACTGGGAAAATAGAGTCCTGTACTTTAACGGTAATTGTCTGGTGAGTGAGTCTTTGAGGTGCAAATTGTCATCCAGCCTTTCCTGTTTGTAGGTTGAAGAGGCCGATGACTGGCTGCGTTACGGCAATCCCTGGGAAAAGGCCCGGCCAGAGTACATGCTCCCTGTGCACTTTTACGGGAGGGTGGAGCACACTGCAAATGGCGTCAAATGGGTGGATACTCAGGTATTTAACAATATCCTTTTTTCTTCCTCCAATTGTCCACTTAAGTACATGTTCTTGGTACCCCGCAGTACATCACCTGAGTGCCTATTCTACAAGCGTGAGCCAGACAGTGAGTGTTCAGATTCTTCAGGGGGGTGATGGGGAGGTAAAGAGAGAAGAGAAAAAAATTACTGTCCCACTCTGACCTACTTTCCATTAGGCGAGTCAGGCATGCATCCTCCACTGATTTTTTCTTTCCCTTGAAAATCTCTTATGCTTATTTTAGCTACTGAGATTCACCTGTTCCGAAAGATTGTGTGTGTGCGCGCAGCTGGTAATGCATTTGCAGTGACTGGTTAAGACATTGTGATTGCATACTTCAATGCAGCTGGTAAATCTGGTGGCGGCGTTACAGTTTAGATGATTTGCATAGGATTTAGGATTATTTGGGACCATTTATCCAATTTATAAAATTTGGCTCGTGGAAAGAAATCTTAAGTGAGTTTTGGTGTAGAACTGAATGGGACTTGAGTGCATGTATGACGCAGGTGATTATATAATTTATAATTTTTTGCCGACAAAATATACAGTCATTTTCAGTACATTCTGTGAAGCTCTTTGTCGAAGACATGATAAGGCTCTATATCAAATGTGAGGATTATTATTATTGTGCGAGTTTTACTATATTACTACAGAGTATTCTGTGTGCACCTGTAATTTAGATTAGTCCTGTCTAATGAATGCCTTGTCATTTAATGCAAACAGGTTGTCCTTGCCATGCCCTATGACACCCCAGTACCGGGATTTAAGAACAACACTGTCAACACCATGAGACTGTGGTCTGCCAAAGCCCCCAATGACTTCAACCTGCAAGATTGTGAGTTGTGTGTAGCTGTTTCTCTGCTAACCTTGTAGAAAAAATCTCAACTGCAATGTTGACGTAACCTCCCTATGTTAAATATGTTCCCTTCCTCCTAGAATGGGTAGGAGTACAGATTTGTAACAGTGGAGAAAAAAAGTCACAGATACCATGATTTTTCTATTTGTTCACTTACACATGGAAATTTCCCTGTGTTTGGAATGGAAAGTGCCCTCTCTCCCAGGAAGGCCCATTCCCTGGAGTACCCAGGACTACTGAGACTGCCATAGAAGATTAACTCGATACTGACATTCCATTGCCAAGCATGTCACCTTGAAGCCAGCTAATGCACAATCTTTTCACAATCCTTTGTGAGCAGCTCTGTGTCATAATTTGAGGTAAAGGGTGTTTTGCTTCATATATTTGTTGCACACAGGAATGAGAGCTAACTTCCTTCAGTTGAACGTCAACAAGACCGAGGCCCTCCTGATTGGTTCGCGTCCACACCTCAGGCGCTGATAGCATCATCATCCATGGGTGCACACTCCACCTTACTAAGCCAGTGCGGAACCTTGGTTTTGTTTGACCCTCCTTTCTACCCCACATCCATACCAAGACCTGCTATGCCTTCCCCTACCTGTGCAACATCACCCGGCTCCGCCACTGTCTCTCACTGCAGGCCGCCGAAACCTTCATACATGCATTCATAACATCCAGACTCGACTATGCAAACTCCTTGCCTGTCGGCCTCCCCAATTCCTCCCTCCATAGGTTGCAGATCATCCAGCCCATGTCCTGCTTCACATCCCCTGCCTCATCCGTCCCACCATTGGTGGGCAGGCCTTCTGTCACTCTGCCCCCACCCTCCTGAACTCCATCTCGCAGTCCCTCTGCCTCGCTCCTCTGTTGCCTCCTTCAAGACCCATCTCAAGACCCTCCTCTTCGACCATGCTTTCGATCACTCTCCTTCTCACCCCCCACCACCCCTTGCCCTTCATCCTTCCCAATCCCAACCTCCAGCTTGGGTCCGAAGCATTGACTGTCCATAGGCTTGGGACATCCTCCTGACATGAAAGCTGCTATTGCAGATGTAATTTTGTTGTTGTACCATTAGTAGTTTTTTTTTATTGTTTATAACAACAAGTTTCTCTTCTGGTCCATTGAGATCCAAATTGTGACAACATGATTTTATCATTTAATTTCTGAACACTGTAAAGTTTCCCAAAATAGAGAGAAACTTTCAATTCTTACATACATTATATATGGTACCCTCTCTGGTCTGGTCTGGACAGTTAGAATCAGCAGTAGCAGGGTAACTATTCATGTGGAGTCCTGTAGCTCAGTGGTTAGAGCACTCGCCTCACAAAAAAGAGACCTGGGTTCGATTCCTGGCAGGGTGAAACCTTGGATAAGTTTCTTTACTCCACACACCTGATAATAATCCATCAATAAAATTGGTCACTTCAATCCACGACTATTTGTGGGACATTGCTGTTTGCAATTGGCTGCTGTGTTTTGCCCACAAATATACAGTCAATCACTTTACAGTATATTCTGTGAAGCGCTTTAAGACGTCTAGAAGATGTGAAAAGCACTATAATAATAATACTTGCATTTGATATAGTGCTTTTCACGTCTTCTTGACGTCTCAAAGCGCTTCACAGAATATGCTGTAAAGTGAATTGACTGTATATTTGTGGGCTATATCAAATGCAAGGATTATTATTCCTGAAGTGGAGTTAGCTTGCATTGGTGCCTATTAGACAAAGTTACAAACTTGCAGGACAAATCTGCAATGGTTCTTTGTGCTACTGCTTTGCTGGTGAATCTAATAGGTCTCTGCTGCTATTGTTAAGGGCCTCTTTCTATCCTGTTCACCTCCACTGCACTAATTTAAATCCATTCATTCTGTGAGGAGACATGTAGGTGATTGTTTTTATGCCTCCTGGGGAAAGTGATGTGAAGGTGTAATAAATTCTGGATACCAATTGTATGGTGAATGATCTGAATGCTTATTGCAAAACAGTGTTACCTTATTGGTTTGGTGGAAGGAGTCAAGTGGAATAGCAATCAGAGTATGATAATCTCATGTAATAACAGCAAAGGCTGCAAGCTCCTTACTCATTTGTATTCAGACTGCGACTCCAGGAGTGAAGCAAAGGCTGTGTTCATCTGTGGTTTCTGAATAGTTTACCTGGCCACAGGCCATGCTGAAACCCAATTGTGAAAGAATCCTTCATTGTCAAGCTTAATATGTTAGGACACAAAGCTTGTGTTTGTCCTTTGTCTTAAAGCAGCAACATGCAATATGCTTTTTTCAGGAGCTGTATCAGGATTCAGTTCAATAAAAAAAAATTTAAACTCCTAAAGGTCCGGTAATAAATGTTTCACGCAATAACCCCGTAACACTTAGCTTGCAATAAAATCGTTAAAAGTTTCTAAAGTTCATTGTTGAAGCAGAATTTGGAGAGCCATGCTGGTATTACTGTTTTATTCATTAAAATATATAATCCATTTTACAGTATATCCTATGAAATGCTTTGAGCTATCTCAACATCATGATAAGATGCTGTATCAAATGCAAGGACTATTATTATCCGGCCCAGGGGATGATTTAATCTGGCCCACCTACGAACATTCTGCATAGGTTTGTTCCAACTTACTTAACTGCATTTGAAATGAAATAGTTTCCCTTTGAACCTTGATGGCCCAGTGGATAAGGTCAATGAGGACTAGGCTTTATAGGTTTGAGTCATTCATGACATGGCTACGTTAGATGATCTCTGCAACAGTTAAAGTACTATAATTGGACTCCCTGGGTTAGAGAGGGGGAAAATCATTGAGTTCGCTCCACTGATCATCATCCAGAAATCCTGCAGGAAGATGTATGTAGTATATCTGATGTGGACAGGGCTTAATACATTTATAATCCCACCGTTCACCAGTCAACTGGTCTGCCAACAATCCCTTATAATATTGACATAAATGTTGACATAATATTGACACTTGGACAAGGTACTGTGTGTTGCCCATGGAACTCTTTCCCCAGTATCAGGAAAAATAATTTCTCATCCCATTTTATCTCCTCACTTTCTCATCTGTGAGATCTTCTGAGAAGCCTTTTTGCTCACATACTTTCTGTCATTTATCAGAATCTAGGTTATAACTATCCTGGGTAGGATAGAAGAGGAAAACAGAGAGCTCTGATCACACTTGGACATATTACTGGATCTTTATATTGTATGTTTGATGGAGTTTTGACGTGTAAAATATGTAGCACAATATGGGAAATGAAGCATAATCTTCCTATCTGGCCCTTTACTGTTTTTTCAAACCAACAAGGCATAAAGGAGCTATTGAGACTGGACTGACTCGGCGGCCACTGAATGTGGCTTTGTTGTGCAGTTCCTGGAAGTCTGCCATGGATCTGGCTTTGAGTCTCCTATGCCTGGTGATGTGTGTCCCTCCCTCTTAAGCACACTCTAATGGGATGTTGCCTTACTTTGAGAATGAAAACAAGTGTTTTTATGATGGATTTGGTACTTGTGAAAGTAAACGATACTTTGTTTTTTTTTCTCTCTGCCCACTAAAATGTCTGGATGCTTGGATGCAGCTTACCCAGATGTACAGGATCTGCCGCAACAACTTGTCTAATTGCAACTTCAGAAGATCACTCGCTACTCTGTACTTGGTTGACATTCTAGTCTTGCACACCAGCAATTCTCTGAGCCTGTTTCCAAGTTGATTACCAGTTCTGTGCAACACTATGTTTTCGCTGGACTGAAGAACTCTTTTGAAGTTGTTGCATTTTGATTCTTCCTCTTGTGAAGACATTGACTTGTGCTGGATTATGATTTCGTGGGTACAGTCCGATACCACTCTAGATGTGTTCTTTAAGTATAACCCTAGTGTCTGAATATTTGACTCAACCAAACCCATTCTTTATCTAACATCCTCGTGCATGCACTTGGATTGGTGTTTATTGGATAGAAATTAGAATCCTGGGTGCTTTCTTTTTAAATTGTGCTCTTTCTCTTGTCCAGAAAAAATATTGCCATGTCTCTCTGACCTGTGGAGTTCTATTTGGGAATAGTGTTCCCACAGGTCTTGTGCCTTACTTCTGGTTGCAATTCTCCAATTTTCTGGAGAATTGTTGGGCAGGACACAGGGAGAAACTCCCTTCTCTCTTCGAATAAAGCTGCCAGATCTTTAAAGATCTTTAAGTGCCCTGGTTTAATATCGTGCTTGAAGATCGGCAGCCCTGACAATGCAGCGCTACCCTAGTTTGGCATTGAAATGTCAGCCAAGACTATGAGCTCAAAGGGCTAGGGTTGGGCTTCAACTGACAAACGTTTAACCTAACCGAGAGGTGAGCATGCAACCAATTGAGCCATGCTAATGTTTGTTCAATCTGCTTTTGTTTATACTGAGTTCAATCTACATTGAATGATATTGCTCAGGATGCCTTTGTGGAGAAGTGACTAAGCTCAGTTGTGAGGGAGCTGAACTCTTGTTAAGGTGAAGAAAGAATACTTTCACTACAAGTTGTGTGAGGGTGCCCTGGACTATCTCTGCCTCCTTGACCTTTCTGCTTTGATATTATTGACCACTTTATATACTCATTTACCTGTGTAGGACAGCATTTTCCTGCTTCCTGTCCATCGCTTGCATGTTGTTTTCTTCACTGGTATCTTCTCATGTCGTAGAGCTATTCCACTGTGTAACTCAGCAGCTTGGTTCACTTGCATGAAATCTGCTCTTTGACTATTGATTTCTGAGATGGCAAATACCAGATTCAGGCCAACACAAGTAACAGCTGCACTAAGTGAACAAAACAGGATGATCCTTAAGCATCTCTGCCAAGGGAATTTTTTTTTCTCATTCCTGGAGTCCTCATGAACAATAATGTGGATTTTCTCTTGCTAGTTAATACCGGTGACTATATTGAGGCTGTGCTGGACCGAAACTTGGCTGAGAACATCTCCCGGGTTCTCTATCCCAATGACAATGTAAGTTACTGTTATAAGCTATGCGGTGCCTTGCAGCTATTTGTCAATCATCAATGAATGTCAATAATTCAGTTTGTCAACACTCTAGGAACACATAATAGAAAATCGATTAGATCAGCAAGAGTGTACTAACTAGAAATTTTAAAAACTAGTGTAATTTTAAAAAAAAGTGAATGTTCTTCATGATATGGTACCTTGGATGCATTATAATTTTTGTTCCTTCTTTTTGTTCAGGAACCGCCTCACCCCAGTTTAAATTAATCAATGTAAAATTTTCCTTTGTCAATTTTTTGTTTAAATTCAGTTTTATTTTCCCCCGCCAGTTTTAGTTTGAGAATGCTGTTGCTGCAGATACAACAACAAAATGACATTTATAGAGCGCCTTTCACATCGGGAGGACGTCCCAAGTCGCTGGACAGTCAGGGGTCAGGACCCGAGTTGAGGGAGGGGTGGGGTAAGGGAGGGAAGGCAGAGAAGTGGGAGGGCTTTTGAAGGCACGATCGAAGAGGAGGGTCTTGAGACCGGCCTTGAAGAAGGCAAGGGAGGAAGCAAGGTGAAGGGACTGTGGGATGGAGTTCCAGACCACTGGATGGTAGGGCCACTGATGGTAGGGTGGGTCGGATGGGAGACATGGAGCAGGCTGGAGGGAGCGGGCAGGTTGGTAGGGAATCAGCAGGTCAGAGAGGTAGGAGGGGGCAAGGCCATGGATGGCCTTGAAAGTGAGAACGAGGATCTTGAACTCGATCCTCTGGGGGATGGGGAGCCAGTGGAGTCGGGCGAGGGTGGGATTGATGGGGTCACAGAGCCTGGTGCGCGAGAGTACACGAGCTGTAGAGTTTTGGATGATCTGCAGTTTGTGAAGGGAAGAGTCTAAAATGTAGGTACAATCATTATTGCAGCCAACAAACCATCTTAAAGTTGCTCTGTCGGACACTGGGCATATGGCATTGTGCCCAGATGCTGATGGCACAGCTTTCAGTTGTGAAACGAGAGTTCTGGGATTAAATAAATATCAATTTCAATTTACTTATTCAATTAGTTTCTTTGCCAATGTTAGGTGAACTAGTTAGTATCTGGTACGAGATGCAAATTGTGGCTCTGCTTTTTTTTTAATAAACTGGTTCCACCAGTTTTCTCCCTGCTACCGTTCTGATATTACAGGAGGTGACTCGTGCTAAAGTAAGGTTCTCCTGGGTATTTGCCCCTCTGGTACAAACCACTTGGGAACTCTGCCTGCAGTTCAAAACTAGTGGGAATTATTCCCTTTGGGGAACCGGTTGTGGTGGGGGGGGGGGGGAGAGAAGAAAATCTTACTGGAACAGGAAGATCTTTTACAGCCATTAAATTCAGATTCAAATGTGAAAACTATAAATAATGTTGGAGAGTCGTACAAAAATGATCCAAATACTGTAGAAGCGGGTTACATCTCCCACAGTGTAGTGGTGCCTTCTGGATACATAGGACCCAAACAATCCTTTTAGAGTGTAACCTAGTGTTGAGCGGTCGGTTCTCTAAATGATTGAACTCTCCTAGGGTTGTATTGACTTTGGAGCCTTAAATATTAAATATTAAATATTAATTGTAATGAAACTTCTTTTCAGTTCTTTGAAGGTAAAGAATTGCGGTTGAAGCAAGAATACTTTGTGGTAGCAGCCACACTCCAGGATATCATTCGCCGCTTCAAGTCTTCAAAGTTTGGGTGTCGTGATCCGGTCCGAAAATCTTTTGAAACATTCCCCGATAAGGTATGCTTCATGTCTGTAATCATTGTCTTGCAGGAGGCATGGTCCTTTTACCAGGATTCTTCCTCATACCAGGACAACACCAGTTTTCAAGAAGCACATTTCTGCAGGGCTGAGCTTAGCAAAGTCTTTCTGGGAAAGGCTTGATAGCCCAAACAACCTCTTCAATTCTGTTTCCTTGAGATCTTATCGGACAGAACTGCTTTTTCAAACATTTTACCTCCTCTTTTTAAAAACACACTACCTCAACTTCGTCTCCTCTAACACTTTCTCCTCCACCCCTGACTGGTCACCTGCTGAGTGCCTTAGCTCCCACCTTTTCCTCATCTGCACGTTCCCTCTTGGTGAGATACACAGATCTCGGGTTAACTGAGGAGTTAACCCGAGAAGGTATTGCTTGCTGTTCCCTGTTCTGAGTTTTCCTGGGACAGCACAGTGCATTCCTCTGTTTTTTGTCCGCTGTATTGAGTGATTTCCACTTTGAGGAGATTATACAGGAGTGTACCCAGTCAACAAATATTTATTAAGTGACCTGAAGCAGCATTTCACATCATCAAACACGACCACATTTTTAGTGCACTGCTGTTCAGACCCATATCAGGAAGGAAATTTTCAAAAAGATAGATCAGGAGTGAACCAGTGATTTGTTGACACGACTCAAGTACAGACTTCTTATGTAGTAAATTAACATTTTTTTCAAAAACATGTAGATAAATCCAGCAGATTTTTATATATAATATATATCTTTGCTGCCTATTAAAACCCAGAGCTGCTGTCTCCTGAACATAACTGACCATTGAGGTGGTTGAGTTTAAGGGAAGGTTCTCAGCCAGGGCAAAAGCAAGATATTCCTGTCTTCTCACCTGTGCTTTGATTTCTGTCACAAAGTGGAACTTTCCAGACACCCGCAGCTTTGGGCTACTTAAGAACAGGTTCACACGGTTTTCCTGTCAGCTTTTTATCTGCACAGTATAAACATTGCAACTGGTTAATGGGTTACTTGTGAACCCAAGGATATAATTTAACTTCTTTGTCCGGATGGGGGCTGTGGGCTTGCTGCAAGAGCTGACAAGTTCTCTTCTCTTTCTTATCTTAAGACTCTTCTGTTCGACCTTGCTTTTGGTCACCCTTTTCTTTTGTTCCACCCCCCAGCTCAGGCTTCCAGTTAGCTCTGGAGCACATCCTGACGTGAAAGGTGCTGTATAAATGTAATGTTCTCAAAAGGGTTGGTATAAACATGGTTGGCCAAATAGCTGCCTCCTGTGCTGTAAATTTCTATGGCATACACCAGTGGGAGAGCCAAATGCAGCATTAGTGCAGATGAAGTCCTGAGAACATGTTGAAATCAAATCACTGGAAATGCTCCACAGATCGGCAAGTGATGATATTTTTCTATCCGCTGCTTTCAGATGTTGGTTGGTTGCTGTCTTTCCAGCATTTTCCTCACTTCAGACTCTTTAAACTTTCACCATTCCTTGTATGTTTGCAAATGGTTTTACAGGAAACACGACAGTTTTACCTTTTACCAGTGGGTTAGAAAGTATTGCCCTTTCCTGTGCCTTGCATTGATGATTTCTAGGTTTGTGCCTACAGTTTACTGCAAATTCAGCATAGATTTTGAACATGGGATCTTCTCATTCTGTACTATACTGTATACTACTAATAATAATCCTTGCATTTGATATAGCGCTTTTCACGTCGGGAGGACGTCCCAAAGCGCTTCACAGAACACACTGTAAAGTGAATTGACTGTATATTTGTGGGCGAACGCGGCAGCCAATTGCGCACAGCAATGTCCCACAAACAGTCGTAGATTGAAAATGACCAATTTATTATTGTTTTTGGTTTTTTGGAGGGATTATTATTAGGCGTGTGGAGTAAGGAAACTTGCCCAAGGTTTCGCCCTCTGCCTGGAATTGAACTCAGGTCTCTCACTTGCAAAGCGAGTGCTGACTGAGTATTATTTAATGAGCCCGATGAAAGGCTTCTGTGTCTCTTGACTTGTTACTTGTTTAATACTGTTATTCTGTTCTTAGGTGGCTATTCAGTTGAATGATACCCACCCTGCACTGGCTATTCCTGAGCTGATGCGAATTCTGGTAGATGTAGAGAAGATTGATTGGGAGAAGGTACAGTTCAATGCTTGCATCTTAGGAATAACTGTGTCTTTAAAAAGCTTTTTTACAGTTTGGACTAACAGTGAACACTATCGGACGTGAAGTAGGTGTGTATCCAGGCTCTTGCTTATTGAGCGAGTCCATGAGAGTGATGACATATTCTGAACTCCTGTAAAACAGTCTAAAGTTTGAGTTTAGTATCCCTAGCATCAAGATGACAACCATATTTCTACCAATATCTTGCTGACCTGTGTCCATCTTCCTCTTGAGAAGCCCATGCAGATAAATGGTGTTCTGCTATACTAGGAACAAACACACATTTAATCGGATTCGATAGCTACCTGTAAATTGTCACATGTGTCATCCTTCGAAAAAGGAACTCTTCCATTTTATTTTCCCCCTCCACATAAAAACACGCTTGCCAGGTGGCATTTTTTAAATTCCAAGTAGCATGGCACTGGCTGCTTAAAGCAGTATATTTGAATCCAAAATAAAGATTCGAATACCTGCCCCTTTGAAGTAGGGACCTCTCCCCTTTAACTCCACAGAGAGTGTCCAGTGCATGTGAGGTTTCTGCTCATTTGTCATCTGCTATTCCTACAATTGCCACAGACCTGGCACAGCTACTGTTTAAAAGCTGTGGATTCATTTAAAGTAGCAAAAAATGGGGTGAGTGGAGACCGGTGGCTGTTTCAGTCAAGAATAACCAGATGATTGCCTAAGGTCTCAGTGTAAATAACATGGAGAACGTGCACAGAGTACAAATAACTGACGTGTGGTTTGTTTGTTTTTTTGCTTGTAAGGCTTGGGATATAACCAATCGGACCTGTGCCTATACTAACCACACTGTGCTCCCTGAGGCTCTGGAGCGTTGGCCAGTTCACATCTTTGAGAAACTCTTGCCGAGACACCTGGAGATCATCTATGCCATCAACCAGAAGCACCTGGATGTAAGGAACCTAAACTGAACTCCAGCTGATTACCATTGCAACATGTAAAATGTTGACACGGGCTGAATTTCTGAAACCCACTTCTGTTGGATTAACTTTTTTTAGTTTTTGCTTTTTTTTAAAACCATTGATCAGTTTAAATTCTTTCATTTTAGAGCATTATGCTAGGGAAGGTTCACAATAATATCAGTCTTCTCTTTGAAGTGGAGAAACAGGATGGGGAGCTTTCACCAAGGTGACTTGCATATCCCGAGCTAAATGGAGCATTGCTAGATGTCTACATTATAAAAAGATTGAAGTACTGCTGTTCAGAGCACAGGTTAGAACATACACCAAATCTTGTATCTATGGGAGAACCTAATTTAGGAAGAATATATGCCCTCTGGTGGAAATTGCTGACTATCTACAAGGATGATATTGCAATGAAGGGACTTAGCTGTGATGAGAAGTTGCATTGGATTCATTGAAATATATAATGGGATTTTGGGCTGTGTATCCTGAAAGTTAGAAGATAAAGTGAGGAGATGATGAATTTATACAAAATCTGGTTAGACCATATTTGGCGTATTGTGTCCGATTCTCGTCTCCACACTAGAAGAGGGATATAGCAGGAATGGAACAATAAATTGGATTTATATGGCACCTTTCATGTCTGGAGGACATTCCAAGGTGCTAGGGGAATACCAGGGCTGGCAAGTTACTGCTATCAGGATAAATTGGATGAGTTAGGCTTTTTTTTATGAAACTAGGGAAGATGTTTTGGGGGGATGGGGTGTCCCAATAGAAATGTTTAAAATTATAAATGTGTTCAATAAGGTTAACAAATAGGCTGTTTCTATTAGAAGCGGAGCTGTAAAGTATAAGATAGTGACTAGAACATCTAAAATACAATTTAGGAGAAACTACTTTACACAGAAGGTAGCAAGATTGTGGAACTTGCTGTCCAAAGCACTCAAATGAATCAGATAGTATAGATGCATTCAAAACGAAACTAGACTTTCACATGAGGGAGAGGGGAATAGAAAAGTTTGGAGGGAGTAAGGAATAGGAATACACATGGAGTATAAACACTGGCACGACTGGTCTGTTGGGTCGGTTTCCATTTTATACATTCTTTGTAAACCTTAAAGGTCTGTGGATTTAAATCACATTGACTTGTCCCTTTAAGGCCCTCAGCAGACAATGTAAATGTTCATGGCCTTTTGTGTTGGTTGCAAGTTTAACTATTAACATAACTTTATTGTAGGGTTTCTTTTTTTGAAATTTGGATAATAATAGAACAAAAGGTTAAAAAGTCAGTTTGCATTGCATGAAGCGGAGAGGCTTCACTGAAGCGATTCTGTTTACAATTTGATAGGAAGAGTGTAGGTATTTGGAATATGCATACTCCTATACTGGTGTTGAGGGGAGTGTTCAGTGAGGGTGGCAGCGGAGAAGGGAGTGATGGTAGAGGGGGTAATTCTCCACTTCAAAAGAAAGGTAAGATAATTCCACCTAGTATTCTTTAGCACCTCTTACTGGCCAGTCAGAATTGTCTGATTCATTCTTTTGATCACTCTTCCATAGGCTCTTAAACATAGAAATGTTGTTCCTCTAAGAATGAAACCATGCCCAAAACAATGAGTTATGTGAGGCTACCCTGTTTCTCTTCCAGAACATCGCCACGCTATACCCTGGTGACATGGCGCGTATGAAACGCATGTCTCTGATTGAAGAGGACAACCCCAAGAGGATCAACATGGCTCATCTCTGCGTCGTGGGGACCCACGCTGTCAATGGCGTCGCACAGATTCATTCCGATATTGTGAAGAATACTGTGTGAGTGCACCGGAGCCACAAGAACAAAACCAGACACCCTTTGTTTGCAATGTTTAGGAACCTGGGTGCCAATGGTTCACTGACTTTAAGACATCCTCTTTGACCATGCCATCAGCCAACCCCCTTCCCCTCCCCTCCCTTCTCTCCCACTGACCCTAGCTCGGGTCTGAAATGCTGTACACTGTCCAGCGCCTTGGGATGTCCTCCTGACATGAAAGGCGCTATACAAATGTAATCTTGTTGTTGGCTGGTTTGCTTCTATACTTCATATAGAAGTTAATTGTCACAACCCACAACTGCTCACAACTGCCCTAGTTCACTCTTTTGGTTAGGAACTGATACCAAGACTGCAGAAGAAGACCAAATAGTTGTAAAGGGTAATTCTTCTTTACTGGGAGGGTAATTAATAACTGGAACAGGAAGGTTCCCAGCCAGGAAACTGACTCTTTTTTTTAAAAAAAAGTTTGACGTCCAAAGAGATTAACAAACACATTCTGAAAGTTGTCTTTCTTGCACAACTGAAGTGGCAAGTTTTCACAAGAGTATGACAATATTCTGTTTTGACAAGTATATAAATTTATATTTATTCAAGTAAGCACTGGAATGTTCTGCAGTAAGCAATGCATAATATTCCATGTGTGAAGTCAAAAATAAATGGTCCACAGGCAGACATTGATTGATCCTCTTTTTCCGCAGAAGCCTCCTACGATTCTGTATCTTTGCAATATTTAGCTTTTTTTGTTCTTGCCCTTGTTAAAACCATTTAAGTTTTATAACTTAGCATCAAAGTTTTGCATTGTATTGTCACAATTATTGCTGTACTCTTCCAGTTCAGATCATCAGTTCAACAGGTAATGTGAACAGGCTGAGATTCAACCCACTGGTTGTTGAGTTTGGCAATAATATTTAGAGGGATTGCACAATTATTAAGCAATATAATCTGATGAAGAATGAGTTGTGCGTCAGAATTTATGAAATGAGAATTAACATTTTGGAATGAAGATTGTACATAGTTTAGCAATTTGCACATAGCAATAACTGGCGTGTGACAGATTGCAGAGGTAATGGTGGTCAAACGAAATCACACTAAAAGAAATGAGGAAGATTTTCACAAATTACTTGTCCTACAATGGTAGTTTGACATTATTCATCCCTGTATACTGAACACAACTATTTAAGCATAGAATTGTTTTTCTCAAACTCGTTCTTTTTTTTTCTTTTCCTTCCCCAAATCGACAATCTGGATGGTAAAGTCTTCAGTTTTAAAGTATTTTCTTTCTGGTTTTGCCTTTCAGTTTTAAGGATTTCTATGAACTTCAGCCTGACAAATTCCAGAATAAGACCAATGGTATCACTCCAAGGCGCTGGCTGCTACTCTGTAACCCAGGCTTGGCAGATATCATTGCTGAGGTAAGGTTTTTATTATCAAAAACCGGGACTGAGTCCACAGTCAACAACAACACGATTGCATTTATAGAGCGCCTTTCACGTCGGGAGGACGTCCCAAGGCACTGGACAGTTGGGTCGGGACCCGAGCAGGGGGGAACTGGTCAGGGTCAGGGGAGGGAAGGGAGGGAGCGAGAAGGGGGTAGAGAGTCGAGAGGGGAGCTGAAGGCACGGTCAAAGAGAAAGGTCTTGAGACCGGCACTGGGGGATGGAGTTCCAGAGCCTAGGGGCGGAGAGGCTGAAAGCCCGGCCCACCGATGGTAGGGCGGTTGGGGCGGGGGATGTGGAGCAGACCGGAACCAGAGGAACGGAGGGTACAGGCAGGTAAGTAGGGGGATAGTAGGTCGGAAAGGTAGGAGGGTGCAAGGCCGTGAAAGGCCTTGTAGGTGAGGATGAGGATCTTGGATTTGATCCTCTGGGGGATGGGGAGCCAGTGGAGGCGAGCGAGGGTGGGAGTGATGTCAGCAGCAGCAGTCAGCAGCTATGAATGGATTTTTGACATTTATGCTGCTTTACGAAAGCTTTATCATGCTGAATTGTCTCTAAATATTCCACACAATGAGTTACCTTGAAGTGAGGTCAGTCTTGTTCAGTATCACTCTTGTTTCAGAAATAGAAGGTTGTGGGATCAACAACAATATGCTCTTGTATAAACACCACATCAGGACTTTGAGCTCATAATCTACCCTGAAAGTGCAGTGCTAGAGGAGAGCTGCATTGTTGGTGATTTTTGTCCTTTGGATGAGACATTAAACTAGATCCCATCTGCCTTTTCAAATGAATGTTGGATTCAACGGTACTTTTTGAAAAGAGAAGGGAGTTTCTTCCAATGACCTAGCCAACAACTCCTGAGATAAACCTGCAGAGCAACACCAAGTTCAGTGACTGCTGGCTCAGAGGGGAGAATTGCACAAATCTGAATCAATACGGATGAGAGCAATAAAGCTTTGACATCGAAACGGGAAGGATCTCTGCATTCTGTGGAATCCTGTAGCTCAGTGGTTAGAGCACTCACCTCGTAAGCGAGCGACCTGGGTTCGATTCCAGGCAGGACGAAACTTTGGGCAAGTTTCCTTATTCCAGACGCCTGATAATAATCCCTCAAGTAAAAAAAACAATAATAAATTGGTCACTTCAATCCATAACTGTTTGTGGGACACTGCTGAGCACAATTAGCTGCCGCATTTCGCCCACAAATATACAGTCAGTTCATTTTACAGTATATTCTGTGAAGCGCTTTGAGACGTCTAGAAGATGTGAAAAGCACTATATCAAATGCAAGGATTATTATTCTATTAATTAACTATAGTTCTCTCAGTCCCAATCTGTAACCAATTGTAGGTGTGCATGAGAAGTTGGAATAATTTCCTCCTTTCTTACCCCCCCACCCCAACTCTACTCTCTCACCCTGAGGAATTCTATAACTATTGCTTAACACCTCATTTACTGCCATGGTGAGATTACTTGTCATGAGAACCTTTTGTCTGTGCCACCACCCTATCATAACACTGGTAAGTGTCTTGTGTTACCAGAGATGGTCTTTCCCAGGATATTTGTTAGGAAGAGGAATAACTGGACACATCATTATCCTTGAATTAGTTTCTTTCATCTATGACTGAACCTTGGTTGGATTCAATAATAATATAATAATCCGCTTTATGCACGGTTAAAGTATGATCTTTGTCATTTTCCTCTCTTTGTAGAAAATTGGAGAAGACTTTTTCGTAGACTTGAGTCAACTGAAGCAACTGCTGAAGTATGTTGATGATGAGTCCTTCATCAGGGATGTGGCCAAAGTGAAGCAGGTACAATGAGCAAGTGAATGAATTGGCACAGCTATAATGCAGTGGGTATGTCGAGCTGGGTGAAGTGATTGAGCATTGGGGTGGGGGTTGGTCAAGTAGACAACAACAACAACAACAAAATTCCATTTATAAAGCGCCTTTCACGTCAGGAGGACGTCCCAAGGCGCTGCACAGTTGGGTCATGACCCGAGCAGGGGGGAAATGGTCAGGGTGAGGGGAGGGAAGGGAGGGAGCGAGGAGGGGGGAAATGGTCAGGGTGAGGGGAGGGAAGGGAGGGAGCGAGGAGGGGGAAGAGAGTCGAGAGGGGAGCTGAAGGCTCGGTCAAAGAGAACGGCTGCAGGAGAAAGCTTGCTCTATTATTGCTTTTCTCATGTGCTTTCAGAAATTACTGAACCCGAAGAAACTATCACATTCTCTACTTCCCGCTCTTCTTTTTATTCCCCCTCTTTCTCTCCCTCTCACCCAATGCAAATGCAAATATTTATTGATGATTCATCGTGGGCTGGATCCAAATCTAGCTACTTAACTCTGAGGCCTTGAAATGCTGGTTGTGATAATGAAGGAATTGGCATTGATGAGATTGGGGGTGAAATCAATTTTTGGGACAATACAGGGAGCTTTATGCTGCATTATGTACAGTACCTGATCTAGGAGTGCCTGATGCGGGGAATTGAAGAGATCTTCTTTCTGTCCCCCCCCATCTCATGTTTGACACGTGTCAATGTCTCTCACTTTGAGTGCTGATGAGCTGGTTACTCTGTTCTGATCATTCTACCTGTGTTAGTGATTGGTGGGAGTGGAGGGGAAAAAGGTCTAAATTTGCAAATCTTCTTAACTATTTAATTGTATAACAGCAGCTCCACTGGAACTTGCTTCAACATTGGTTTTGGTTCCTGTTTCCAGAGGTTCAGCCGCAAAGAATCCAGGATTCACTAGTTAGGATTCACTTACAGTAATTTCCCCCACCTCCCCTCCAAAAAGAAATAGAGCCTGGTTTTCATCCTCTGAGATCACAAAATTAGTTCAGATGAAGGCCCTTCGGCCTATTAGATCTCATCCTTCCAGGATACCTATCCTCCCATCACAGCACCAAGCTGTTTTTTAAATTACTCTCTTTGTAAAGAGAACTTCCTGATTTTTGTCCTGAAATTTCCATTTGCAACTCTTAAGCGTTTGTCCTCCTGTTCTAATGTCTTGGTGCATTCTAAAGTATTGTTTAAATGTCCTCCTGAGAAAGATGCAGTATACATGTTAGTTGTATTGTTCTGCTCATTTTAATGCTGTTTTTCAGGAGAACAAACAGAAATTTGCCGCTTTCTTAGAAAATGAATACAAGGTCAAAATCAACGCATCATCCATATTTGATGTGCATGTGAAACGCATCCACGAGTACAAGAGGCAACTGCTGAACTGTCTGCACGTTATCACCCTTTACAACCGTAAGTTTGAGGCTGATCCCAGAGTGACTCTTATTGTATTGCACCCATCTGGCTTTTCCTGTGCTGTGCCCGTTCATTCTCTACATGAAAGATAACAAAGGCTTTGTTACAAGTGTATGTTTGACATGCAGGCTTGTCATTTGCTGTGTTGTAGCTGCAGAGGGACTGTTACATTGGGCTGCCATGTTACTTTTGTTTCTTCTCTCGTCTCTACACAATATGTATTTGACCCGAGGACTAGCTGGGGAGAATCAAACTGAGTACAACATTCCCACATGTGCAATTTTTCCAGCAGAGGTTAACACTTACTGATCAAGAACAGGGATTCTGGCTGGAATTTATTTCTCCTCACTGGTCAGGGTCACGGAGGCCAGCTGTAATCGCAGCTGATATCAGTTAACTCGGCAGAGACTGAGAACTGAAGCTGGAACCTTTGTATGAGAGGGGGAGTGTGTGTGCAGAGTAAAACACTTAGAGGATTTGCAGATGAGGCCTACAGTTTACATTGAAGTGAATAATTACAGTGAAGTGAATAGATTAGTTACACAAACATGTAACTAACGTTCGTATTCCAAGGTCTCTTCCTCCCGAGCTCCACTACAGTAATTGGACAATTGAGTAACAATATCCTATCTGTTTCAGGTATCAAAAAGGAACCAAACAAAGCCGTTGTCCCAAGGACAGTCATCATCGGAGGAAAGGTAATGAAAAGCAGTGCACCATTGAGAGGCTTTCATTTCAGTGTGCAGATGCTGTCAGTCAGTGTCCCAGATTGCTGTGCCAGTAAATATCTGACTCTTATGTCCTTTTTAAAACAAATTTGAATAACTGAAGATAAACCAGTATTTTCAAGTTTAAGTACAATAAAATCTCACTTCTGGGGGCACCTCAGAAACTCATTTAAAACTGATGCTGATTAAAATCCAGAATTCTTCTTGATCTCGCTAATGAGGACAAATGTAAGTTTTTTAAAATCAATAGAGCCCTATTATAATACTACATTTGAGGTCCCTAAAATCCACACAGTGTTTATAACTGTATGAGATTGCCGGTTGGTATTTTATCATTCACTGTGCATGTGCTCAAAGCTTGGCTTTCCATGCAAAAGAATGGCTGCCTTCTGAGTCATCAGATCACCACTGATTTCACTTCCTGCACAGGAAGTGAAGGTGGTGACTTGATGACTCAGAAGTTGACCATTTTAACTGGTTGTTTGAACGAGATGGCTTTCTGCACACATTTTGGATTTTTCGGTAAATAAATGTCAGGATCTTCATCCAAACCACCCACGTTTATGTAGGGCCCTTCATCTTGGAGAGGTGAACCAGGGTGTAATGAAGTGAGTTATAATGGGATTTTATTGTATCAAGTTTCTACTGTAATCCAAAAGCAGGGTTCAGAAGTAACCCTTTGACATTGGCCCTATGTGTTAAATGTGAGAGTAATCTGTATCTTATAATCTACATATAGACAATTCAATTTGCCATGATATACTCTTTTACTGCTGTGGTGAGATCTAGAGTTGTTTTCTTTTTGATCTAATTTGAATGTTAAAATTTTGCATAGCCTAGGACAAAGACATTCAACTTAGCACCTGGGACTTTGAATGATGCTTCAGCCTACAATGTTGCTAGGATATATTTAATAGTGTTTTGCAGTAGAAGTTACTTTCTTAATCCCTGCTTTTGTTATAGCGCCTTTCATATCGGTATTTTTCAATGCTTCACAAGATATATACTCCCTCCCACCCCTCATTCAAGGCCCATCTCAAGACACAACAACAAATTGCATTTATATAGCTTCTTTCACATCAGAAGGATGTACCTCTATGACTGTGCTTTCGGTCTTTTTTTGTGTGTGTGAGAAAGCAAACACAGCCAATTTGTGCTCGGCAATATCCCACATACAGCTATGACATGAATGACCAATTTTATCTGGGGAATTGTTGGCCAAGACACTAGGAGAAATTTCCTTCTTTTTTCAAATAGTGTCATGGAATCTTTAACCTGAACAGACAGATAGGACCTTGGTTTAACGGCTCATCTGAAAAACAGTACCTCCAACATTGCAGTTTTCTCCCAGCACTGGATTTGGGTGTCAGCCTAGACTATTTGAATTGAAAGACCTAGTGTATGGCTTGAACCCACAATCTTCTGACTCTGGCAATATTGCTACCAGTTGAGCCAGGCTGTAACCTAAGTAGTTCAGTTTTAACAGTAAAGATTCAAAGGGTGTGAAATCTCCATTGATGATTTTCATAATTTACCAAAAAGGTAAGTGAACATCTCAAATCCATTCCAGTCATGCATGGGGAAGAAATTCCTTTTGACCTCTGAGTGTACTTATAATTAAACTAGTGTAGCAAGGTCATTGGACCAATTTATTGAACTTAACAGCAACAGCTCTTTCCTATATTATTATACAATGTCATTTTTTTGCTTGTGGTTTATGGTTTATATTTTTTCTGAAGCCTCATTGCAACATAAACCATTGTGATTCAAATGTACAGCCAGAGGCCTGCAGCCAGTATTATTCTATTACTTGTGTCTGAGTTAGAGGCCTGGGGGCACCTGTGGAAGTCCATCAACACAGAGCTCACAATTTAGTTGAGGGGAATCGAGAGCCTGAAACTCAATCCTATCATCCTCTAGTATAGTGTGTCTGAGCTCCTTAACTGTAGTACACCCCTTAGCATCTCCAAAACATTGGGACCTTCAAATGAATAGAAATAATTATTTATAATATGCTGCTTTTCTAATTGTAATGAGCTGACATTCAAAGAGATGGCTTTCTGACATTATGTTGGCACAGGGAAATGACTAATTGATTCACCAGCAGAAAATCTATTGTTAAATAATTAGTTTTATATTGGCATCTAATTTACCCCCCTCATTCTAACACATGGGGCTGCTTATAGTGTGTTATAGACCTGAGCTGTACCCTAGTACCGTACACTGTGATACTGGCTGGCTTCCTGTGTGTAGCGTAGAGGAAGTGGTGACAGTGAAGAGACATTTGACTTTCTGGCCTTCTCAATGCTTTGGTGCTGCCTCACCCTTTTGTGACTTCTGCTTGTCAAAGCCTAGTGTTTAAGATGTTTATTCTGTGCTCCCTGGCAGGCAGCTCCAGGCTATCATATGGCCAAAATGATCATCAAACTCATAACATCAGTTGCAGAGGTTGTCAACAATGATCCCATCGTGGGTGACAGACTGAAGGTCATCTATTTGGAGAATTACCGGGTGTCCTTGGCTGAGAAAGGTAATGCCAGCAGGAGGTGCTGTAACTGAACACTTGCACTCATCAGAACATATTTATTGCATCAGGAAAAAGGCAAACGTGATTTTGCCCACTCGATTTGAACTACTATTTTTAAATTGCTTTCACCTTTTTCCCCTTGTCTGTTCTTTAAGGAGCTAATTCCCATTTTGAATAATAAAAATAATAAACCTTGCATTTTGTATTGCAAGTTATCATGTCATTGAGATGACTCAAAGTGCTTTGCAGGATATACTGCTAATTGGATTGACTATTTTTTGTTGGAGAAATGCAGCTGCCACACAGCAATGTCCCACCAACAACCATGTAGTGAGTGATAAATTTTATTTGGGAGATTGTTGGCCAGGACACCTGGAAAAACTCCCTTCTCTTTTTGAATAATGCCATGGGATCTTTAACGTCCACTTGAACAGCCCAACGAGACCTCAGTTTAATATCTCATCCAAAGGATGGCACTTCTGACAATGCAACACCCCCTTCTCTCCCCCGCACTGCATTGGAGTGTCAGCTTCGACTGTGTGACCCATGTCCTCCAAGTCCTGGGGGTTGAACTACAACCTTCTGACTCTGGGCAAGACCCATACTCTACCACCGTTCCAGGCTAACACATTTGCTCGCATTTTTCCCTTCCAAAGATTTGGGACACAGGTTAATTAGTATCCCTTATTGCCATCATGGCTGTGATCAGACTAGGAATCAAACCATGGAATTCCCGGGTGTGTGTGACTGCATTGCACTGAAACACTGAATATAGTTTCAAGAGTGTTGGATGTCTTCCAGTACTTCACCAAGTGCTAATTCTTTGCATTTGAGCCCAGATAGTGAGTGTCGACAGTTGTGTAACTGGGTGGGGGTGGGGGGTGAAAGTATTAAGGTCATACTCAAAGTCAGTACAAAGTCGCTTTCTGGCAGGAGGTCATTGAACAGTGATTAGCAGTGGGAGGCCTGACTGCTCACGTTTTTCCCTTCCATAGTCCCGGGATACTGAGGTTAATCAGTATCCCTTTTTGTCATCATAGTTGTGACCAAACTGGGAATCAAATGGTGGAATTCCCAGACATGTAACTGCTTTGTACTAGGGGGCTGAGACACTGAGGTTCACAGCGCCTCTGTTGGCAAATTCCCTAAATTTTGGAAGCGTGAATTGTGACAAAATCTCATGTGTTCAGTTTTTTTGTGTGTGGAGTCCTGTAGCGTATTGGTTGGAGCACTTGCCTCGGAAACAAGAGAACCTGGGTTTGATTCCCAGCAGGGCGAAATAGTTTGCAAGTTTCCTTACTCCACACGCTTCTGTTTACCTAACAGTAAGTAGGAACCCGGTTGTTAGTTGATTGGTGGATTGATTTTCCAGGGGTAATAATCCCTTCAAATAATAATAATTTGATCACTCAATTCACGTCTGTTTGTGGGACACCAGTATATGCAATTGGCTGCTGGTTTCGCCCGCCATCAAACATTCAATTCACTTTACAGTATATTCTGTGAAGAGCTTTGAGATGCTATATCAAATACAAGGATTATTACTAATATTATTTTATTATACTATTATATATAAAATCCTCTTATTTGAGGAAAGGGACCCAGAGCTGAAAAATGCCAACCTTATGAGAGGATGAACTACTGCATCATTGAATTTTATCTTTCCAATTGTTAGCCCAACTTCTGATCATTTCTTTTCCTCCTGTTGCAGTGATCCCTGCTTCCGATTTGTCCGAGCAAATTTCAACTGCAGGCACGGAGGCCTCTGGCACTGGGAACATGAAGTTCATGCTGAACGGAGCCCTGACCATAGGAACTATGGATGGAGCAAATGTGGAAATGGCCGAGGAAGCCGGAGAAGAGAACCTCTTCATCTTCGGGATGAGGGTGGAAGATGTAGCGGCTCTTGATAAGACGGGGTCGGTATCTATCTTGCAATGGCTGGCTACAGAAAGGTTCCCCTTTAAGGACCTTCACCACACAGGTCCTGTTATAATGGTGATGGGGCCCTGGATAATTGGGAACTTGCCGCTGATAAACATTTAGCTCCAACAGATCAGAAACCCAGTATCACACTCTCAGACTTGCTCTTGAGTGTGGTGAGGAAGATGGGATTTTTTTTCTAGTTCAATTTCCTCAACCTTTTTTTCGTAATGGGTGCCTATCTTGGATGGAAGGGGAATGGATATTAGCAGTTAATCCCAATCTCATCTTTAAGCAGTCTCCCCAGGGGATGGAGAAGATAGCAGGAACTGGGAATGAGACAGTCTCAAGATGTCAATCGGGTTCGGTTTTGCCGATCAAATGAGTTTAGTCCGATCAAGCTGTGAGATGGAGTGGTGGTGAGATGGGGGTTGGCAGAAATGAACAGAAAGGAGCTTAGCTCGGGGTAGAGAAAAGAAAAAATGAAAATTATTGTAACCAGTCTAGTTAGATAGCATCTCTGGACGAAGATACATAGAACCATAGAAATTTGCAGCACAGAAGAAGTCTATTTGGCCCTTGTTTCTGTCCCAACTCTAATTCATTCTTCCAGAATATCCACTCTACAGTCTTCCCATTACAGACCATTAAGCAGGTTCTTAAACGCACAAAACAGCATTGATGGTAAATACCTGTAATAGACCATGTTCTGCAAGCTTTGTGAGGTTCATAGCCTCCATTTCCATTCCCCCACACAATGGCCTCTAAACTTTCCCTCTGGGTAAAAGCTGCTGGTGAATGCTTTGACTGCAGTAATCTGTAGAAGAGAGACAGGCCTGTGGACGATTGAGATTTGCCTTTGTGTCCTGTGCAGGTACAATGCTAAAGAATATGTTGACAAATTGCCAGAGCTGCGTCAAGCGATGGATCAGATCAGTGGGGGATACTTCTCTCCCAGAGAACCCCAGCTGTTCAACGATGTGGTCAACATGCTGTTGCATCACGACAGGTAAGTAGCCTTTGACTGGCATCTGTTGGGGGAAGAGCAGGTCTGTAACGACTGGCTTTCAGGATGTGCTTTGACTAGTGTAAAACTGGTCCATATGGACCAGGAGAGTAGCTCCTGATCTTTGCCAATGTAGGGATGATAGAATCTAGAGAAGGTCAAGCTTTTTGGTCAGACAACAAAATACATTTTCTTGATTGATTTATGGCCCCACCATAAGCATCGCCAATCAACACCAACAACAAGAAGATTGCATTTGTATAGCGCCTTTCACGTCAGAAGAACGTCCCAAGGCGCTGGACAGTGTATAGCATTTCAGACAGTTACTGGATGCATAACTTTGATTTAAAACAGACTTGCCTACACTAGTGCGAATGTTCAGAGGCCACAAAAAGGGAGACCATTCACAAGAGTCCATTTGTCCAATTGAGCCTGTGCTGCTGTGCTAGTCAACAACAACTTGCATTTATATAGCACCCTTCACTCAGTATCTCAGAGCACAAGACATATCTTTGAGCATTATAAATAATCAGCATGACCATGCAAGACTGTTTTCAGTCCACTAGTGCCCACTTAAATTGGTATTGATGGGGTTACCAGCAACCAGCCTTGAGCCCAGGAGTCAAGGTTTAGGTCCCAAGCCAGACTGTCTCAATGATGTTTAGGATTATTATTATTATTATTGTGCCCAAAGTGTAGAACACTGTGGTTGGGCAGCACAATTTCTCCAAATCTTCCCATTGATTTCCTATTGGAGAAATATTCAAAACAACGAAGAGGTTGGGGGAGAGAAACTATATACTATTAATTCTTTGTGCTTCAGACTGGAGTGAGAACATCAGGCACACAGTTCTGCTGCTGGTGTGGTAGCTGTGTGTCAGCATTACTGTTGCTGCTCTGTGTCTCCGCAGCATTATCACCACTTGACTGCCAGCTGCTTCCTCAGGGCTTCCGAGTCGAGCTGAAATGCTGCTTTCAGCTCAAATCGGCTTCAGGTCATATTTTTCTGATGATTCAGCCCAATATGTTGGCAACGTGTCGAGCAGAGTTGCAAACTCGATGGAATTAATGAAGGTTGGAAAGAGGCCAAGGGTTTGCTTTTCCACTTTCCTTGGTGCCAGTGAATGAACTACCACCGTTGAATGGCATGGATGTGAATCCAGGCATGTTGACATTTGCTGGGGTCTCCCAGCGAACCCAGCTTACAGGTCAATGCAGAAATCCTATAAGTGGGACCAAGCGGAGACTGGGCTAATTTCCCAAAGGAAGTTCTTTCTTCCACTGTTTTTTTTGCACACACATCACCTGCTCAGATACTACATTTCACATCCTGTAATTCTGTCCTCTGCAATGAGGTGGACCTGGTTTTCTCAGGCTCTCTCCTCTGCTGAGATGGATCAGGCTGCTCCCAGCATATGGCCAATGGCTTATTGTCCAGGGTAGGCTCTGCTGGGTAGGACATCCTCAGAAATTCTCGTAATTATGAGCTGAGCAGAATGGATCGTACAGGCATCAACCTCAAACTTCCTGGCTAAGAGCATCAAACCTCCAGTGCCTGAGGGAAGGGAGTGTATAACAGATATCAGAATTTCTTTGCAGGACTCAAACTTTTAAAGTTGTGTTGATGGTAAGAAGCGGGGGATGTAACCACAAGCCTTCTGCACTAGAGAAATTGCAAGGGTTGGTCAGACAGGAGGATTAAGGGGATTAGGACTTCCACATCTCACTTATCAGAAGATTCATCAGCACCTTTTTGGTGACAAGAATTGTACCAAAACATTTCAAACAAGACACTATAAAACAACTAAACATGTTTTTTTTTCTTTCAGGTTTAAAGTATTTGCCGACTATGAAGATTACATGAAGTGTCAAGCGAAAGTTAGTCATCTTTACAAGGTGAGTCTCCTATTGGGTTTTCATTGCTAACGTCACCTGAATGAATCACCACCTGCTCACTTAGCTGTCTGTGGGAAGGGAAGGAGTTAAGTTGTGTGCAGGGTGGATGTTGGGTTATTGAATGGAGGTCACTGAATAGCGATTTGTATTTCAATGTAATTTCACATCCCAGTTCTAAACTTTCTTCTCATCTTAGCCTAAATTACTATTTTGTCACGGTGTAACGATTGTGCTGAATTGGGGGAAATTCTTCTATTCAGACTTAATTCAGAAGCTGTCTTTCTGCAGTTTTTTAAAACTTTTTTAGAAAAGCTTCAATTGTGGAATCTCTGACCCTGAGGTCTATTTTGTCTTATTTGTAAACGGTAGATCAGAAACTGCTCGACTGCCAATCTGTTCAGCCCCAGCAGCCTCCTTTGTCTAACACTGAAGCCAAAGCCGAGACTGGTATTAAGAAGAGTGGACATCCACTCTGGGTATTTGCAGGATTTATTATTTACAAATATAATCTCAAAAGCTAGTCTCCAATGACACCACATTGACTGCCTCTGCATATGTACGTTTGTGTGTGTGTTGCAATTTCCTCCTTGGCTTCAAATTTTGGTTTCCTCTGCCCTTGTCTGGTTTAGGATCTGCAACCCTGCTGCCTGAACAAGAGGCCATATAGCATCAGTTCTTTGAACTCGAAAGTTGAGGTCTAATGTGGTTATTACAGTGTGCGTCTCTAAACTAACACAAGCTACTGTACTGTTTGCTGCCTTTGATAAATGATGGGAAGCTGGTGAAGATTAATTGTAACTAATGATCAAGGGCAGCTCTGACTCTTTGGGCTGCCAGGGTCCTGATAGTGAATTGATGTCTCCACCATGTGGAAGCAGGAGAATACAATGCCATGTCTGAAGTACAGTGAAATAATTCCATTCTCTATTATGATCAGATAAACGACAAATAAACATGAGAGTAACCGTCTAAGTGGCCCTGTGTGTATTGCAGCTGCCTGCCTTGTTTGCAGTGTTTCATTTGCATTAGATTTAGGCAGTCTCTACACTTTACAGTAAATACTGTGAACAGCTTTAGATGTACTCTTGACATGAAAGGATGAATTTATTTAAGATGCTGTTCCCTCAACTTTGCTGGAAAAACCTTAGGAATGGCAGTCAAACTGAGGGAATGCTGGGACCATTTACAATTCTGGAATATAAGCGTATAGAAACTGGCCATTCGGCCAATCGATGCAACTTGCACTCAGGGCAGGGTCTCGTAGCACTTAAAAGGCACTAAACATATGTGATTTGTTGTTATGTCGAAGGACTTCCCAAGGTATTGGACAGTCAAGGGGTTGCTGCCTAGCTAGGGAATGCTTAAACTGCTCGTATAACAATAGTTTACATTTATGTAGTGCCTTTCATATCTGGAGGATATCTGAAAGCACTTAATGCTGCTGGCTCACTTTACATATGCTTTAATGTTGCTCCTTATCTATTTAATTATCTTCTAAGATAATTGAATTCAACAACAGCTGTGGCAATTCACATTCCAATCACCAATGCATCTCTCTCCTATCTAGCTCAACTGCACAGAGAATTTCCTTGTAGAGGACTTCTGTGTTAGTCTGCACCAATCCTTACATTCTCTAATACTGCTCTCAAGGAGATTCCTATTAAAGGTGTTAATTAACACTGCAAAAAGCACATTTATTGGGAGTCTGTTGCACTCTATTCCACTCTAGGGAAGGGGAAAATCCTTCATGTATCTGTTGAGTTTTTTGACTGATTAGTTTGGGAATGTTGTTAAAAGAATTAGTTGTGTAGAGCAAGAACAAATCCATGTTTGATAAACTGTCTGTTGGAAATGTGTTTGCTTCAAAGGAGGCATGTCCCGTTTTGCTGGTTGATGGACGCAAACTGATTATGTAATTTTATTTACAGAATCCAAAGGAATGGACCAAGAAAGTCATTAAGAACATTGCCACCTCGGGCAAATTCTCCAGTGACCGAACCATTTCACAATATGCCAGAGAAATCTGGGGTGTGGAGCCATCTGATGTGAAGATCCCTCCTCCAAATGAGCCCAGGGATTAAAGTGTGGAATGCAATGCACCCCTATATCAGTCCTGTAGTGCAGTGCTCAGCAACTAGGGTATTCCAGACTTATGCTAGGGCATGTGAACCATATTAGTGAAGCCTAGAACATGGCAATGTCAAACTGGATTCCTTAATAAAGGCTCCAAATTGGAAAATCATTCAAATGCCCGGATGTATGTTAGCTGATCTGCTTGCAGAGTTATCATTTACTGAAAAGAATCCCCATTTATGACTGAAGGCCTGAGTAAGGAATCCAGTTAGAAATTGCCATGTTTTGAACCAGAATGTTCTGCAGTAAATTACTTCAGTTTGTGTTGTCCTTGTAAAATATGGCCACATCAAAGCATGTTTAGGTAAAGGGGTGTTTGGCATTCTTATTTTGACTGTTAACTGGATAATTTTTGGAATGAATTTTGGAGACCATATTGTCGAAGAAATTGCAATTTTCCCTTTGCCTTTCCAATGATCATTAATCTTGTTGTGCTTTCTTCCCCCCCCCTCCTAAATCTAAACACCAATGTTGCATTAAAATATTCTTCTACCATAGTGTTGGTCAGCCAGTGCCTCCTGTGCTATCCAGAGAGTGGAATGAACAAAAGAATTTGCATTTGAACTTTTCTTGAGAGGATTAGGGTGTCATTTATTTCAAGTTGTTTGAAACACAGTGCAACAAAATAACTGCAAAAATGGGTCTAATTTGCAAATTGGGTTGACCATATGGAATAATAGTAGTAATCTTGCATTTAAGGATCATTCTCATTGCTGTGTGCCTTTGCACACCGTGAGCTCAACCAACTAATTTTGCACATAGTAGTAACCAGGGACTAGTGGATACTCTGGTCCTTTATATTAGCTAATTGCATTATTGAAGAGCATCTGTATGCCTTTTTCAGCCTCCATTCGAAAATGTTCCAACAAGAATTCAAGGGACCACATTTAATTATTGAGCCTTTAATAGTACTGTATTTTTTTAAAATTGCAGTTACTCAACCCACACTGGGAGCAGGAAGAATAACTTGCACTATTGCTGGTTGTGATTTATTGCTTTTAATAGTGTAAATCAGAATAAAAGCCATTCACTGATTCAAAAGCTGTATTTTGGAGTGTAGGGGCTATTTGGAGCTATTCTCAGAATAAATTCTGCATATTTCTTGTTTAGAGCCTTTTTTGATGCCAATATGCAAATAAATACGTGCAGCACAATGCAGCTAACATTTGCTTTTGTTTAAGGGCCAGCGTGGAATAGACTCTGACCACCATGAATGTGGAGCTTTATCAAACTTTTTTTTTAGTGCCCTGTTTCCATTTAGATCACGTCTCATCACTGAAAAATGTAGGCAACCAAGTCTGCAGCAATGTAAGCTGTGCAAATGCACCCATGTGTTCTAAAAACAAGATCTGTGTTATTAAAGAGAAGACTAAGCTTGTTTTGATCAGTTGGTTTATATCTCTGAATAAGTGGGTTATCCTAACCGTACCTGTCTATTAAATTGAACGCTGTAGTGGATCTTTTATTTGCTGGTTGTATTCCTCTTTTGAATGTCTTCCTTTTTAACCAGGTACTGTTTGCAGACCCCACTGTTGAAGTACTGTAAAGGTTTACTTGCATTTTGTCATACGAAATGTATTGTTACTTTAGTCATTACGAACAAATATAACAGCACTGTAATGCAGCCTGCAGTTTCACATTTTTTAAAAACACTACATGAGTGTCCACTTTTGATTTTTTGTGTTGCCTATAAATATCCATACTTACAAGTTGCTGAAGTAAGACAACTGGAAATGTACTTTTGAATGATCAATTTTGTTGGATTTGTAAGCAACTAGCTAAATTTTTAACAAAGATTATGTCCCCCTCAGCACTGCTATGATGGGATTTTCTAATTGAAATCAATAATTGTGTTATTTTATTCTGACTCTTATAGATTTGAGTCCCTTTATCTTGATGCACACAAGAGGAAAACTCTCCTCAGCAAATAGGCGTGTGTGTATATTCATGTATATAAAGAGGCTGCAGTATACAGAGCTGCAAGTCTCCTGTTTCTGCATCTTGTACTGAGAACCACTAGTGCTATGTACATGTCAGCATGACTTTTGCACATCTCCCAACTTGTGTTGGCTTGTCTCAGTTGGTTACAGAAGTTTGGACTTGAACAGAAGTGGTAGCCTAAGACAGAGCTCAATAGCTTCTGTGTGAAAAAGTACTTACTGTTTTTGTCCTAATATTGCTCTTCACAATCTTAAATCTGGAAGGAGAAAGAGCAAGATGGATTGCTTCTTGCAGGATCAATACCAATACATTAATGGACTGGATGCTCCTCTCTCATGTTGTGTGGTACCTCTGATGTGAATGCTGGGCCTGCAGAGAAACACTATAAACAGCCACATCTATATTAAACAGAAGGAAATCATTAAGGGCTGGAGTGTAGGGGCTTTTTTTAAAAAAAAATCCAGGTATTAATTAAGATGTTAAGACAGGATGGATTAATGGCAAGCAGGTGGTCCAATGGGAGGGTGGGATGGGTTGATGGACCACTGGATGGCCCCATGGGAGTGAATACTGAGCTCACTGCACCAAAACCACGACTTTTAACACTTATTGCAATGTTTGGATCAAAAAATACACAACTTTCTTATAGCCTAAGTTATCAGCCTATCATTGCTGCTGTAGGTAGCAGAGTTTCCAGCAGATGGCACTCGGCATTGCTACATTTTGCAATCCATTGCCTTTTTCTGTACCCTTTGGAATTTTGTAGCTTGTATTTGTACAATATGGTGGAAATGATCTAACGGTATTCAAAGGTTCAATATCCTCATTTGTGTTAAAGGATTACCAACTTGATATTAATAGGTACTTGTGTAAAATTAAATTCGAGCTTCCCTTTTATGCTACTAGTCACAATAGTCACAGAAGGGCATAAACTCAAGATTATTGCCACTTCAGCATCCACTGGATCAACTTGCATTGATATGGTGCTGTAGTACATTTCACTATTTCTAAATTTTGAACACTTCTATTTGATCCTTTCTTAACTCAGTTGCAAGCTTACAGCACTATGATGCAACATATAATATAAAACTAGGACAGCAGTAATAACACCCAAATGATACAAAATTAATGGTACTTAGTGACTTAGCATTTTCATTTATTTAAAAAATACAGTACATAAAATCAGTCAACATTCAAGCCAGGTTAGATTCAGCAGCTCATACAAAATGTGCCAGATTACACAAACCTCATTTCAATCCACACAGACAATTTACAAAACATAGCTGCGTTTCATTGTATTTGATCACTTGCCATTTCAGGACCAGCTAATTGTTTGCATTGCTAATTTTAACTGGGAATAAATTACCTTTGGGGTGCTTTGGCCAGCAATAACACTGCACACACTCAGCTTTGCTGCAGTTGTGTTTTAGGAGTTTGAGGGTCTAAATTGCTAGAGTTGCAAAAGAATTCATAAGCAGGGAATCTTGGTTGTGTTGTGGTTTCCTGTGTCCTCCCATTTCAGTCCTGACTTCCACGACATAAGTGAGTGAGTGGATTTCCAGATAATTGGCCACAACACATCTGGGATTTGCTAATTTAGATGCTCTGGCTGAGAGTGAATTAAGCAGGTGCTGCTTCAAAATAATGATATGAGATCTGGTGATGGATCACACATTAAATATTACCCTGGCTCCATGTTTAGTGTAATGGGAAGTGCTTCGAGACATCTTGCTGGCATGAGAAGCACTATATAAATGTAAATTGTATTAAATGCCGATTAATCTGCTGTGAATTCCGACCCTTTTCAGTTATCAAGCATAGGATATTTTCAAGCATTGCTGAGGCTATGATCCATACATTGATTCAGAGTGTTGTTATGTAAATTGTCTATGCTGCAACATTACAGCAGGAACATCCAGCACTGAGACACTACCCCCTATATTAATGCAAGCGGTTGTTGTACCATCACCAGCTGTCTGTAGCAGTGGTGGCGTTGAACCATTGAGAAAAATACTCATTGTAATGTTTTATATCTTCCACCAAAGATGCTACAAATTATCAGTCGGTTTTGTTTATTTTTGAAGAATTATATTGTTCAGATACTTCTGATACAAATAGTTATCGTGTTGACAATATAAGGTAAACAAGTGACTGGAAAACTAATAACTGCCATAAATGCCATAAGCAGATAAAGCATAGAATGGTTTGCATTATTAGTGAAAAACATGGTTGACTATGGAATGAAAAAGCCTGGTTTGTGTCCTTTGTGTGTACGTGCAGAGGGGGTTTCTACAGGAGCAGGTCACCTCCAACACATCCACCTCAAAAACCAAGGATATGTTTGGAAAATGTGTTAAACAGTGCAATTCCAGTTATTCAACTTTTTTAAAAACGAATCTGCTATCTTGTAGATATTTGTAGATATTTCTTGATATCCCCTCTCATAATTTTTACAGTATTTACAGTACAGAACAGTATTTTTCAACAAAATTCGGACATTTCAGGTTAAAATTCAAAACAGACGTGCCAATTTCTGGAAAATGACACACAATTTGTTTAATGGCCATCCTTATGGCAGTTTAATTCGTATTAATTAAATCATTAATATATAATTTAGGATTTATTTGATCAAAGAAATACAAGATCCAAGTTTATGCCTTGTACGTACTCATTGTGGTAAAAGCACTTTCCTGCACAATACCTCATTTGTTTGACCTGACTTGAGCTCAGACAGAAGGTAAAAAAAGTGTGGTGGTGAAGGTTGCTCTGATATTTTTGGGTTTCCAAATGATTAAAACTGAATCCTGAAAGAATCCGTTATTTAATTAGGAATTGTTCATCCCAGTTTCATGAGGCAGGATTCTAAACTGATCACACAGCAAAACAGAAGAAAGATGCACCGACACAAGAAGTTATCCTCTACCCTTATTATGTGTTGTTTTTGCCTGGAACCACAATACAATTCGCAAAAGGATTTGTAAAAAACAAATCCTGTGGATTCCTGCACATGTGTCAGGAATCCAAGCCTTTTTCACCTTGCATCCTCCTGACGTGAAAGGCGCTATTTAAATGCAATTTGTTGTTGTTGTTTTCCAACTGCTGTAAAGTTGGACTGCAGCCAAGGATGCAGCAGGCGCCTAGCAGATCAAAAACCTAGCAGTGTTCCAGCTGTTCAGCCTAAGAACACCTGGTTACATGCAGGAATTACTATTGACAAATCAATTAGCTAAATCATGTCATGTTCTTTTTTACCTCAAGTCATGTCAGTGATATAGTGAGTGAGTTTTAAGGGCTGCTTTCTTGTGATATTAAGCCATGGGGGGTGGGTGTTGTCAAAGAGCAAGGTGGATCCAAGCTCTAAATGGTATTTTGTTCCAGAACATTGTTGACTCCCACACACTGCGATTTGATCCCAGATTCCATCTTGTAATTATAAGTTTAACGATATTCTCACTAACATGAGATGAAAGATAAATCAAATAAAACTGAAGCGCTCAAAGAAAATTAGACATTGATAACAGGAGAAAGCTCCCCCCGTTGGGTTTTGGCTTCCTAATTTTGGGGAGAGGAGGAGGAGGAGAGAATAAGACACAGGACAGATTCGAAACGCAAAATAATTCAGCTAAATACTTGGAATACATTGTAGGAAATCCACATTCATTTAGGAGAAAATTCTTAAGGGCTGAAGCACCTTAATAGATTCTGAATATTTCACTGCATTGAATCTATATGAAATGGTGCCTGATAACACTTGGTGGGTTTATTTAGATGTCAGATGATCCTTTCACAACCAGTGGACACGAACAAAGGAAGTACTTATTCTTCAAGCAATAGGAAAACAGGAAGGCTCCTGACAGGAGAGATTTCCTACCCTGCTACTGTGGAGTGTCTGGATCCCTCATTAGCTGCTAGAACAGGTTATATACCAGTTCCATGGAGCTCAGAGTGAAGCTAAACCGTTTTAACAAATTCCCATGTAAACCTTTTCAGCAAGTGGTAAAGAAAAACAACAAGAAGATTCCATTTATAGAGCGCCTTTCACGTCGGGAGGACGTCCTAAGGCGCTGTACAGTTGGGTCAGGACCCGAGCAGGGGGGAAATGGTCAGGGTGAGGGGAGGGAAAGGAGGGAGCGAGGAGGGGGTGGGGGTAGAGAGTCGAGAGGGGAGCTGAAGGCACGGTCAAAGAGAAAGGTCTTGAGACCGGCCTTGATAAACCAATGTTACGTGTCTATTTTCCATAGCAACAAAAAACTTATGATTTGTAGTTAACTTTATTCCATGGTTATTCTGACATTCTAAATATGTTAGTATCAGGCATGCTCTCTTTAGTAATGAATACTATGCTAAATTTAGGTTGGACTTCCTTCCCGTTCATATTTTTAAGTATACATTTTTAAGCAAATGCTTTAATTTCTAAATTACTATAAATGTAATAACAGATCACAGAAGCAGAACCAATTGCCTTGAAGCCTGTAATAGCACTACTGGAGCTGGAGGGCTGTTCACTGAGCCAGGAATGCAGAAACAATATTATGATAACAACATATATTGCAACAAGCAATATATAGGACACAAACTGGGATTCCTTTGATTCGAACTCGTTAAATGGACAAGGCTTGTACACTATATGACAATGAGCGTGGAAACATGTATAATTTTCAAACTTCATTAGACCTAAGTATTTTCTTTGTGCAGTTATATATGAACACTGATGATGCCAACATCTGATCTTTTCCAAATATGTACCTTGAACATTTTTAAAGAAAGGCTGAAGCCCAGAATCTATACAAGAGTACGTTGTGAGTTCTGTTTTGAGAGGATACCAATCTAAGCATGAATCGTACCACTTCCAGTTGGACTGCTAGACAGGTTAGCTAGATTGGCGGAAGCGGCTTGAACTCACTGAGAGGTAGAGTGAACCTGCCCCACAGAGCACACATCCATTGGTCAATATGAAATATCAAGTTATCTGTGCAGGTAACTTACGCCTGGATGATAAATAGTCTTATGTTGCTAGAGAATAAACAGTGGGAAAAATATTTAACTTAAGCGATTTGTTGTAAATATAAATGATGTCACTGATTATGCATAAGATTTTGTTGATGTGTGATACGAGTATACTGAGACAGTGATCTATTATTTTGGATCTTCTATACTTTAACATTGAGATTCTAGATTATACCTGCATCATCAATTGCTGTAATTAATATCAAATTATTTTTCATTTTAATGCAACCTACTTCATTCCAGTAATTGCTTAATAACAGACCCATTCTACGTCACCTTAAATATACAGATGCCTGAACTGCTGACACTCAAATACCTAACATTTGCACCAAATGGATAAATAGAAGCACGGGAGATTACGATGGTGTCTATAAGCATCATTTCCCTTAAAACCTTCCCTGTTACAACACGCTTGAGAAGATATGTGAAAATGCTAGATCTATGAGGTGAACTGGTCTGAATTCTTAGAAGGAAAGACTACGGTTAGGAATAAAGATTCTGAAATGACTGAAGGAGTATGCTGATCGACAAACCCACTTTGAAATTACCCTGATCGTCCTTAAGTTTATTTTTTTGCACTTCAAAAGCTAACTATATTCACTCTGCTTAGAAGAATGTCATCATCTTGGTCCAGAAAAAAAAAGATGCAGACTTTAATTTTTATACCAAAAACAAAAAACAAAATATATATTAGTTGACATCCTTTACTTTCAGCTGTATCTGCCGTCGAACTCCTTCATACTTGACAAAAATTCAAGAGGGTCATTTTCTTTTTGCCTTCAAATGAAACGCGTCTTGAAACGCAAATCAACAGGAGTCATGCAGCAAGGTGGTATGAACAGAAATCTTCATGCGGCTCAGAAGATGCACTTTGTCTACTCTGGTCCACAATCATTATTGAGGAGAAGTTGAGTCCTTCAAGAATTCCCTGAGCCAAGATAATGAGAATGGTTCACTTGCAGTTCACAACTGATATTTTATATATGTGTGTATGCATGCGCACATTAAGCTTTGCTTCCAGGTTACATATGGGGTAGTGTGCGTGTGTGTGGTGGATGGCGGGAAGGTCTCTCAGTGAAATCTACTAAGAATAGCTCATGGTCAGATATTAAACATCATTTATAATTTAACAAAAGTTGCCTGACGACAATTATGTAATAGATTTATATCATAAGCAAACATGAAAATCATTTCTCATTCTATTATATATTCCACAATCATGTTAAAATGATTTTTCAAGTAGTATTATCTTGGGTAGGTGTTTTTTTATTTTGTTGTGTGGGGTGAAATGTATCTCCAGAACATTGGCCACTATCTTGAAAACATTCCATGTTGACCTAGCTGTAAAACTATTTAGTTCAAGATTATTCTTTAAAATTATTTTTTTTAAAAACTCACTGTGTAGTAGTGGCTTCCCAATCTGGTCCACCAACTCAACAACACATCCCAGCCTGGGAGTGAAAACAGGACATCTCTCCGTTCAGGTTCTGCTCCTGCTCATATGTTACACTGTCCCTCCCCAAAACACAATGCATTTTTGTGTCTTGCTTCACAAACGATGGAAAGAAGGCCCAGAACGACAGACTGAATTTGTTTTGGTGCAAATCTTTAATTTATTCTTAAATCTTTAATTGTGGATATATAACCCAGTGAGAACCTTCATGAACGTTTCCTGATCTAGTACCTCTTCCTTTTTCTTCTGAGTCTAACTTCCTCATTTTCCGTATAAAGGGTTTTCATTGTTGTTTTAAATTTAAGTGTAAACATTTGTTTTTTTTGGTTTGCTGTGTAGAACTTGCAGATTTTTGCCATTTTCCAATATATTACCTAAAAGGGAATCCTCAACATTGAAACAAGCAATATACCCCCACAAACAGTGATCACCCACTTGGTCAAAGCCAGTGATACTCAGGATTACAAAAGCATTACTCTGACAATATAAACTAAACTACATATTGTGTTATTGACAAACTATTAAATGTATACAATACCTTAATATTTGAGGAAGTTCTGGGCTCTTATATATGTATTTGTGTCTGTAGCCAAGGTCTTTATGGAAAGGAATGAACCGTATCTTCGGACTCTTTTGTGAAGCTGCAGCAATGTTATAAAGCTGTCAGGGAACAAAGTTCAAATAGTTATGGAACAAAGAAAGGTAACACTCTGTTGAGTGAAAGTCAGGCCTGAAATACTGTAGGAATAAAAATAATTCCAGTATATTATGCTGAGAGCTGACTTCCACCTCATACTACCCAGAATGAACAAGAAAATAAACATCCACCTGTACTTCTACACACCAAACTGCACATAGTTGGACTATGTACAATAAATACTTGTAGTAATGAACACTTCATCCTGTGGCTTCTGTGTCTAAAGCATATCAGGTTGAATCATTTCAAAGTGTTTCACAGGTAATTACTGACTATAGCAATTTTTTTTTATTCAATGAAGGGCCAGAGACTCCAGAAGAACATACCACCAACTTTTAATTTTACTACTAATTGCCTACAAAATCAGTCACTAAACTTGACAGTAATTAAGTGCAAAATGCTTTGAGATGTTTCAAATCTTGAGGCACTATAAGAAGGTTTTTTTTAATTAAATACTCCAAGTAATGACTTAGAAATTAACAGAACATTGGGCTTCCAAATTCCAATCTGCCTCATTTATTTGGGTTTGTCTTCAGGCTATCCTTGACCTTTCTAAGTCAGAGCAGGACCACATAACACCTAAAGCTACTTATAAATCAATCCTATGGAGTATCTATCCCCCAGTGCCTTCGCCTTGCCTCCTCCCTTTCCTCCTTCAAGACCTTTCTCTTTGACCGTGCCTTCAGCTCCCCTCTCGACTCTCTACCCCTCCTCGCTCCCTCCCTTCCCTCCCCTCACCCTGACCATTTCCTCCCCCAATGCTCGGATCCTGACCCAACTGTCCAGCGCCTTGGAACGTCCTCCCGACGTGAAAGGCGCTCTATAAATGGAATCTTGTTGTTGTTGTAAATGTTAACAGAGAATCTTCCAAACTGAGATTCATATCCACAGGCTGCATTCATTCTGAGACAAGTGTCTGCTGTTATTTCAGGCTGTGTGAGAATGCAGCATTACGCAAAATATCTCAAACTTAAAGCTTATAATAACCACTAAAATGTTTGCAAAATGAATAATGTCAATTTGTAAAGCCGGACATTGCAACGTTTCAGTTAATAAGAGGCAAAGAATTATTTTTGTTACAAAAAAAGAAAATCAATAAGAGTTAGTCCAAAACTAAGGATGGTTTTGGAATGGCAAACCGTACCTTTCTTCCCAGATGAAACGGAATGACACCATCATCCTCTGCATGAAGAATAAGTAATGGACATGTGATGTGTTTCACACTGAAGGAGGAAAGGAAAAAGTGATTACACATCATTGAGCACTATAAACCCAAACAGAGGATATTACACAAGGAGAAAGGAGCACAAGGAGAAGGACTGCGAGGAGGACAGCCACAATGCAGACCAAGGCACCTTGGAGCAGAAGACTGAATGAAGGGGGAAGGAGCAGAAAAGAAATGTAGTAGTGATAGGGGATTCAATAGTTAGGGGCACATATAGCATCCTCTGTGGCCATGAACGAGAGTCCCGAAAGGTGTGTTGCCTCCCTGGTGCCAGAGTAAGGGATATCTTGAAGTGGCTAAAGAGGAATTTGGAAAGGGAGGGGACAGATCCAGTTGTCGTGGTCCATGTTGGGACAAACAACATAGATAAGAACAGGGAGGAGGTCCTGCAGAGGGATCTTCAGGAGTTAGGAGCCAAGTTAAATGGCAGGACCTCGAGGGTAATAATTTCTGTATTATTACCTGAGCCACATGCAAATTGGAGTAGGGAGAAACAGATTAGGAAAGTTAACACGTGGCTAAAGGATTGGTGTGGGAAAGAAGGGTTCCATTTCATGGGACACTGGCACCAATACTGGGACAGGAAGGAGCTGTACCGATGGCACGGGCTCCACCTGAACCGGAATCCTAGCGGAAAGGGTAAATAGGACTGCGGCAAAGGCTTTAAACTAATAAAATGGAGGAAGAGACATAAGACCAAATATAAAAGAAATGGGAGATGAGAGTATAGGTCAGACAAAACTAAGGAATAAAGAGAACATAAATGGTCAGGGAACTAATACAATTATAGAAAAGAAGTCTGAAAAGACTGTCAAAAATAAACTGAGAGAAACAACTAATAAAAACAAATTAAACTGCGTGTACAGCAATATGTACACAGCATACAAAATAAAACAGGAGAACTGGAGGCAATAATTCGTAGAAAGGAGCCAGATATAATAGGGATTACTGAAACATGGCTACAGAAAGAACAGGACTGGCAATTAAACATTACAGGGTATAACATATTTAGAAAGGATAGAGACAGGAAAGGGCGACGGGAGTAGTTGTACTTATTAGGGATAACATCATGGCAGTAGAAAAAAGGGACATAGCTATCAGTAAGATAGAAACAGAATCTGTGTGGATAGAGATAAAAGTTAAGAAGGGATCAATCACACAAATAGGGTTACACTACAGACCACCTAGTAGTGGAAGGGAGGTAGAGGAAGAAGTATGCAAGCAAATTAGGGAAATGTGTAAAAAACATAGAGTAACAATCATGGGGGATTTCAACTACCCCCAAATAAATTGGCTAGAAGAGGTAGGTAAAGGGGATAAGGGAATGGAGTTCCTTCAATGTGTACAGGACCTTTCTTACCCAGTATATAAGAGGCCCAACGAGGAAGGAATCACTGCTGGATTTAGTAATGGGAAATGAACCAGAGCAAATAAAAGAAGTAAGAATAGAGGAACATCTAGGCAATCATAACTTAATATGGTTTAAGATAAAGATTTGAGAAGCATATGCGTATGACAAAGTCCAGGGTAATAGATTGGCAAAATGCTAATTTTGAGGGGATGAGAATGAAACTTGGGAAAGTAAATTGGCAAACAATATTGGCAAACAAAGAGATAGAGTGGGAAACATTTAAAACGGTGATCAATAGAGTGCAGAATGGATTCTGCTAAAAAAACAAGATAAAGTTAAACAATAATGAGACACCATGGATAAATAAAGACGTAAGAGCAAAATTGAACTGAGGAAAGAGGTGTTCACTCAGTGCAAAGACAACAAGGGAGAGCATGACAAAAAAGAATACGAAGAGGTTAAGAAAGAAGTCAAAAAAAATTAGGAAGGCAAAGAGGAACTATGAAACTAAATTATTAAGGAATATAAAAAGTAGTAAAATATTCTATAGATATAAAAATAACAAAAGGAAAATCAAAATAAGAATAGGGCCACTAAGGGATGGATGGATAAGATAAGCTCACAGGCAGTGACCGCGAAATGGCAGAAATATTGAATAATTACTTTGCCTCAGTATTTACCAGGGAGATAGATCAGGTGGACATGATAGTGGAAGAGAACAAAAATGATTTAAATACATTTAAGTTAAAAAGAAGGAGATAATCAATAAACTAACCAAACTCAGGGAGGATAAAATCCCTGGTCCAGATGGGATTGCATCCCGGTATATTAAAAGAATCTAGAGAAGAGATAGCAGAGTCCCTACTACACATATATTTAAATAGGGAGATAGCACAAGCCCAGGGAACTATAGACTTGTCAGCTTAACATCGGTGGTAGAAAAGATAATGGAATCCTCACTGAAAGAAGTAATAGAAAAACATCTAGAAACCAAAAATATAATAAAGAATAGTCAGCACGGATTTCAAAAAGGAAGGTCATGCTTGACCAACCTCATTGAATTGTTTGAAGGGGTAACAAAAAGAGTAGACAAGGGTAATGCAGTAGCTGTAATATATTTGGATTTCCAAAAGGTGTTCGATAAGGTACCACATAATAGACTAATGAATAAGGTCAGAGCATGTGGAGTCAGGGGAAAAACAGCAGAATGGATAGCAAGCTGGCTGCAAGACAGAAAACAGAGAGTAGAGGTAAAGGGTAGCTACTCAGACTGGCAGAGGGTGGGAAGCGCTGTTCCACAAGGATCGGTATTGGGACCACTGTTGTTCACAATTTACATTAACAATTTGGACTCGGGGATTTGAAAGGACAATTTCAGTATTTGGGCACTACACCAAACTGGGGGGAGTAGTTAATACTGAAGAGGACTCCAACAAACTACAAGACATTAATAAACTTGCTGAATGGGAATTTAATTGGCAAATGAATTTCAATATAGATAAGTGTGAGATGGTACATTTTGGTAGGAGGAATAAGCAGGTCACATACTGCCTGGAAAATAAGAATCTGAATGGGATAGAGGAGCAAAGGGTACAGATACACAAATCGCTAAAAGTAGCGATGCAGGTTAATAAGGCCATAAAAAAAAGCAAACCATGCATTGGGATTCATTTCTAGAGGGATAGAAATGGAAAGCATGGAAGTTATGGTAAACTTATATCGAATCTTGGTTTGACTACACTTGTGAGTACTGTGTGCAGTTCTGGTCCCCATATTATAGAAAGGATACAGAGGCACTGGAGAAGGTGCAAAGGAGATTTACAAGGATGATACAGAAACTGCGAGGTTATGCCTATCTGGAAAGGCTGAACAAGCTTGGACCCTTTTCTCTTGAAAAGAGAAGGCTGAGGGGTGACCAAATAGATGTCTTTAAAATAAGGTAGACATAGAGAAGATGTTTCCACTTCCGGGGAGACCAAACCAGGGGCCAAGAACTTACACCTTATGGGAGTGGGAAAGAAAAAGAGAGAAAATCCCATGACTTCAATTAGGTTTCAGAATGCTGTATTTTTTAGCACTAGAAATATTATTTTAAAAAAGCTAAATGGTCAGAATGAAAATTGTTAAATTGTAAAAGCTTCCAGACCGTGAGCTTCAGACCCCACAACAGCATCCTTTCTGTTATCGAAATACTAAAAGGTACTTGCATATGACATGTGAAGTGTTGCTAAGCAGTTCACCATCTACAAAATACATTCATTACACTTTACAGTAAATCCTTTGAAGCATTTTGAGACAACCTCCTGTTGTGAAAGGCACCATATCAAATGTAGGGATTAGTATTATTAATGACAAATAGTAAGGATTATTATTAGTATTAATAATAGTAAGGATTACTGTTATTTTATTAATAATAACAAATAATAATCCTAGACTGGCAGAATTTTCTGCTCTCAGTAACTGTTTTCAAATGAATAGTTTTAAAGTCAACAACATGGTAATAAATAATCAAACAGAATGCAGATGCTTGAGGGGGAGAGAACTACTGATACAATATCATTTAAAATCTATGGTGCAATATACAGACAGAGGTTTCACATTTTTTTCAAAAAATATATAAACTTACTTGTCATCACTAGGGAATATAATATTGTTCTCCGCGATGGAATCCAGGAAGAACCAGTCAAAGCCAGGAAAGTACCTGTAGATCTGAAATATCAGCAAACATTAGGCAACCATTAGTCTTTTCTAACAAAATGTTCTAAGAAGCTGAAAATCCAAAGCAACCAGCCTGAATTCAAGTACAGAAACTCATTACCAGCATGTTATAATAATAATCATCATCAATGCAACTGAGACTGTTAATAGCGTTATTCAAAAATGGCTTGACAAAATACCTGGTGAACAAAATATCAACCTCCTGCAAAAAGTAGCTATTTTAGGAAGCTCAAATATATTAAGAAAAGTAACATCCATTCATATCTAAAATGGCAGTGTAATTGGTCTGGCTGACCTATCACTGAAAGCCATTAAGAAATTATCTCTAAGAGTGATTTAAACTGTATTAACATAATAATAATAATCCTTGCAATTGATAAAGCGACTTATCACTTTGTTGAGACACACTAATTCTAACTGCAATGTGCATTTTTTTACCCCCAAAATGTAATCACTGATATTTTGTATTCTCTGCTTGTATAAAATGTATCATCATGTATCATCTTATTCTACAATGTACACTACAAGATGTTGCTTATATTTTCAGATTATCTTCTACTTACCAGTGAAAATGGATGACTTTTGGCTTCTTCTCGAATATTGGTGAAGGGAGACTCCAGTATTAAGGCACCAGGAGGGGTCTCTAAGAATGAGAATGGAATCTATTAACCAATTCCAGACAACAGTGGGCAGAAGGCAGGAGCTCAATCCTCGTAATGCACAAGCAAATCTCAACAGGAGATCTTTCTGGCAGGCACATATCTCAAGGAGTAACATAAGCACAGAAACTATCCTTGATCTTAGCCAAAAGGCAGAGAAGCAGTATTGCTAATCAGCAATTTATATTATTTTTTCATCGTTGGTCGGTGTCATGTAATCTGGTTAGGAAGATATCACTGTTTGCACCCAGTGCTCTACAGCCTTCCAAAGAACTTCACCTCCTTAACAAGGATCGCTTTAGTTCTAGGCAAAGTAGACAATTGCTTAGGCCGGCACATTTCGGCCTAGGCAGTTGCCTAGTTTGCCTTTAACTGAAGTGTTTTTTTTTTGAATGCTCAACTGGTGAAATTGAGACAGGTGGGGGGAGGGGTCTAGCCCCAGCAGCGGCCGGTAGGTGTTTTAAGGTAAATTCATCTCTCAAGGCAGCACACTAAGTTTTGCCTAGGGCGGCAGATTATCATGAACAGCTTCTACTCCTTACAAAAAAGCTTTGCAACTCTAGATTTTAAGGTGTAAAAAGACAAAACAGCTTTGCTACAGTCTAGAGAAAGAAAGCAACATTATTAATGGGATATCAAGAAAGAGGGAGAAATATTAAAAAGTTAAAAAGCCTTGAAGTGATAAAATGGCAGAACAAACTCAACAGGCCCACTGGCCTCCTCTTGTATCCGTTTTTATTTTTACAACCTGAACAGTGACCCGATCTATTCAGCAGACGGTATAGAAACCAGCAGCAATGCCATCCATTGAAAAACTAAATTGTTATGTTTGGTATGCTGTCTGTTGTATATTGTGAATTTACTTTGCGATAAAGCACAACTGGATAAAAAATTAAAATGCAGTGAGTTGCTTCAGATGGTTTACCTTTTTCACATAGATGCCTTACGACATTTGTACCAACTCTGAAAGAGATATGGAAAAATGCAAGAGAAATTAGTTTTTGTTGATAAATTTTCATTTGGTCAGTCAGATGTCTGATATGGAGAAACCCATCATCATGTGTCATAATATCTAACCCAGATAGGGTTCCATATATGTGTGTGACCTACACATGGTAATTTCTTTGTACTCCTTTGCAATATCAATATATTGTTGTTCAGGACCTTGGGACGTCCTCTCAACATGAAAGGTGCTATACAAATGTAATTATGTGTTGTTGTTTAAACATACCTGATAAAATAATTCTTAAACTAACCTCATTTGGTATTTTATTTACTCCATTCAAAATAAAAAAGTTAACATTTTGCAAAGTGCTTGTTGCTTCAGTTTTTATTTGGGGCCTTTCAAAAAGCTATTTAAACAACTTATTTTAAAATTACTACTTCAATCTGCTTTTATTTGACCCTCTTATAATCCTTTCAGTTAACCTCAACTGCCCATTATATATGTCATATGGCTATTTGTTTACTTAACTGTTAGCTGTTAGAAAAAAAATCTCTTTGGCCTTTAGTTTAGTTTGACTTTTTTATTCAGTCGTTGTTCTTTGCACAAAGAAATGCATTTTCTTTCCACTGCTCTTAAAATGGTATCAGAAATAAAAAAAAGTTTTTTATTTTTACCTGTAGACCTCTCCTACAGCTTTAAAATCTACTAAATACCTAAAGTCAAACATTCCTCAATTATTAGCCTTCCATACAGTATCAAATCAACTCTGCAAACATCACATCAATGATGCGATTGGACTCCTGAACCCCAAATCTGATTTAGCATCTGCCCTCGTATTCTGCTTTACCCGTTTCACACTCAGTACAAACCCACATCTCTCCTGCCCAATCTTTCCACCAAATGCACATTTCAATCCAACCATATTTTAATCAAAACCAGGGAGAGGAGCATTACCCACAGGAAACTTTATAGCTTTAATACAACAGCCTCACTGAAGAAAGTATATCATCAAATTAAATGGGAATACATCTCACTCTATTGACAAGTGGAAAAATAGTTTCAAATAGACACAATGTGTTGATGTTTCCTGACATCTGGTCTGATTAAGTTATGCCTGAAACAGCTTGTTTTTCTCTTTCAAATGCTGATTGACTGTGATTTCCCAGAACCTCTGTTTAATTCTTCTTTTTATTGATCTTTTAAAGACCACAGGTTATTTTATTGTATTTTAAGCTTTTGCACAATACATTCTGTGGAGTTGCATTTTAGAAAGGCCTACAATAAACATAATAAATATACATAATCCTTGCATTTGATATAGTGCTTTTCACGCCTTCGAGACGTCTCAAAGCGCTTCACAGAATATACTGTAAAGTGAATTGACCGTATATTTGTGGGCGAAACGCGGCAGCCAATTGCGCACAGCAGAGTCCCACAAACAGTCATGGATTGAAGTAACCAATTTTATTATTGTTTTTTCTTTTTTTCTTGAGGGATTATTATCAGGCATGTGGAGTAAGAAAACTTGCCCAAGGTTTCACCCCACCAGAAATCGAACCCAGGTCTCTCGCTTGCGAGGCAAGTGCTCTAAACACTGAACTACAGGACTCCTTCATGAAATTTGTTTGCAAATATTTTTTATGGCTAAACACAATCTGCTGAATACTTGAGTGCAAGAGACCAAATTAGTTACGTTTGTATTGTGCCAAAAATAGATTTTACTGTTGCATAAATAACATCCCTCGTTCCCAGCATTTTGCTACAGCTCTTCTACAATGTTCTGAAAAGGATGGAGCAGATTAGATTAACATGCTGCCACAGTGATATGATTTTGCTTATGAAAAAAAGACTGCTGCAACCACAAGGTCACAAAATAATCCACTCCATTAACAACTATTTTGATCACATATTACACACTTTTTTAAAAAATCTTATTAGTTTGATCTTCATCTTCTTAAATATCTCCTAAAAAATGTGCATCAGACTCAAGTGTTGGAAATCATACTTACCTAGTCAGTCTTTGGAAAATACATAAGGCTCAAAAATGAATGAATGAGATTACATTTTTATATAGTGTCTAACATCAAAACATCTCTAAATCTAGTGAAAATGCACAGATAAAGTACTGAATTCAAAGAGTATCCCTTTATGCCATTAGAACAAATGAAAGTAATTTTAATGTTGCTGCTTGCTGCCTGGCTCAGTTGGTAGCAATGCTACCTCTGAGTCAGAAAGTTGTGGGTTCAAGACTCATGTGGCACTTTGAACTCACAGTCTATGCCTACACTCCAACACAGTGCTGGAGGAGGGCTATATTGTCAGTAGTGTCATCCTTTGGATAAGACGTTAAACTGAGTCCTGTCTTCGTCCTCACCTAGATTAAATACTCTAGCAATGAAAGAAATGCTTTCCCATTTCCAGCACATCAAGCACATCCACGTAAGGTTTAATATTCTTCTTCCTCCTGATGACCACATTTCATGTTGGAGACAGCAGCAGTTTTGGATTGTTTCGGAACTAATCAGAGACCAGAGATTTAAAATTGACTTGATTGCTTCACACATGCAACTGAATCAAGTTGATGTAGTTGTAAAAATCAAAGCAGGAAGGAACTGGTGATAATGGCATGATACAGATTAAAAACATGCCAAATAAAAGTAGCAGTAACACTCTCAAACATATCAATAATGTCCTACCAGATGTGGGTCGAATTATTACAGTATCCATTTTTTAAAATATAAACAAGTATGCAAAAGAACAAAGAGGGGAAGCAGCAATATTTCCACAAAACAATGTTGTTAAATAAAGCATCAAATGCCTTAATATTAGAAGATTTTCACCAATAGAAAAGATACCCAATTAAGCACTTTGAGATATCCTCCCGATGTGAAAGGCTCCATATAAATGTAAATGATATTATTCCTGTAAACAAGTCCAGTAAAACTCGCATAAGTCTTATTTTTATAAATTGTTGAATTGCCTAAGTCATATATTCACCCGAGTCCCATTCAGTTTCCTATCCAAACTAGTTAGATTTCTTTTCACTGCTCAGTATTAATATAATCACCTCCTAACTCATAACACCACTCCCCTACCCTCCATTACTCCCACACTTATCGGTCAGCTACATTGATTCGAGGGAAACATATTCTTGACCAGTCACCGCGTGTACAGAAAAACACACTTACCTACACTGAATTATGTCATATGCAGTATAGATTATTGATTAAATTGGATTTTTACAATTTATGCAGTTTGCCTGCAACTTGGACTTCAAGTCATGTTATATCCCATCTGATACGGCTTAAATTAGTTTTACTGTACAATAGTTGATTCCACTTACCCTGTGCCTAATGAGTGGCCCCAGATGTAGATTGAACTCTTACCACTCCTTGCTTTCAACCAGTTGTAAGTGTAGATAGCGTCAGTGCTCATGCCACTTTCTGAAGGGGTCCCTTTTGAATCCCCCCATCCTGCATTAAAAAGAAACAAAAAAGATTAAACCGGCCATTTCCAAACTTCCAAAATTTGCTTTATAATAATAAGAATCCTTGCATTTGACATAGCACTTTATCACGTCTTTGAGAACAACAACAACATTACATTTGTATAGCGCCTTTCACATCGGGAGGAAGAAGTCTCAAAGTACTTCACAGAATATACTACAAAGTGAATTGACTGTATGTAATAGGGTGACCCAACATCCCTGATTTCCAGGGACAATTCCCAGATGAGGTGTTGTGTGCCTGGCCAAATCTTACCCGTCTTGAGTTCAGCGCAAACCGAGCAACAATATTATTCTAAAACAGATACACTCATCACTCATCAGAGAACTATAGCAATTAATCCAACCATCTTCTCCAGTTGTGCCAGCATCAGGAATTCTGGTGAGTTCAATTTTTTTGTATATGTGTCCCATGATTCGGTTTACAAAATATGGTCAGTCTAACATATTGTTGTAAAATTTACATTTTTAACAGTTACCTCTAAAAAGAACAAATCAATAACTTCTATGAAACTTCGACTTGTCGATTTGTTCGATTTCTTTATGATATCCTGCTCTATTTTCGTATAGAGAGCTGCTGATCATTCACAAAGCGTTCTTGTTTTAACAACAAAATAACATCTGCACTGTATGCACCAGAATCTAACCTAAAATCATACTTCACCTTACAAGGATTAAATGGTACAAAGTATGCCACACAATGATACAGTAATGCAGCTGAATGATTGTTGCAAAAATAATAATAATAATCCTTGCATTTGATATAGCGCTTTTCACGTCAGGAGGATGTCCCAAAGCGCTTCACAGAACACACTGTAAAGTGAATTGACTGTATATTTGGGTGAACGCGGCAGCCAATTGCGCAACGCAATGTCCCACAAACAGTCGTAGATTGAAAATGACCAATTTATTATTGTTTTTGGTTTTGGAGGGATTATTATTAGGCTCTGTGTGGAGTAAGGAAACTTGCCCAAGGTTTCGCCCTCTGCCTGGGATTGAACTCAGGTCTCTCGCTTGCAAAGCGAGTGCTCTAACCACTGAGCTACAGGACTCCACAAAATGTTGATAATGGGTAAAATTCATAGGCATTTTAAACATCTCTTGTGTTAATCAACTACAAGTAGGCAGAGTACTCCTCTTTGGCAGGTACCTCCAAATAACTTTTAAGCAATAATGAGGCCTAAGCAGCCAAGACTGATTTCCCTCTTCCCCCTCCTACTCCCAGGAGGATATATACTTGTACATAGAGACAGAGATATTTTAAGATGTATATTTTGGTACTGATTTTATCACCCTCAAGGGCTGAGTGAACCCACCAGAATTTGAATCCTCCTACCTCATATCCAGTTCTCAATCCAGGAAGTCAATTAAAAAAAAACGTACATACATAGAACATCTCAAAAGCACCAAGTTACTTTTTAAACTTGCTGGAGTTGTTTAGCACTGACTGATGGAATGTATCCTAAACCAGCAATGATGAAAGTGTTCACTATAATATAATTATTTACACAATAAAGACAGTTTGTAGTGCAACTGATCACAAATGCAACATCACTTCTGTTAGTCACTGTGCCTTACAATAATGATTAATTGCCTCTTGGCAATAGTTTATGCTTATTTAAGCACTTTGAGACGTTTGATGTAAAAAGTGCTAAACAATTAACATTCCTGCATTTACCAGACCTATTGCGGTTAACATCATATAGTTTGCCTTATTTCCTTTATGCGTGGAGTCACAGAGTGATACAGCACAGAAACAGGCCATTCAGCCCAACTAATCGATACACGTGGGTTTAGTCCTCACAGGGCCCACCACTCCTCACCTATATCCCTCCCTCCATTCCCTTCTCTATCATGCAAGCATCATGTTTTCTCTTAAATACACAAAGGGATTAACAAGTAAAATAGTACAATTAACCATTTTTCAATGTTCGAATGTTATCACTGAGTTCTGAAAACAATGTTCCTTCTCCCACAGACTAAGATTTGCCTATTTATTATTTTCCTACCTATCATTAGCAGAATACTAGTACATTTGTGGGTGGGGGGGGATTTGTGGATAGATGTAAATTGCCATTTTACATAAACACGTATGCCTCTTCTTATTAAAAAAATTATAAAATAGTTAACACAACATATAAAAGTTTTACCTTAAAATCACTGGACTCTGAATTAGCGCTGCTTTGTTATTTTTGAGGTGGACACTGAAATTCTTACACAGCCTCCCAGCATCCCCACTGATCTACTAATATCTATAGAGCATCAAAGTTTTTTCAATGGAGCAGCAGGGGTGCTGCGAAGGTAAAGACCAAGCAAGTGTTGCTACCAGCTTCAGAAATTCCATTATTTAAGGAAGATCTTATCTGAGAGATCCAGGTTTGAGCTCAAAGTCCCAACATGGGGTTCAACCACAACCTACAAATTCCGAGACAAGAGTTCTACTGACTGAGCCAGTCTAGCCGCCTCTGTTTACCTAGCAGTAAATAGGACCCGGTTGTTAGTCAATTGGCAGATTGCTTTTCCGGGAGGTAATAATTCCTTCAAAAAGAAATAATAAATTGGTCACTCAATCCACGATCGTTTGTGGGACACTGCTGTGCGCAATTGGCTGCTACGTTTTGCCCACAAAATATAGTCAATTCACTTCACATTATACTCTGTGAAGCGCTTTGAGACTCTCGAAAACGTGATAAGGCGCTATATCAAATGCAAGGATTATTATTATCATTATCTGGAAACAGTCAGTCTGGGCAGTCAGACCACACTTCTAACAATCACAACATATTCAAGATCCAAAAAAGCTTAAATACTAATAATTTCTCAAGAGGTTCAAAAAGACTCCAAAGATTAGGAAGTTTTGGTTATTCTCTCCGGTACTTGATATTTATTTACCTTTATTTATTGCTCAAAAAAGGCAATAATAAAATTTTTTTTTTTAGGTGAATCCAGATGAAGAAAGACTTTGGGTTAGCTGCAAAGCTCCCTTCCCTCTACCCCTGAATCTTAACTCAGAACAGCATTCTCCATTGTATAACTAACATTTTCATTTTGACACCAGCCTCTCCAGCTTGATGAGACTGCCAACTTAATGGCAACTTGTTCTGAGATATAGACAGTTTTGTGTACCTTTGAGAAACTGGATAATTGGGGTAACTGGATGCTGAGAATTTTCGGCAGTTATACAATCTGTTATACAACATTATGGTTCTAATCTTCTAGTGTGTCTTTATCACAGCAAAGGCACCAGAGAGAATGCTGCTTAAGCAGGTTCTGGACAGACAATCTCACTTGTTCTTGCTGGATGTGCCATTGGAATTGGACTGGTGCACTCCTCCGGGTGCTGTTTCTTTACCAAGAATAGATAGAATTCCAAGTACTACATGACCCAGTCGCAGATTATAAAATACAGACACAGCACCCAAAATTGCATGGAGTAATCCAAGTACAGTCTCACCACTTGATAGTCTACAGTCTGCTTTTGAAGCATACAGTCTGCTTTTAAATTCCATGCCTGTAGATAAACTATCTCACCTGCTTAAACATAGAATGGACTGCGATTCAAGGATTTAATGCCTTTCAGCGTTGAGCTGACATTGCAAACATTTCCTGTTTATGGCTTCATTTACTCAATCCGTTTCTGTTTTACACAATATGCTCCAGCTCATTTCACATTCAGCATTATAACGCAACACTCAGATATCTGATATATTATATTTTAAGAATCCAAATCTAATAGTAATATGCATTTATTTTTTAAAAAAACATTCTTGGAATTGAAAAGACCCTAATTCTTATCACATATTTGAGAATCTCAAAGTGCTTCACAGGATATACTTTAAAGTGAATTGACTGTATTTTTTGTGACCCAAAAATGATTGATTAAAATTGACCTATTGCTGCAGAGTACATCCTTAGGAACTCAAAACTCTGATTCAACATGAGAAGTATGATCTACCAGTTCCATAAAAATATTGCGAAAGTCAGGATCATTGCACCACTGAAAATTAATTTGTAGCATTGTTTGAAATAGAATCTTTTTTGCTTACACTGCGCAACAGTCAGCTTGTTGTCATTGGAGTTGAAAAATTAGTTAAATATCTACACCATCAGCAAATCTAACTGAAGCAAATGTTCACCAGTTTTAATTTGTTCCTGATTCAGTACTATCGCAGTAATCACACTAATTGTATGTAGCTCCTTCTGAAATTCGAAGCCATTGATTTGCCTGTTGGCATACCACACCTAACAGGATTCTACTGTAAAGAATATTGAAGAAATCACACCTGCGTATCAGTAAACATCAGCACTGCTTGATACCACGCTTAGAAGGTCACAAGCAGAATGCACCAGTATTAATCCTAGGCTGGCATGATGACATAAATGAGTGTAGTTTACCCTCCCCCACCCCGACCCTCAGCTCGCGTCCGTAACTCTGTCTGTCCAGTGCCTTGTTGTAGTTGGTAGTGGAGTAAAAACCCTTTAATAAAACCTTTGCAAGCAAATTATTCAATTTCTCCAATCTTTCGTATTTAGAAAGGCTATACAGGGTAATCCCATTATAACATGGTATTCTAGGTCCAGTATCACAGAGGCCAAATTATAAGCAAAGTTCAGTGAAATGGTCAACTTCCAGGCCACTGCAGGACACCAGCGCTTTAAGCAAAGTATGCTAAAAAGGGAGGTATTATAACTGGAATGTAGTGTATAATCTATTGGAAATCTATTGGTGTTTAAGAAAATGTTACATATTAAAAGCATCTATTTCCATCTAACTGGATCTCATATTGATCAAGGTGAAAATGTCATTGCTGAGAAATTGAATTTTTTTTGCACCAAGTAACAGTCTAAAGCATTGCTATGTCAGGCATTATACTGGATAATACGACTTCTGTTTTGACTCCAAAAATCCACCTTAACCCCTGATCGTAGAAGAGTACTCTGGTTACCAAGTGCCAAATTGTGGATACTTTGTTGTTGTGGATTTATATTCACTTGAAACTGGATTGAATCTGCGCAAACTCATTTGACTTCGAGCCCTTATAATTATCCAACAGAGAAGGCATTCGTTGCATCAATTTGAGCTGGATTCTTGGCTTTGGATCCAGATTTAAAGGGCAAAATTTCTAATCATCTACTGTCTAATAACTAGCATGTAATGTGTAACATTTCTATTTCAGGCTCATATAATTGTAAGAAATCAGTACTATTTGACATTATTATTTTGCTTCATCTCAGTGAAATGGCAGCTCAGAACATTAAAGGAGAAGGAATCTTAGTCCCAATAAAAATGGAATAGACTTGCTGTGGTCAAAATTTCACATCCCCTTCTCATCTTAGTCCCATCTGTCATAGAGGGATTGGCCTACAACCCCAACTGACAAAGGCAAGGTTGATCTGTACCAGCTTTGGGGTGGGAGGGCACAAATTAGAGGTGTTTGACCCTTGTGCATATTCGTTGGCTCCCGTCAATGTTTTCTATCCTGACAGATAGAAGACATTGACCTCCTCAACCTCCCCGGCCTATCCCTCACACTCACCGAACCAGTGTGCAATCTAAGGGTCAGGTTCGACCCACAGCTGTCCTTCCTTCCCCACATCCGGTCCCTGACCAGGACGTCTTCCTCGACCTTCACTACATTGCCTGCTTCAGACTCAGACTCATCCCAGATGCAGTCGAAACACTTATCCATGTGTTCGTCACCTCCTCACTCCCTCAGGACCAACCCTGATATCACTGTTAAACCCAATGACAAGGGAGGCGCTGGCGTTGTCTGGCGAAAGGACCTCTACCTGGCAGAGGCCGAACGTCAATTCTCTGACAACTCCTCCTACCTTCCCCTGGACCATGACCCCACAGCTGAACACCAAGCCACCATCACCGAGGTTGTCAATGACCTCATCTCCTCTGGTGACCTTCCTCCTACAGCCTTCAACCCCAGCCCCACACAACCTGCCTGTACCTCCTCGCCAAGATCCACAAACAGGACAGTCCTGGTAGACCCATTGTCTCTGCCTGTTCCTGTCCCACCGAATTAATCTCGTCTTATCTGGACTCCATTTTTGCTTCCCTCGTCCAATCCCTACCCACCTATATCCGTGACTCCTCGGACACGCTCCGCCACTTTGACAATTTCCGGTTCCCTCGTCCTGAACGTCTCCTCTTTACAATGGACGTTCAGTCCCTCTACACCTCCATCCCCCACAAGGACGGCCTCCAGGCTTTCCGGTTCCACCTTGATCAACGGCAAAACCAGTCTCCATCCACCACCACGCTCCTCCGCCTGGCTGAACTTGTTCTGACATTGAACAACTTCACATCCAATTCCAACCACTTCCTTCAAATAAAAGGTGTCGCTATGGGAATCCGCATGGGTCCCAGCTACGCCTGCCTGTTTGTTGGCCACCTGGAACACTCCTTGTTCCGGTCCTACTCAGGTCCACTCCCTGAGCTGTTACATTGTACCTACTGAGGTACATGGTTGACTGTGTCGGGGCTGCTTCCTGCTCTCGCAGAGAGTTAGAAGCATTTATAAATTTTTCTTCCACCTTCCACCCTCCATAAAATTCACATGGACCATCTCTCACTCTTCCCTTCCTCGACTTCACTATCTCCATGTCAGGTAACAGACGATCCCCAGACATTTTCTATGAGTCCACCAATTCCCACAGCTTTGGAGTCCTGTAGCTCAGTGGTTAGAGCACTCGCTTTGCAAGCGAGACACCTGGGTTCAATTCCAGACAGGGCGAAACCTTGGGCAAGTTTCCTTACTCCACATGCCTAATAATAATCCCTCCAAAACAATAATAAATTGGTCATTTTCAATCCACGACCGTTTGTGGGACACTGCTGTGCGCAATTGGCTGCCGCGTTTCGCCCACAAATAAACAATCAATTCACTTTACAGTCTATTCTGTGAAGCGCTTTGAAACGTCTAGAAGACTTGAAAAGCACTAAATCAAATGCAAGGATTATTATTATTATAGCTACCTTCATTACACCTCATCCCACCCAGCCTCCTGCAAAGACGCCATCCCATTTTCCCAGTTCCTCCGCCTCTGTCGCATCTGTTCTGACAATGCAAACTTCCACGCCAGAGCAACCGAGATATCCTCATTTTTCCTCGACCGAGGATTCCCATCGACAGTAATAGCGAAGGCCCTTGACCGCGTCCGCCCTATTTCCCGCACCTCTGCCCTCACCCCTTGGTGTTGGGGTAACTGCTGGAGTCTAACCAGCTAAAACCGGATAGCTTGCCATTGAAAGCACCATCTGGTTTGCTCAGCAGGACAACCCTACCCTTTAGGACTTTGACTTGCAGGTTTAATAGGAGCTGAATGGGTAGAATCCCTGTTCCCAATGACTGGTCTGCTCTTCCAAGTCCTGCCGATGAGCCGGGCTGGCTGGCTGCATCAGCGGTGTCCTGGAGAACCGCAGACACGCCTTGCTCAGGAACTGGACTCCTGAGCCCACCGCAAAATGTTGGTTCGATTCTGATATTCTGTTGCCAAAAATGTCACCTTGGAACTGCTTAGCTCCAAGGACACCCTACTTACATTCCCACTCACACCCCCAGCCCAAGAGATACAACATTTGTACCCACTGTAGCTGACTGCAGACTTGGGATTAGATAGAGTTTGAAATTGTATGTGATTCTCAGGTGGTGTATTGAAAGCATTGAGCACTGAATAATAATAACCTTGCATTTGATGCCAACAAATAATTAAAAGCACAATTGACCCACACCACAGATCTGACAAATTTATCAACAAATTTCATGAAATTAAAACCAGATTGTAAATTCTAATATCCAATATTCCATTCATGATATGAAACTAAAACTTTTTAAAAATATATATAGTTTGAACCGTCAAACAAACTTTTTTAACACACATACGTAAATTCAAGGCAAAAATAAAGTTCGGTAGATTCTCCCTTGAGCCTCCAGAAATGAGTCAACCACCAGTGAATCACATTTTCAGCCAATTAAATCTATCACATCAGCAAAACAACTGAAGCACAGCCTTTATATCATTTTTGCCCATGCCACACACTAAACAAACTGCGAAAAAAGTGACACATACGCACACCCACCTATCCTGAATCATGCTGAAATATTATATATCTATAAAATATATTATAACTATATATATATATATATATAGTTCCAGGGATATTCTATTACCAAATGATGTTTATTTCATTAATTCTAGTTGCGGTCTTCAGTAAACAGCACTGCATTAATCCCTTTAAATGCTGAAAGACATTTTCAGCTTTCAAAATCCACACATCTTTTCCAGCAAACAGATTTTCCGTAAATTTCTCAGCTGCATCCCTCCAGAGAGAGTGTGTGTGTTCCTTTCCAATAGATATTTCGGGAATTTCCATGTATAGGTGGTATGCATGGCACTCCACATGTTGGCAAATCAACAACTGAAAGTGCAAGTCTTTCCCTTACCATTGTATGGTACACTGGGAAAGAGAATGGATAAACATGAATGGATTAACAGAACTATGCATCGATAAAAATAAGAGGAAAGGAGGAGAGAGAAGTGAAGCAAGTTCATATTTTCTGACATTCGTCTTCAATTTTGTGACAATCGCATGTACATGTACATTCTAAATCATACTCTTGAGATTGGATTACATTGCCTCAAAAGTCAGGAGACCTAAATTGTGACACTATCATTTCTAGTTTTGTGATGCATTGTATGCTCTATTTAGTCTACTGTCTTCATGCAGCATTCCCTATCAATCAAGCTTACTATTTTGACCCTACATCACACCAGTGCTTTCTTACTACACAGTCCTACAAATGAAGATTGATATGAAAATGCATTATTATAATTCAAGCTTGACCTACAGACACATAAGAACACAGAAACTCGCTGTCTAAATACACTGGTTTACAGAGCTACTTACCCCTGTAATCGAGCGCAATGACATGAAAGCCTTGTTCACTGAGCACCTGCAAGTTAAAAAAAAGGATATAGGATATAGACTTGGAATGACAAACAAGTCAATGTTTCAATTACATTTGCATAAAATCATCTCTAATGGGACAAAAGTAGCAATGAAACTTCAATTGCCTACAAATGCCGAACAAAAATATGCAATCTTGTTAAACTATTTCATTTTGTAAAGGTCATCATTAAAGCACATCTCATCAATAATCAGGTTTCTGGCACCCAAAGATGCCTTTGCTTTGCCTAATGCCTAGTGAAACGCCATGCGTTTGAGGTCCAAAACTGCTTGTCAATCTCACTGACATTTTTCCCTTCAAGGTGGATTTGTTTAGGAATCTGGGACCCAATTGTATTCCCTTTAATTATTCTGTAATAACATTACTATTATAATTGCTACTGATTTATGTAGACTCCACCCGCCCCTCCAAAAAGGATTTCTATTAAAAGTTACCGTGTGAAGCCTTCACATTGTGTAAAATAAATTTACTGTAGAGATCAGAGTAGTCAACTCTGAATACAGCAAAGTGTTATAGACGTCACAAAGCTAAATCTGATTTAGCAAATCTGATTAACAGTTGTACCTTCACGATCGCACATTTCAAGGGGATTGGCCAAGTTTCTCGAGTTCCTAATTTATTAAGTCGAACTTTCAATACCTTCCAAGAATAGATTGAATCTGGCAACAATCACCAATAACACATTATTGCAATGATGCCAGACACTACAATCTATTGCTGCCACTTCTACTTTTAACCTTCCTCGTTTGTTTGACCCCAAAGTACTGAAAACGCACCAGTCAAATAGGAATGCAGCTGCCTTTACTGCTCACAAGGGATTAAATAAAGTCTTCTGTAATGGTCACTTTGTTCATTTTATCTTATAATCACAACAAAGTAAGACTGTTACCTAAACATAACGTTAGCTTGCAATGTCACGGCGCAATTTGTTGCTTCACATGATATTGAGTTGTCATTCAGATTCATTGGTCATTCACCTTATCGCTGTTTCTGGGTTTTATTGGCACAAATTGTTTGCCTTGTTTGTTACAAAAAGACATTCTCTACACTGGATAATAATTACCTATGATATGAACCACTTTCAATGTTCTGACACGATAAGGCAATTAAAAATGCAAGCTTTTTTAAAATCTTCATGTAAAAAAGAGAAAATAACCATAATGCCGCAAGGTATGTTATTTATTCAAATAGGTTATTTATACACACTCCCCGATCCTCCGTGATCCCAAGCCTACCGATCCCGACCCCCAGCTTGGGTTCAAAACACTGATTGTCCAAGGCTTTGGGACGTTCTCCTGGCGCTTTACAAATATAATTTTGTTGTTGCTGCTGTTGTTATTCAAATACGTTATTATTTATTATTATGTCACTATCTGGATTTGTTCCATTTCTCATAATGTTGAAACTTGAAAGTAAATCGAAAAATAAGCTACACAAAAGTTACCTCAACAAAAACAGTGAATTATAGAAGATACATTTGCAACAGATCAATGCAGTTGAATAAATAAATTACATTATATTCAATACAAGAGGCCTTTTGAGCTCACAGCCAGGCCGCTGCTGGGCAGCGCTACATTTTGGAGGGACCTTCCTTCAGTTGAGACGTTAAACTGAGGTCTTGTCTGCCTATTTAAGCGGTTGTTAAAAAAATTGATATTATTCAAAAAGAAAAGGGAGTTTCCTCATCAACAATCAAGCAAATAAAATTGTTCATTCCCTTTATACTGGTTGTGGAATAGGCTGTGTGCAAATTGGCTGCGACATTTGCCTACAAATACAGACACAACGTATGACATAAAACTCTATGAAGCACTTTGAGACATTTTGCCATTAAAGTGTAAGGGTTATTATTATCTTAAAATAGTTTCACTATTGTGAAACTTTCTATCTTTTCACAAAATGTACTTGATGTGACTCCAAAAACTTAATTGATCGAAGAATTGCTGTAATTTCACATTAATAGATTTATAGCATAGAAAAGTGAACAGTAAACAAGAAGACTATTATTTAGAATGCCTTGGCCGACATTGAAACCATCAGCTTAGTGAGAAAGTTAAGTCACTACACTTTACCATTAAATACCAATGAAGCCTGACTACAGAAAGTCTAAACTCCAGGTTTTTCTATCCTCCCAACCGACAGAGGAAATTTCGCAGCAGTAGGATGACTGGATGTGAAAAGCAAATCAATAAAGATAATAATAATAATAATCCTTGCATTTGATATAGCGCTTTTCACGTCTTCTAGACATCTCAAAGCGCTTCACAGAGTATACTGTGAATTGACTATATATTTGTGGGCGAAACGCGGCAGCCAATTGCATACAGCAGTGTCCCACAAACAGTCGTGGATTGAAAATGACCAATTTATTATTGTTTTGTGTTGAAGGGATTATTATTAAGCATGTGGAATAAGGAAACTTGCCCAAGGTTTCGTCCTGAAACAATGAAAAGATGGAAAAGATAAAAGAAAACATTATTCTAATTTGGGCTTTCTTCTGATATGTTCCTTCACTGCAGCAGTCCAATATCATTTGTAATTCCATATACCAATGCTATTCCCGTACCTAAAAGGCATTAATTTTAAATCCATATCCACTCAAAAACAGGATGAAAAAGCTCTTTTTTAAAAAAAAGTTTTGAAGCTCCAGTAGAAATTAGTATCAATTTATATATGATATCAATGCTCAATTTATAGATTATGTAGCAAAAAAAACCTATTCTGATTTTGGCATCCATATACACTGAATTGGCAATACTTGTCTCAATCAAAGGCACAAGATGGTGTTGGGTAATAGAAATTATACTAACGTAACGTGTGAGGCTGTTCTACAGCTGCGTTAAATTGTAGGAACAATGAATGGGAAAAGTCAAGTGGGGGTTGTGGGGAAAGTCTATTCTTAAACTGATGTTGAAGAACATTACTAAGAAAACATGGAAATAAGGAAATCTGAAACGAAAACAGATCGCTGGGAACACTCAGCAGGTTCAGGCAGCATCTATGGAGAAAGGAAAGTGGGTCAACACTTCGGGTTCACAATCCTTCGTCACAACAGGGGGATGTTGGGAGGGAGAGGTTTTAAGGACTAACAGAGAGGAGGGAGGAGGGGCAAGGAAGACAAATGAGAAAATGGGATGGAGGACATGGGATGATGGGTTAAAGAGGTGTTAATGATGGTGTCCGTTAGCATATCACCTGGGCCCCAGACACATGTTTTCTCTCTAGTCTGCCTCTGCTGCTCTCCTTTTGTTTTGCATTATTAACACTTCTTTAACTCATCATGGCTGATCTGTACCTGAACTCCAATTATCTGCCCTTGCCTCAAATCCCTTGATATACTTACCTAACAAATATCTATCCACCTCAGTGGATACATTGTCTTTGACCAATGCTTTATCTTGGCCAATGATGTTTGCATGCATGAAGAGTGGAAAAACATTCTAAGGTAATGAAGGTACATATCATTTTAATTCAATAAAGATATTGCCTACCTTATATAGTTGTACCCTGTGGTCTCCACCTCTGCAAACATACACAAAAAGAGCAAATTAGAACAGATTTGAAAGAAAGCGTCTCTTTAAACAACAACAAAAACTTGCATTTATACAGCACACTTCATGCAAGGTAGGGTCACGGAGTGCTTGACTGAGATTGATAGATTTCTCTGAGATTGATAGATTTCTTGTAGATAAAGTGATTAAGGGATACATACGGTGATAAAGCGGGTAGGTGGGTTAGAATAGATCAGCCATGATCCTATTGAATAGCAGGGCAGGCTAGAGGTGCCGAATGGCCTAATCCTGCTCCTAATTCTTATGTTCTTACGACAGTGGCAGAGGCTCACCCCGAGCCAGGGGGAGAGGTTAGAGGGGAGGTGACCGTAAGCACGATCAAAAAGGAAGGTCTTTAGGCAGGATTTGAAAATGGGGCGGGAAGGACATTAAAGGAACATTTCTAATTTACAACCATATTATTTTTGCTGCTTCCAATCTTTTTCTATTTACGCTGAAAATGTAACAGAATGAAATGTTTAACTCTTCTCAACAAAACATCTTATGGCAAAAGTACAACAATAACAACAACTTGCACTTGTATAGCGCCCTCCACGCAGGGTAACATCTCAGAGCGCTTAACAGTGGCGGAGCCTGACTCTGAGCCGAAGGTGGGGGGGAAGGTGACCGTAAGCACAGTCAAAAAGGAAGGCTTTCAGGCGGTCATGAACCTCAGAAACTTCCCAGTTTGACCACACTAACAGAAACAGAAATTGTGCAGGAAAAATAAAATGATTCTGTTTCAAAAAAATAATGAAGAAACTACTGTAGTCATTTTTCATTCTTCATATGTTCCATTCCTTTCTAGGTGCAGGGTGATCGATACAGAGATCGTTTCTAGGTATCAAATTCACTATATCAAGGACAGCTTTAATTTTAAATTATACTCCAAGGCAGTTTGTGCCCTCGTGATCCTGCAAAGTACACCGGTTCTGAATTAAAGAATTGGGCATCAGGAATTTGAAAGGTGTCATCCTTCAGAGCGAAATTGAAAAGGAAATCATAGCTACTGGCCATAATACAAGCTGCTTCAGTTACAGGTGTGTTACATTACAGTAGTAGAAAAGTCAATCTATTTATCAAATAACTGAATACCTTTCAAATATATATCACACACTTCCCTCTCTAAATTAAATTAAAATAAAACCAAAACAACCTATAGATTTCCCCCTATAATCAAACAATGTCACCTATGATATTGCAATCTACTGGACAGAACTAAATGCTAGTATACTCAAGGTTATTATATAAGTTCACTTGTGCTTCAAATATTTAATTAAAAATGTCATTATACTACATATGATTTAACAGCCATGAATACACTATCTTCCCTCCTTCAAAAATATGACCAGGGAGACTATTTACAATATACTTTGGGATAGGATTTTTAAAACTGAACTGACATTGAAAGGCAATGTGTGGGTTTATCTATTCTTACATGGAAAAGCCAACTAACCTGAGTATGATTAAAGGTGATTTTGCTTATTAGCTATCAGTCTTGTGCCAGTATCATCACTTTATCATTTGCTTTGGCAAATCTCAGAGAAGAGTGTAGTTTACTTATTTCTCCTGTGACAGGAGACCTAAAGCTGGAAATCAGCAGCCTGTTCAAGAGCAGAAAGGAAGAGGTGAAAGCTCAGAGATTAAAACACCAGTACTCAGTCGCATTACCTGGTGCCTGCATTGCCATGGAAGTAAAGCATAATGGAATGGCCTGATTTCAAGCTTCCTGTATACCACGTCTCATCCTTTCCCTGAGCTTCTTTCCACAGACTCGCTGGTACTGTGTGCCTATTAGTAAAAAAAGAGTGGATTAGTCTTCTAAAGAGTATGACACTGTCTAAGCAGAAACAAATACATTTTTATATAAACAGATGTGGGTGTGGTATGCCCACAGATGTGGCACGCTTACAAAATATGTAGTCAATTCACTTTATAGTATATTCTGTGAAGCACTTTGAGACGTCTAGAAGATCTGATAAGGCGCTAAATCAAATGCAAGGATTATTATTATAGTATTATAAATGTGATTGTATTCCATAATAATCAAATATGATAGTAATATTGCTTGTTGTTTTTTTAAATAACTATTTTTCCCCCCAAATGGAGCTCATCTTTTTCAACCACTGGGCTAACCTTTGCTGTGGATCACTCCGTGACTGCTGACAACATCAGTGTATTAAAATAGTTGACAGGATTTGAATTACTGTGAATGAAGCATGCGGTGTACATTTCTCTTCCTCACTCACCAAAGATAATGCATTATGTGCCAACATGAAGGTCTGTATCTGCAAACACGTACTATCAAACAATGGTACAGCTCGAGAGGGGAGGGGGGAGCAGTCACACCAATAATACCCGATTAGGAGCTTCTACTTCATTGGCTGCATTCATCAACCAAAACATAACAGATCTGGATGCCTGTGGGAGTGAATATCCCTGAGACCCTCCATTGACTCCCTCCATCACTTTGTTCAAGGTCCATTTCAAGACCTATCTCTTTGACTGTGCTTCCAGTCATCTTTCCCCTCCCCATCCTTCTTGGCTACTACCCCAACCCAGGTGCCAAGCCATTAAGTGTCCTCTGACATGAAAAGTGCTATTATCAATGTAAATGTGTATTTTACTGTATTGCAACCAGTAGGGTCCAAATCATTAGGACCTAGATTTCAACTTAGAATGGCTTCCAGTCACTCAAAGTCACTTTCCTCAAAAGAGTGGATTTCAGTGCTTCACATTTGGACCCCTACTTGCACTGCTTGCAAAACACATTCAGAGTGGTATTTATTGTGGGCTTTAAAACACTCAAAATCTAGATCAATCTGCCCTCCAGCCTGCAGAACGAGATTTGGGGCGGGAAGAAAAACATTTTTTTTTAAATCTTGTTTCTTTGCAATTCATTCAGTTTACAGGAGTTCAAACTTTATTGATTCTATTGTTCACTTAATGCTTCTTGGAAGATGGTTGGCATCCTTTCAATATCAAACACTGACATTTATTGTTGATCGTTGTTTACCAGCTGAAAACAGCATATATAGAGACAGCAAAATGTAACCTGAACAGACAGGCGCTTTGTTCATTACAACAACAACACATTACAGTACAAGTTGAGCAGAGTTAAACAGAATCTAGTGTCATTATTTTAATGTTTAAGGCACTATGGCACCTATCAGGCTTGTAACAAACAAATTATTACTGTGTATTGCGTGTTATATGATACAGATTTCTGGTATAATTAGTAAATATCAATGGAATAGACTCAATGTTGAAACAGGATTTACTCAGATTCCCAATTCAGCAGAGAGCAAAGGTAGATGGGACTTGAAAAAAATGATACAAGAAGACAAAGGACTTGGGCGCCTGATCACACCTTCAATAATTTCCATGTTTCAATACTTCATTTAAAAATAAGTGCAGACCATCTTAGAACCAGATCAACATTACAGTTCTTCATATCGCACATTCCCAATCTGAGCCAAACCAGCTGGCATGGCACTAAACAGAGATAAAACAATTCTTTTAAGAGGGAATTACAATTAGAGGACATGTCAACCTTCACCAATCTCACACACCTCCCACTGCTTCAATCATGAGCAGCAGACAACATAGCCTCTCGACACAGGAGGTCTGCTTGCTCTCAGTTAAGGAATCGAGCGTGGCAGAGGAGAGAGAAAACAGGACAAAAACTATTTACTGGGCACTTTACATAACTTCAAGGAATGTAAAGGATTGAAAATGACCATTGGAGTCTACCCAGCCATTACTAAAGTAAGAATTATTCTATATCACTCTAGCTCACAGATTCGTGTTGATTTATTTGGCAAATAACTATCTTATTCCTTCTTGATTGCTGTAGAATCCTCCTCCACTGATTCCCTGTGTGATATATTCCATATATTCCAACCTATAACCATATAAACATATATACACAAAAGATGACTATTATTATATATTATGATTAATATATTCTTACTGGACCTTATCTCTGCTTGGAGCATAAGTGGGTGCTGCACTGGACATCACTAAAATATTGATTGTAGAATACCACAAATTTAAGCAGAAAATGTGACGAATCAAAATTAAACAGAAAACTTAAAGCCATTCACTAGATACATTCACTGGATAACCAAAAGCCGTCACATCTTTTACTTGAATTGAATATTTAGTTCAAATACACACAGGACACAAATGAAATAAAGTAATTTACATCTTTGTTATGTTAAAAAAATCTTTAAAAAGCATTATAAAAATGATCTTCATGGAAAATGGTAACAGCAGACATTTGGTGAAAATCTCCTCCTATCTTCCCACCCACTTCCTCAGCCCAGTCAGCTCAGCAAGGTGCTCTGAGATGTCCTCCCGACGTGAAATAATAATAATACTTGCATTTGATATAGCGCCTTATCATGTCATTGAGACATCTCAAAGTGCTTCACAGAATATTTTGTAAAGTGAATTGACTGTGCATTTTGCATGATGATGGGTTTCTGCATATGTCAGACACCTGGTTGACACCCCCAAAAACAGAATGTAACAGATATTCTTCTTTATTCCACTTCCAGTAATCATGGGTCCACCTGCATTATAAGCAAACTCATGCTCTAGTGAAGCAGCTTATAACTAGGTTGCCGAATATTATTTGGATTCCTTTCACTCTGAATCTTAGGGCCATAAACGACAAATAATTGACACAACTGCAGTAAAGGTTTTGCTCCACAGTATCTGTATGGTACAATATTGCACTACGAGCATCCATACGGTGGATCTAACCACTCCAGGCGGAATTGTGCAGAGATGAAAAATATGATTACTTGAGCTAAAAATGTGGAAGATGACCATCGGCAGAAAACTACGTGCCTAAAAAACCTCCTGATCAGGGTCCCAAATCAGTAAGGTACAACAACAACAACAACAAGATTCCATTTATAAAGCGCCTTTCACGTCAGGAGGACGTCCCAAGGCGCTGGTTAAGGCGCTAAGGTAACTGGTTAATGACAATAACCAGGCGCGATGGTGTCCCACTGTGCTGTAAATCAGCTATGATTTTATGATTAGAGCTTAAAAATGCCAGTGGGCCAAATGTACTGATTTTAACTTGAACCAATTGATGTCAAATGAATTTGTCCACAATCCACCTATTCTGGGTCCATTTCCCCAACGTCTTCAAGCAATTCCTCCTCAGGCAGATCTAAATTAATAAATAAATGCTTCTGTAACAGCACTCACACCCTGTTCGTCAGTGACCAAGTATGCTCTATTCTATTATATTTTTAATTTTTTTACAATTGAAAGCAGCTAACTCATCTCTGGACTTCGTTCAGCAAATAATGCCCTTTACTGGGAAATTGCATAGCAGCAAGTTGTCAGTCAAAATTAAAACAATCATTTTGTATTTTGTTATTATAAACATTCAACACTTCCTAAAAAGCAAGGAAGTTAAGTTTTTTTTNATAAAATAGAAGCAGCAGTTAAAGCTGTGAAAAATCCCAATCAACAATAAAGTGGAGGAAGAACAAACTATAACTAGGAGCTATCCTACAAATAAACAATTTTTTTCTGGTAACCATGAGAGTGGAAAAGCTTGTCCCTCGGGGGAGGTAACAAACAGCTGTTCAATTGTGTGCGCTCACATCTCATACTGCGTGAGGGTGGGCTAGTACATAGGTGGTGCTATACAATGCCAAAAACACAAAGGGAATCATCAACCACGCTGTTTCCAGACATGCACCAAGTATGACTCGCATCCATCAATGTGAAATGATCCAGAATGAAGAGGATCCTTCAATTCTTCCACTTACCAGACACCAATGCTAATTGCTTCTTCAGGATGAAGGTATAAATTGCATGTGTGATTCAGCCCTTGGTCCTGTGGCCTCTTTAGATCAATGAAATATGGCACTCGCACTATGAAAGAGACACAACAACAAGCTTCAGGGACAATCAAGTTCACGTCACAACGCTCAGGAATGATTAGTTTAAATCCTTGGCAATGCTTTTAAATCCATAAGGTCAAAAGCTTAATTTCCATCATATGGCAATATCTTCAGAAATACATATTAGACTCTGGACAGAAGAAAGTTATCAATTTATGAACAACACATACGTTACAAGAGATTATTGAAGCAAACATCACTAACTTTCAGATTGTGCAATATTTAAGTATTATAGCCAACTTCCAACACAAATAGGTTTGTAAAGAGTCAGTATTTGAGCATATTTTTTGTTTAAAAACTTTGCTGATCCTGTGCTGAGAATTTTCCAAAAGAAACCTGTCACATTCTGCATCTTAGATTTAATGTGTTATTTAAAATATCTATTTTGTATTCTGTAAAATTGCCTCACTTCAAAAAAAGAATTCAGCAATTTTAAAGTTACATTTTGGCATAACTTTATGGATTGAATGTCAATCATTGTTACACTGCATCATACTCACCAAAATTTAAGAAGACCAGTTTGGCTTGGATGGCTGGACATAGCTTCACAAGGAATGGAATGCATATGTACACTGTTAACAGCCATAACGCTACCTTCTTGACTCTGTCCAACAGTCTATATCGCCTTAAACAAAACAAAAAGAAAAGGTTTGTACAAACATGCAGAGAAATACATGTAGTCTGGCTCAGTTGGTAGCACACTCGCCTCCAAGTAAAAAAGTTGTGGGTTTAAGCCCTATGTCAGGTCTTTGAACTCATACAGTTTAGGCTGAAGTGCTGGGTGTGTGCTGTATTATTGTGGGTGCCATCTTTTCCAGTGAGATGTTTAACTGAGATTCAGTTTGCTTGTTCAGTGAGTATTTAAGATCACAAACACTACTGTGGCACCCATGGTAGCCTGGCTCAGTGGTAGCACTCTCCCCTCTGAGTCAGAAGGTTGTGGATTCAAGCCCCATGTTGGGACTTGGAATCATATAGCTGACACTCTAAAGCAGTGTTGGGGGTGTGTTGCATTGTCGGAGGTGCCATCCTTCGGATGAGACGTTAAACCAAGTTCCCGTTTGCCTGTTCAGGTGGACATTAAAGATCCCATCATACTACTTGAAAAGAGAAGGGAATTTCTTCTAGGCCAACAGTCCCAAATAAAATTAGTCACTCACTTCATGGCTATGTTTGGGATATTGCTATGCGCAACTGTCCGCCATGCTTCACTAAAAAAAAATACACAGTGAATCCACTTTACAGTATATCTTGTGAAGTGCTTCGAGATGTCTCAATGATGTGAAAGTTGCTATATCAAATGCAAGGATATTATTATATAAATGCAAGTTGTTATTGTAACATTGAGCTTGGCTATGACTCACAGAGCTAGTCAAGACTCCAGAATGGGCTTATAGAGGTGAATAATAATAATAATCCTTGCATTTGATATACACCTTATCACATCTTCGAGTTGTCTCAAAGCACTTCATAGAATATACTGTAATGAATTGACTATATATTTTGTGGGCAAAACACGGCAGCCAATTCCGCACAGCAGTATCTCACAAACAGTCATGAATTGAGTGACCCAATTACTATTATTTTTTAATTTTGAAGGGATTATTATCACCAGAAAAGCAATCCGCCAATCAACTAACAACTGGGTTCCTACGTACTGCTTGCTAAACACAGGTGTGTGGAGTAAGCAAATTTGCCTAAAGTTTCACCCCTCCTGGGAATCGAACCCAGGTCCTCTCGCTTGCAAGGTGAGTGCTCTAACCACTAAGCTACAGGACTCCACAATGGCAAGGTACCAGAAAGTGAAAGACTAAGTACCAGAAATTGTGTGGTTGTGCTGGATTCTTACCCTATGAATCCATGTATGTATCCATGCTTTTAGGAGATGATAGAAAAAATGTCTCTAGTGTAAAAACGTGTACAAAATCTAATGTTCTTTTAGTAACAGTTCCAGCCAGCAGTAGACCATCTGTCTATCTGGCTTCCCCACAGCTTTTGCAGCACAGAATTTGTTGGTATTATGGAAATAATTGGCCCATATATTCGCAGATTGCTCAACGCTGTTAAAAGGATTTATGCTATCCAGAACCAGTCAAATAAGATGAAATATTAGCTAAGCAAAAAGTAAAAATGCAATGACTACTGTATTTACAAATACATGACGAAATAAAATGCTTTCTCGACTTTGTTAAGAGGGGTGCTCTACATTATTAATCATTCTCACAATAGGAATAAGTTTTAAAATACAGTATCCCCATTTAAAGCCACTTTTCTCTTCAGTTCCATACTCCACGATTCTTACTTTGGATGTCATGTAAAGGATTCACTGAAAGTTTCCTGAAACTGAATGTATAAAATATCCACAAAAAAAACATCAAGTCGGTTAAATAAGACTTGGTTCACCTTCTAGATTACTCAAACGAGAATGTCAATTATTTTACCCAAAATAATCTAACTTTCTTGTATTCATTTTTGGATTCTTTTTAAAAACTACTCTGCACGGCATAGGAGTCTCCCAAATTGAGCAAATACACAGAATATCAATTAAAACAGCAACAACCTCATTTAAGACTTGTGGCCACAAGTTGTTATGTACTTGGTCTATTTTAAGAGTTTCTTGCCCTTTAAAACTATATAACAAAATAAATGTTATCAAGGTCCTTGTCTGCCATTCCAGGAAATCTGATTGCAGAATTGCAAGGTCTTCACCTGGTTCCTCACTCAATACAAATGTGAAGGAGACTACAATAGCTGCTATTTCTATGGCAATGAATTCCAACTTCTCAGTGTATTTTTTCAGTCGGGTCAATATTTTCAATCACCTGCATATATTGTTTTGTGTTCCTCACAATAGGAATAAGTTTCATTAATTTCTCCCTTCACTCAGTGAACTTCTTCACGTCTCCCAACTCATACCATCAGTGAGCAAGCTTACAGCTATTCTGCCCCCACCCTCTGGAATTCCATCCTGGTGTCGCCCCAACTCTGCCCCTTTCCTTCCCACTTTTAAAGCCTGCCTTAAGATTTGCCTCTTTGACCAAGCTTTCGGTCATCTTTCCCCCTACATTCTTCCTATCCTTCGGTTTGATTCCCGACCTGGGTATGATTCACAGCAGGGCGAAAAGTTGGGCAAGTTTCCTTACTCCACACACCTCTGTTTACCTAGCAGTAAATAGGAACCCGGTTGTTAGTTGATTGGCAGATCACTTTTCCGGGGATAATAATCCCTTCAAAAAAATTTTAAATAATAATAGTTTGGTCACTCAATCCAAGATTGTTAGCGGGACACTGCTATGCGCAATTGGCTCCAGGGTTTTGCCCACAAATCATACAGTCAATTCACTTCAGTTTATTCTGTGAAGCGCTTTGAAACGTCTATAAGACTTGATAAGGTGCTATATGAAATGCAACAAACTCAAAGTACACAAAAAATGCTGCTGACTTTTTTTTAAAAAACAAATGCAGAGAAACAGCTATTATGCAACGTATGCATGATTCACCCTCTGATATATTCAACTGGACCTGGATTTGTGATACTTGAAAGCTGCACACAGAATCAAGCTACAGCGTATTATGGAGTGTTCCATGCCACAATATTTAACATTCAAAATGTAAAATTTACAAGCTTACCAAAAGTAATATGACTTCGCTATTTAGTTCAAGAAAGAATGTGTCCCTTTCATCCATAAAACAAATCTCTTCTTTACAAGTGAGACACAAGTCTACACTCTGGTTACTATCAAAACAGAGTTGCTCAGTGACTCAGTTTCACCATTATACCCAGGCTATAGGGATGAAAATAAGCGTGAAAAAAANGGCTATTTCGCTCATGGAAACATGTGTCATGTTCACGAATTCTGTCTGATCAAGAATTCTAACCAACTCATTTCTCTTTTGAAGCAGATTTCAAGACGGCTGTAACTGAACACAATCAATATTGTGAATGAGATAGTTGATTTTGTGCTTCAAGCATGTATCATTTCTTCCAAATGAAATGAAAATACTCTGAACTGAGATAATTGACATAAGGACATTTATTTAAAAAACTGTTATAGAGTACTGTATTGCTAAAACAACAACACAACAACAACAACATAACAAAAAAAATCCCCAGGAAAACATGCTGTAATTACAACTGTCCTTCCCTAAAATAACTGAAACCATACGTCAGCATGAATTTGATTAGTTTTCATCCTGACTGCCAGCCAAGTATTAACGTACCTGATTACCTATTGTAGCAGTAACCTACTGCAGTTAGTTAAGTTGTTCATTTCTGCAATGAATGTGCAATCAGCAATTAAATCACCAGAGTAATTAATCAGATACCAGGTTTGGGTGTTCGAGTCCTGGTTATCTGCAACTGTCCTCTTTGACAATTCCACACCTCTCCCACCCATAAAATAACAGTAGAATAGATTGCAGAACACTATACGTGTAGGGCGGCAGGCATATTATGAACAAGCTACCAATAGATGGTGTATTTATTACAGTGTCTCTCAGTAATTAAATCAATCTGCAATATTCTGTACTTTTTTTTTGATTACTTTTTTTGATTGCTGTACCTTCCTGGATAAATAGGACAATGCAATATATATTAAATCACATGGCTAGGATTTTACGCAGGTAAAAAGGCAAATGATCTGAATACTCTGAAGTAGCCAATGTTCCAAAAAAGTATACAAAGTGAAATGGTACCATGTGTAGGTGGGATGCGTGGAATTCTCAGTTTGCTTACTCTTAAGCATGGTGATGGGTTTCCACATGTGTTAAGACACCCGGCTGACCAACAAAAAAAATACCACAGTGATTCATATGCACGCAGTGATTTCCTGGGCTTGTTAGCACTATAAAGAGAGCTGTGTTGTTCAGGCTCATTACTACAAGGATAAAGTAAAGGGATTGGAGGAAAAAAAAACACGTCCATGTCCTTCCTCTACAATGTCGTTTCTGAAGAATTTCAACACAATAGTATCCCTTACAAGGACAAAACTTCCATATGAAGTTCAAACTGTTAATGCCCTTCAACAAAAGCCTTTTTGAAAAGGTATCAGCAGACATACAGTATGTAGCCAACTTGAATAGGGGCCAAATTAGCAGGGTCTCCAGAGCCGGAATTTCTGGCTTGGAAGTGAGAAATTCCTGACAACAATGCCACTTTAATACCCACTTACATGAAATAGTTTGATGCAAACGAGTGTTGATCAGCATAACAGTCAGCCCACAAGAGTAGCCACCGCATACAGCTTCAGTGAATACGGGGGTTTACGGATGATTAATATATTGAGACAGAATCTGTGTAGGCTTAAAGCAGAAAAAACAAGACCATTAAAGTGAGGATTCAATTTTTAAAGCATAGTAATAAGAATGTCTCTCTCATCCAAGTTTACACTCGGAGATTTAGTAGAACGTGGGATTGAACTGCAACTTGTGAATTGAATAGAATCTGATAGTACTGTATTTGCACTGCTCTTTTGCCCTGACTCAGTTCATGCAGTGAACACTGTTAAAATACCAGTTTAAAGCATGAAGTACAGGGTGATTCTCTCAGGGCAGAAAGTGGCTGGATTTCTAAACGGAGTACTTTCAACGATCTGATTTGAATCACTAACTTGAAGCCAACTTCAT